AAATCAAAATTTTCGAATCTCCAATTATTATCTTTACTGCCACGCACCTTCCCTCCAAATCTCTAAAAGCCAATTCTGATTCTATTGTTTCTTTTACATACGTCACCACTCCTCTTTTCTTTTTCTCATATGACGAGTGATAGTCTTTTCCTAATTTTTTAATGGAGAGATGTGCAACATGTTTGTCACAGATGTGTGTTTCCTGTAGAGCTATTACATCATAGCTCAACTTCTTTAAACTATTCCATACTTTCTTACGTTTTTGAGGAGAGTTCAGACCATTAATGTTGTTTGAAAAACATTTTATTTGACGCTCCATCATATTATTCATTCCCGTCCAAGCCCAGTCCCATGTCGCCAAATGCCATTTTCACTGATCCAGTTGTAGATTGTTCCGAACTCTGGTCTTTTCTTTCTTCTTTTCGTGGTGTCGATCTCGGTGGTTTTGGGTCTTTCAAGAGATAGCTATATTCCTTTGGTGATTTATACCTTGCTATTTTATTTTTAATTCCCTTTCTTGGAGTGGACAATCTCCTTTCTTCGTCTCCTTCTACTTCTGCTCCTTCTTTGTCCTCTACTTCTCCCATCTCTTCTTCTCCTTCCGTTTCTTTCATAAGTTTGTCATAGAATACTTTTGCCTTCTGTTCAGATGTCAACCAATGCCTTTCTTCATTATAAGTCACCATTATTCCTTCTCTTCTTTCCCACCTATATCTTATCTCTCTTTTTTTCAATTCTTCTGTTAGAAAGAAGTACTTTCTTCTTCTAGCTAAAGTCATCTGTGGGAATTCCTTCAGAACAGCAATTTTCTTTTCTTTGTAATAAATTGGGTTTCTATTGCTTTTATACAAAACGTCATCCCTCACCTTCTTCCTTGTAAATTTCACAATCACGTCTCTTGCGGTTTTATTTTTCCTCGCGTAAAAAGATGAGATTCTATAAATTTGGTCCACTTCTTGTTCAAATTCATCTTCCTCACATTCCATACAACTTGCCAACATTTTAATTACCAATTGTCTAATATCTTCTTTTTCTTCCTCCATAATATTTCTAAGTCTCAGTTGAAAGTCCATTTGAATCTGAAGCAATTTCTCTTGTTCTAACTCCATTTTCTCCCTTTGTTTGTCCAATCCTTTTATCTTCTGTGCCAATTCTGTTTGGGTTCCCTCTATCTTCTCCTTGGAGGCTTTTAAATCTTTCACATCTCCATGCAGTTGCGATATATCTTTTTTCATCTGCCCGAATTCTTCTTTTATCTCAGTTTTCATTGCTTTGAATTCTTCCGTCATCTTTGTAATAATTCCTTCCTGTTTCTTATAGTATTCCTCATATTTCGTTGTAACCTCATTCTTCAATTCCACCTTTAATGCATCTTGTTTTTCTGATATTTTTTTTATTTCTTTCAGTAGATTGTCCATCTTCGGATTTATATCTAAGGATCCTCTCCGGGATTCTGGTTTACCTTGGGTGGTCATTTAGAATCCTTTCCCCAAATTCTTCTTATTCTTATCAGTTTCCAGTTTCCAAGAAAGTGGATATTCACTTTCTCCCCTCTATCAATTTACAATTTGTAAATTGTCAATTAATAATCTAATCAATATTTTTATATTCAATTCATTAGCTTAATTTAATTTAATTAGTTAATTTAATTAATTAATTTTAGAATAAAAACAAGAAGATCAATTGTTTTATCTTTAGTAATTGACTAATTCTGATTTAATTATAAATTATAAATTGGTTGTATGATGAGATTTTTGTAGAACTATAAAGTTAATAGGTTAGTAAATTAATTGTAAAATTTAAGATAAATATAGATATTCAAATTAAGTTGATTTCAGATTTTCCACCTTTCTTCTTCTATTTAATTCCTTTAAAATTTGTTTGCTTCTCGTCCTCGCTTTATCTCTTTAATTTCGTCTACTTCTCGTCCTCGTCTATGATGATAAATTCGTCTACTTCTCTTCCTGGCCTCCACCCTTCGATCGTCTGCTTCTCGTCCTCGTTCCGTCTACTTCTCGTCCTCGATCTGTCACCTCCTGTCTTCTACTTCACCTCCTGGTCTTCGGGTTCTTCACTTTATAGTTTAATTAATCAAATTTGTTTGATTTTTGAAAAAAAATTAATTTTTATTTCGGCCGCTCTATATCGGACTTTCTCTATGGTTTTCAAAATGGCTTCCTTCCTCCTTCCGCCCCGTCACTTCCGCCCTTCCATCCTTTCCTTACTCCTTCCGACCTTCCAGTCTGTCACTTCCTGTCTCCGCCTTCCGTTGTCGTCACTTCCTTTCCCGCCGGCACAGCCTGATTGTTTATAGAGAAGGCCGAAGATAGACACAACAACGATGGCGTCAAGGTCGGAGAATTCGCCACTTAAATGTCCAATCAGGGGGGGGGGCGGGCAAGGGATATCAAATCTGCTCAGTCTCCTTTATTTTGAATTAAATTAAAAATAGAGCGGCCCTTGGAGATTCCCTATTAAAATATTGGGTCAACCTAAATTAAAGCCCCTGGTGGCCCAGCGGGTTAAACTGCTGAGCTGCTGAACTTGCTGACTGAAAGGTTGGTGGTTTGAATCTGGGGGGCAGGGTGAGCTCCCGCTGTTAGGCCCAGCTTCTGCCAACCTAGCAGTTCAAAAACAAACAAAATGTGTGCCTTATTGCACCTCGGTCTGTTTTCTCTTATAGTGTATGTCTGATTTCCTTTTCAGGTACTGGATGGTCTTTTAGCTCAACATGGGACAGTAGAAAATGTGGAACAAGGTAAGGACTTTTTTACTGGGCTTACTCTCTCTTCAGCGATTTTATTAAGGTATCTTAAGCCTTCAATACTGCTTAAGGTATTTTAACATTCCATTGAGACTATTATGTTTATACAGCATCTATTTCATGGGACTCTGGGGTGCTATATTTTCTGTCTACCTTATGCTGTATGGATATATTTTATTGGGATCTTGAAGCATCTACATAACAATGTACTAGCTGCAGTGTTATGACTAAGTGTTTACTCCATGGCAATCATTGAAGAAAATATTGACCAGACTCCTGTTGGGAACATGCACATGCTTTACACATGTGTATGAGATGTGTCTGATCTTGGAAGCTAAACAGGGTTAGTTCTGTTTAGTATAATTAATACCTGGTGCATTAGGATGAATTTCAGGGGAAGGAACTGGCAAAAGTACCCTTGAATATTCTTTCCTATGAAATATTCTTTCCTTAGAAAAGCGCCTGAGCACCATGCACCCTTTTCAGGCCACTAAACGTCTGCTATTTCCACCATTTCATCTATATTTGCATGTCCACCCATGCAGAACTCCACTGTCAGATCGTGTCCAGAATCTGCTTTTGATTTCTCTCCTGCAGATATTGGCGTACAAGAAACTATAAACACCATTGTATACGAAAGTTTATTAAATGTGGTGGGAATGTGCATTTGGCAATGAATTTCCAATGAATATATATCCACTTTCTTGTCCTCAGATTATCTGAAGCAGTTTCTGTCATGCTGAGTGCAATTAGCCTGACTACATTATGAAAAAGGTCATTGTAATCAGTTGTTCTCTCAAAGGGAAAGAGATATCATAACTCTTAGAAATGCATAGTGACTGTGTTGACCCTAACAACTCAGTCCAAAGTCCATATTGTGGTGATACTTTTATCAGGCCAGCCAAAAAGGCATAACATTAATTGCAATAGCTTTCAACGCTCACATAGCTTGTCATTAGGCAGATAGTTTTTTTTTAAATGGTGGAGGAAAATCTTGCAGGGAAAAGTAAATAATTTTGTTAGAATCAAGCAGTCTACATGTTGTTTTTGGGTGATATGGATAAAGCATGTGTGTTTAAAATCATCATATTCCAATTGCCACAAACAGACTGGGGCTAAAGCCAGATCTGGCCACTGTGGTGTATGTCTTAGTTACATTCCGTCTGAATTGCTGTAATATGCTCTAGGTGGGGCTGCCTCTGAAGAGTGTTTGGAAACTTCAGCTGGTCCAAAGAGATGCAGCCACTGGAGCTGGCTATAGGGTGTGGACAACCTCCCTGTTGCACCAGCTCCGCTGGCTGGCAGTTTGTTTCTGGGTACATTCAAAGTGCTGGTTGTGACCTTTAAAGCCTCAAGCAAGTGTTTCTCAACCTGGGAGTCGTGAGGGGGTTTCAGAGGAGTAGCCAAAGACCATCAGAAAACACATATTTCTGATGGTCTTAGGAACCCCTTTGGCAGAGAGAGCTGAAGATCTCTCTGCTTGTCCTTCTCTTCCTTTTTGGAAACAGAGAATCTTCCCTCCAAAAGCTCTCCTCTCCCATGATTGGCTGGCCTCTCAACTGGCTTCTCTAGTTCATCATTTTCTGTATTTCTGGCCTTTTCTCTTGTGCTGTGTGCCTGAATTGATAACACTCAGGTGTGCAAATTTGTGCCAAACAGGTCTGTGGGCATGCCAAACAGGTCTGTGGGCATGTAGATGTGGAGAGATTAACTACAGATTACACTTATTGTCAAAATAGAAAATGCTTGCTTTTTGTTGAATAAACCATCCCAGTATTTTGAATGTATATAGTTTACTTGTTTTTATTGAGAACTAATATAAATACACATCTTCACTCCTCAGAAGTGGATTCTATATATACTACTCTACATAGCCTACATTCTCAGTCAGACCATCCCAAGCAAATAAATATGGTAACATCGGGTGTGGCTGTTTTCATACATTACAGTAACAAAAACATGTTTCAGCGCGATCTCTTACAAAATTGGGTTGACAAATAGAGCTATATGTAAAACAAGTCATTGTTACCAAGTTAATTCCAATTAGAATAGATCCTATGAATGGAATAGAATTTCTAAGTCACCACTTACTTGTTGTTGTGTATGCTGTCAAGTTGTGTTTGACTTATGGCAGCCCGAAGCCAAATCAATCATGTTGTTCTCTTAGGAAGATATATTCCAAGAGGTTTTGCCTTTGCCTTCCTCAGAGGCTATAAAACTGCTCAAGGTTTCTGGGACCAAGTGAGGCTTTGAAACCTGTTCTCTATAGTCAGACACCAACACTCAAATCACTACACTTCCTAAATTGCATTTTGCTTGGGTCCAGTTGGAGCATTGAATGTAGCTCAGCAACTTTTACCCAGCGACTTTGGAGCAAGATAGCCATGTGCATGTCTGAGGCCATAAAATTCTGGAAGGCAGTCTGTTTAGTGATGAAAAATGAAAACGCAGTGCTAAGATAATTCAGAATAGGAGCTTCTCTCTCACAGTCTTCCCACTTGGTAACCCAAGCATGTGTTTCTTTCTTTTCCTCCTGTAGTTAATACAGAATCAGAGACAGCAGTTGTCAATGTTACATATGCGACAAAAGAAGAAGCAAAAGTGTAAGTGGCAGCTTTAAATGTAATTTTCACCCCTCCTATCTTTCACGCTTGATTTTTTCCTTTCCTGGGAATGTCTCTTGGATTTTATGCTTGCATTTCCAGCGAGATCAGTGTAGAGCATAATGTTTCCGGACTGCTGCTACACCACAGACCTCAACATACCTACTCACCTGAATTCTCTTTTGAACATTTGAATTTGAATGGATGCCAATCAAGTAAAGCTTTCTCTGATTAATTGGGTCAAGTTGTGTATTCTTGTGTGGCTGAAATACTACATAGGAGAGACCAAACATTTTGCTTTGGTTGGGAGGATTTCTGTATCAAGAGTGGAGTTGGGAAAGCACCATTATCACCCCACTCCCTCCCTCCCCCCCCCCCATATATATAGAACAGTTTTCCCACTCTGGCTAGGGACAATGGGAGTTACAGTCACACACATCATGTCACTTAGTGGAAAAGGGTCATACTTTGTTTACTGCAGCTAGCTAACCATGTCCACAAATGGAGAAGAATTGGATTTAGCTGCAATCTTTAACTTGCCTACCCTTAATTCTCATTCACCGTGTTGTCACTTACAACTGAATAAGCATGTTTAGGAATATTCTCCAAGCCCCAAATTAGTTTAAACTGTTGCACATTTCATTCATTTCCAGTGGGGCTTCCATCGAAATAGACATTACCTAGATTTAGGCCAGTAATACTGACTGGTTCCATTAGAGATTCCTAATTATCCTTGACACAATTTTGTTGTTATTAAAAATTATTTCATACTCTGACCAGTGAATATTAAATCATAGTAAACTAGTTTGGAACTTCGTTAAAGAATTATGTGAAAATGATACCAGCGGTGAGCTGTGTGTGATTTCCCAGGACTATTTTTGTGGCTCTTTAGCCCCCCTGAATGTTTTGCCCCAAATGCCCTCGATAGGGAGGGTGCATATTTGCCATAATTTTATGCCTCCCCAAGATGATTTAGGTCCAGGAGATGCCTTTTTAATTACTTCATCACACTAGAGAATGAATACACTTTAAATCCGGTTTCTGTCTCCTGAAGAATTCTGGGATTTGTAGTTTAGTAAGGCTGTTAAAGGCTCCTCTCTAAACTACAAACCCCAGAATTCTGTAGGAGACAGAAACCGGATTTAAAGTGGATTCATTCTCTAGTGTGATGAAGTAGAAAATGGGAAGTGAACTAAGAGTGTCTTCTGTTTACATCTTACCTCTTCTGGGCCTAAAATTGCCCAGGGGCCTACAAACATAAGAAATGGAGAGCACTTGAAGGCCCTCTAAAATTATTTATGTATTTGGGGGGGGGGGGATGCGTACATGTGCATGTGCACACATGAAAGCTCACACAAGCATTTCCTTTGGAATAAATATACGCAACCAGAAATGCCCATCCCTGATATGTTTAGAATATATGAGGACTTTTGGGGCATGTTTATTGAAGTACTGTCAGTGCTGTAGAGTAGGAAGGTGTGAAAAGTTTTCTATCTAACTCTGCCCAAATGTATTCTGACTGTAGAACATAAAGTGCTTTGTTTCCCAGTGTGCAGCGCACAAATAGTTCACTTCAGTAGGCTTATCTGTGGATGTTTTTATCTGTGCTTTCCAGCAAAGAGCTGTCATGAATCACGATCAGGCAGAGTCCATAACAATTCTGTTGTGCCATTTACTTTTAGTTTCACATTTAGAAGTATTTATTCCTAGTAGTTTCCAGAATGAAGGAGCCTTGCATCCTGAAAGGACTGACACAATAGAATATAATCTTTGTTTTGCCAGTGAAATGAAAATCTCTCAATTTAAATGCTGAAAACAGCTTAAAGTATTGCTAAAATACCTCAATTTTAGGGAGGCCTTTCCTATCCTGATGATAACCAGATGGTCACGACCCCAAATGGGGTAATGTAAGTGAATGATTGGTGTCCCAAAACATTTGGCCACAAGATTGAAGAAGTCAGAAATGCAACTGCATGTTGTGAAGATCCCTTACCTTGCCAGCCTGGGTGGCAGGGCCTAGGAGAGGCAGGCTAGTTAGTTTCAGCTTAGAAGGCCTGGCAGAGGGCAGCAGGAGCCATTTTAGTTTAGGGAAAGCTCCATTTCAGAGGGGGAGTGGCCTAGGCCTGAGCCAGCCTTAGAGCAGCCAGGATTGGTTTATTAAAGGGGGGCGGAGTTAGACTGTTTGGAGGGAAAGAAAGAAGCTTTTTTAGGGAGTCAGTCTGTTGATGTTAGAGTTAGAGCAGGATTACAGAAGTTTTAGGAGTTCGTGGTTAAGAATAGGCAGTTTGCCTGAAGTTTGCCAGCGAATTAAGCTGTGGCAAACTGGGTACAGCTATTTAGGGAAAATAGCTGGGTTTTATATTTGTAACAAAGAAAGAACCATTCTCATGCAACCGTTACGCTTTCAAGAACAAGAACATTTTATCTGTAACAGCCAAGCTTATTAAACTGCATTCACTTCATTCTGTACTATATTAAATAAACTTTCCTTGTTTATTTTGAAACTTAAAAGCCTGAGTCCAGTGTGCCTTTGTGGCTATAGTTTCTCCATTCAACCTCAACTTGTTTTCCTTTTAAAGAAGCACATAAGAAGACACAGTGTTTGGTGGTCCTGGAAGCCCTTTTTAATATCTTTAAATAGCTAGAGGGTTCCTGTTCATTTAGTTTATGGTGGCAGCGAAAGTTTAACTAGAGAGACATCCCCTCAAACGTTCTATTGGTGCCAAAGTGGTGTAAATTCTTTATATTGGAGGGACAGGTGGTGGGATCTGTTTACCCCCTGTCCAGTTATTGTTTGGCCACACGACGTGCCTTTATAATTTGGTGTCAGATGGTGGGATTGATCGTATTGCCTTCTGCATAGTCTTTATACATGTCACCTGCGAGGTGGTCTTTCCTTTGAATAAGAGACTGACTGACCCATCTGTCCATGACCTCCAGACATCTGCTGTGCAGGATAAAAAGGCAAAGACAGAGGAAGGGTTGGGCTACAGGTTGGGGAAAGGCAAAAGTGGTGTGTTTGGGAGAAGACCCTGCAGCCCAATCCCTCCTCCATCTTTGTCCAGACACACCACTGTATCATTTTCCTGTGTTAAATTCTCAGGTCCAGATTAGACAGAGCAGTCCTTGCTTTTGAGCATTCATCCCCAAAGCTATAGATGTAGTTTAATGTACGAAAAGGCCAAGCTGGTGGATGCTGAATACAAACACACTGCAATATTTTCCATCCAATATTGTCTCAAGGCAGGGCTGTAGAGCTGGAAACATTTTGCAGATCTGTATTTTGTTTTTCTCTACATCCCAACACTCCTTCTTGGTGTTGTTTTTCTTGAAGACAATAATGTCCAAGTGCTAAAATTAAAAGCAGGAAAGAGATCCATTTCCACTCCAGTAATTCTCCTGTCCACACTTGAATATAGTTGCTCTCCATATCCTCAGATTGTACATCCATGGCTTCCACCAACTGTGGCATAAAAATACACAGAAAAAATCCAAAAAACAAAGGTTGATTTCACCTTGTGCTACACCAGTGGTTCTCAACCTGTGGGTCCCCAGATGTTTTAGCCTTCAGCTCCCAGAAATCCTCATACCTGGTAAACTGGCTGGAATTTCTGGGAGTTGTAGGCCAAAACACCTGGGGACCCAACAAAGGTTGACAACCACTGTGCTATACTATGCCAATGTGTATGGATATTCTGTTGTAGCATCCCACTATTTCACAGATCTTCCTGACACCTATTTGGTTTGTTTGCCATTTAACAAGGAATGGTATTTTACTATGTCATCATATGTAATGGGGGCTTGAGCATCCAAAAAATTAGTATCTGTCCCTGGAACCAAACCCAGCAGATACCAAGATAAAGAGTAAGAAATATGAAAAACGGAACCAAGAAGTAGCATTATTGGACATGCTTTTCTTTAGGGGATCAGAGAGGAGGGAATCACTTTCCTAATAATTTTCATTGGTGTTTGTATGTTTCAGAGCAATTGAGAAGCTTAGTGATCATGAGTTTGAGAACTATTCATTCAAGATTTCCTACATCCCAGATGACGAGGTGAGCTCCCCGCAGCCTCCTCAACGATCCCGGCGTGGGGGCCACTCTTCCAGGGAGCAGGGCCCCTCCCCGGGGGGCTCCTCGCAGCCCAAACAGCTTGATTTCCCACTACGGATCCTGGTCCCCACACAGTTTGTTGGTGCGATCATCGGAAAGGAGGGCTTGACTATAAAGAATCTTACTAAACAAACTCAGTCCAAGTAAGTACCATATATGGTTTAATATCCTTCCGTGGGGGCTCAGTTGGTAGCCTTTACATCTCTGTAGTTATGTTGGGGGTTTTGTTGGGGGTTTTGTCTCTACCAAATGCCAAGCAGTGGCACTGGAGTAAATTATGGGACAAAGGCTTTTTGTCTTTTGCAATAATCTGTATCTTAGTGTCGCTGTGTTTTGTATAGATTTGTACCAAGTATTGATATTAAAACTTCTGCAGTGATGGCTATGTTGTTGTTTTCAGACAAACCTTGGGTTTTGTTTTGTTTTTTGTTTTTTTGCAGAGATCCTGGTTAGACTAAAATGAACAATCAATCGTCACACATTTTATCAAGGCCTGTAGAGGCTTTTTTGGGGGGTTAACATATCCAGAATCCCCAACTGGGCTGAAATTGTCATTCAAAAAGCTCTGGAAACACTTGGATATACGTATAGTAGTACAGTTCTAATTATTATCCAAGGCTTCTCACTATTTACTGTCTCTTGGCTTCCCCCCCCCCCCCCCGCCTCCAGAAAAAGTAATCTGCAAGTGATATTTTCACTCAGAGTTGTGTCTGTATTTTCATTTTCTATTTTTCTTTACTGTTTTCCCTGATAAAGCTAATCAGATAAGACATCATATATGTAGATCTTTTACAGGATATGAAGGCAGCATTACTTTGTTTACTATACACTCCAGTTCTACTTCTGCCTTTGGCAGATGCCCATGTATTGGGTATCAGTGTTCACACAGGGTTTACATGTATTAGGTCGAATTTGTGAAGAGCAATATGCCTGATTGTAATCCTACTTGGTTTTGTAGCCATTGGATTTTAAACTATTAGGTCTTATAAAAATTTTGCACTGCAATTATGGGCATTGACTAGGCTTGGAAGTAGGACTCTTATAGTTGGAGAATGGATGTAATCCTATCCATTTGTAATCACTTTCTTCTCTGAAGGCAACATTACCTGTGCTCCTCCAGGTGTTTTGGACTTCAGCTCTCAGAAAACCCAGTCAGTTTACTAGCTGTTAGGAATTGTGGGAGCTGAAGTCCAAAACATCTGGGGGAACAGTTTGAGAAACTCTGCCTTAGGGTACTCTATCAAACTGAGATGAGGACAGGAAGCCAGAAGTTGATCGAGTGGGCTAATGCTAGTTTCTCTCTCACACTCCATCCATTTTATCTCTCTTTTTCTTTGTTTTTCCCCCCTCTTTCTCTTTTAAGCTTTTCTGTTTCAATCATCTTTGTCTTTTCCACATCTTATCCAGTCCCTTCTCTCCTCCCCATATTTAATTTTCTGACACCATCAACCCCCCTCTCTCTATCATGCTTTCGATCACTCCCATTTTCTCTCCACTCAAAGGACATTTGCAATTAAGCTGAGGCCACCTGCCATATTGAAGCCACAGGTTGCCCACTTGTACTCTGTATGTTATAGCATCCTCTCAACTACTTCCATGTTTATTGCTTTGCATCCCTAGATTTATCTTTTAAATAAATTTAAAGCTTCCAAGCAGCTGTTCTTCTCTTGCCAGACTATAAATACAGATGCCACATGAGGCTGGCCAGTAGATCTGTTTAATTCAAACAGATGTCTCATGTCGTTGTTTTATTTTATTTTACTTATTTCTCTTCCCACCCCCAATATTGGGATCCTTTAGCCATTGTTTCTGTATACTTGGGATGCTATCCAGAGATTTTCTATACTATTGAAGGCCAGCTTGGAGGAAACTGGTACCATGTGTCGGCTACTTTAAATGCATAGTGTGACAGTTGCTTACACAAAACAACTTGATTTTTAAATTTGATATAATCCACTGAATTGTTTTGAGGAGGAGGGATATGTTAGTACAGAGAATAATGTTCTAGTCTACACAGGGAGCTGCTGCCTACAAACATCCTGTCATCCCCACAGGGAGCAATTCACAACTGCCTCCACATAGGCACTGTTTTCATGCACATTATCCGCAGTCAAAGATGCCACACAAACTATGCTTTGTTTTCCTTTTGTGTGAGGCTACTTACAAATCAAATCTAAATGTTAAAACTAGTTTTTAAAAATATATTTCTATTGTGTTAATGTCAAAGCACCAATAAATTATGGGTCCCTACACATTCTTAGGACTGATTCCTACACGTGATGAACTCCCACACCATTGACACTGGGAGTATAAATGGCCACTGCAGTGGTAGCACTTGCCTGGGGTTTGGTAGGAGCACAGTAGGGAGGTTGTCTCTGGTCTACTTGAATTCCTTGTATTCAGTGAAAAATAATGAACTCTCATCTGGTGGCTGCTGCATGTGTGTGCTAATCCTTTGTTTAAACCAGAGCTTGGGGAAATTACTTTCTTGGGCTAGAACTCCTAGAACCCCTAAACCAGCATGGTTGCAGGCAAAATTGGTTGTGGGATAGTAGCAGCAGTAGTAGTAGTAGTAGTAATAATAATAATAATAATAATAATAATAATAATAATAATTGCCATCAAAGCGAGAATTGAAAAGTTGACGACAGATCCCAAGTGTAGACTCTGCAAGGAAACAATATGAAACAATAGATCATATCCTCAGCTGCTGCAAGAAGATTGTGCAGACAGATTATAAGCAGAGGCATAACACCGTTGCTCAGATGATTCATTGGAACTTTTGCCACAAATACCATCTGCCTGTGATAAAGAACTGGTGGGATCACAAGCCTGAAAAAGTTACAAAAAATGAACATGTCAAACTACTCTGGGACTTCCGAATTCAGATTGACAGAGTTTTGGAGCGCAATACTCCTGACTTCATGATTGTGTTAAAAAACAAAGTATGGATCGTTGATGTTGTAATCCCAGGAGACAGCAGGATTGAAGAGAAACAACTGGAAAAGCTGACACGATATGAGGATTTAAAGATCGAACTGCACAGACTCTGGCACAAGCCAGTCAAGGTGGTCCCAGTGGTGATCAGCACACTGGTTGCAGTGCCTAAAGACCTTGGCCCACACTTAAACACAATCGGCACTGACAAAATTACCATCTATCAGCTGCAAAAGGTCACCTTACTGGGATCTGCACGCATTATTCATTGATACATCACGCAATCATAGACACTTGGGAAGTGTCCGATGTGTGATCCAATACAATAGCCAGCAAAATGATTTTGTTTGCTGTGGACTCATCTTTTTATGTTTCAAACAACAACAACAACAACAACAACTTTATTTTTATATCCTGCCTCCATCTCCCCAAAGGGACTCGGAGTGGCATACACATGGGACAAAATGTCCACAAAACATCAAAGTAAAACAATATATTAAAACAAAAAAGATAATTAAAATAAAACATATCAAAGCATAACAATAAGATAAAAACACAATTAAGTAAAACATAAGGGTATAAAACAACAGCATTAAGACTCACTCCAACAATGCATGACAAAAAAAAAACCAGACATACTAACAGACATACTAAGATGGTCATGACCAGGCTATTCAAAGGACCGGGCATGGGATACTGTAAAACAGCATAGCATAGGGCTGGGGGATTGGAAAAAGTGCAGAGAACAGAGTACTATCTGGCAAACTAGGGACTGGGCATTAATATATATATATATTTGTTGTGTCAGGAGCAGTCGCTTCTGGTGTGAGAGAATTGGCCATCTGCAAGGACGTTGCCCAGGGGACGCCCGGATGATTTTTGATGTTTTTATCATCCTTGTGGGAGGCTTCTCTCATGTCCCTGCATGAGGAGCTGGAGTTGATAGAGGGGGTTCATCTGCCTCTCCCCGGATTTGAACCTGCGACCTCTCAGTCTTCAGTCCTGCCAGCACGGGTTTAACCCACTGCGCCACCCGGGGCTCCTAGGCATTTATAACTAGCAACTTGTCATTCTCAAATACTTATTGGAACATCCGGGTTTTCAGATCCATGCAAAAGGAGGACAGTGTAGGGGCTTGCCTAATCTCCTGGGGAGGGTGCTCCAAAGTTGGGGGGGGCACCACTGAGAAGGCCTTCTCCTTCATCCCCACCAGCCTTGCTTGCTCTGCGGATCTTAGAGCCTGCGCCAGTTCCTAGCGAAAGATGCAGTCACGAAGATAGGTGGGGCCCAAACCATTTAGGGCTTTGTAGGTCGTAACCTACACATTGAATTAGGACCAGGTCTTTCATTCATAGAATCACCGTAAGTCATACCTAGCAGACTTTATGCTCCAGGACTTCATCTTTGAAAGAAGCAAATATGTATCAGGCCGAATCAAGAAGAATTGGGTTCTGAAATGGGGGAAAATTAATAGATAAAGTCAAAGGAAAAGGAAAAATATAAAGATTTGAACCATTCTCTTTCTACGATTGTACAATTAAAATAATATTTGAATGAAAGATAGTCATGTTCCTGGTGGGAGGAGGGGGGAAGGGTGTAAAATCGATAGACACAAGTGGGAGATAAAGGTGAGATAGGCAAGGATAAGAACACTAAGAAAATAATATGTGATATGTATTTTGAAATGGGGATGGATTGTGATATTAGTCTACCTGTGTCTGGAATGAAAAAGTATAGGGAAAGAAAGAAAGAAAGAAAGAAAGAAAGAAAGAAAGAAAGAAAGAGAGAGAGAAAGAAGGAAGGAAAGAAAGAAAGAAAGAAAGAAAGAAAGAGTCATATTGATGACAGAAAATTAGAATAACACTTGATATGAACTAGTCCTTAAAATCTTAAATCTTGGTGGTTACCTTGTCTTTGAGAACTAGCTCAGTGTGGATTTGAAAATGAATTCCCTAATGATGACTTGTAAGTTTGAAGTGCCTATGGTGTGTAGTTCCTTTGTTGTGCTGTTAGGGTGCCAGCTTCAGGCCCCTTTCTCTGACCCCTAGCAGATTTCTTTGTGTGGGTTTTGTTGCTGCAGGGTAGACATTCATCGGAAGGAAAATGCTGGCGCTGCAGAAAAACCAATCACCATTCACGCCACCCCAGAGGGGTGTTCAGAAGCATGTCGCATGATCCTTGATATTATGCAGAAGGAGGCTGAAGAAACAAAATCGTGAGTCTTTCAAGTGTTGGTAGGGAAAATGGGAAATGAAACAGTAGTTGTTTTATTTAGCTACACAAAGGAAAGAGACTTGTAGCACCACAAGTAATAAATCTTAGATATTGTGAAGGCTCATATTATGTATATAGAGAAGGACTTTGAATCCAAAGCAATCTTCTTTCCCATTGTTATCTTGTGTCTAAACTGGCTATTCTTTTGATATTTTCAATTGGACAAAGGAGGAGAGAAATCAGTTTGAAGAGCAATTCCCCACAACAAAACCATATGAAAAAAATGATGTAATATGGAGTGCCTAAAGTAGATCAGGAACTATTAGCATCTTCCTGGACAATTTGGAGTAAACCAGAAAGGATTTCTGACTCCTAATTTAACAACAGTAAATTCTTTCTTCCCACCAGCTTCAATTTAAATTGCTGGTATCAATATAATTGGAGGCAGGGAGTAATCAGGATTTTTATGAAAGAGTATATAAACTCCATTTGATCTTCATACTAAAAACAAATTCCTGGTGCACGAATTATTTTATTTATTTACTTATTTCATACATTTGTATCCGATCCTTCTCACCCCTGGAGGGGGACTCGGGGCGACTGTTAAATGCTCAAACAAAGACGATTATAACAACAATTTACATTTAAATTGTTCAGACAGGTAAGCTGACATGAAAGAAATCATAAGTTTTTCCCATGTCCCTCAGAGCTGAAGAGATTCCCTTGAAAATCTTAGCACACAATAGCTTGGTTGGGAGATTGATTGGCAAAGAAGGACGAAATTTGAAGAAAATCGAGCAAGACACAGGGACCAAGATCACCATTTCTCCGTAAGTATCATGACCAAATGATGTAGAACCTCTCATCCCAGATGTTTCAAACGTCAGTATTATAGCACTATACAGCACTTAAATGAAAGAGTGTTCCATAACTATATCAATGTAAGGTTCTATAGTATGCTTTATCCAAAATATTTCAGATCAGAAGTGTTTTAAATTTTTACAGATCTTGTAATATCTGTATTTGCACATATGTGCATAATGAGAGCTTTGAGATGGGACCGATCTCAATAGGAAAGTCATTTACGTTTCATAAACACCTTGCGAACATCTTCTATATCAGTGGTTCTCAACCTGGGGTCCCTAGATGTTTTTGGCCTTCAACTCCCAGAAATCCTAACAGCTGCTAAACTGGCTGGGATTTCTGGGAGTTGTAGGCCAAAAACATCTGGGGACCCCAGGTTGAGAATCACTGTTCTATATAATACTTTAAATAATTTTGTGCATGAAAACAAAAATGTCACCATCTCTGCCACCCAGGTCGACAATTTTGAATTTCGGACTAATTTCAAAAGAGTCTCAGCTTCTCACCATCATTTCAGAGATATGATTAATGGTGGTTACTGGTAAAGGTCCCTCGTTCATTAAAACTATAGCCTTCTGACATTATAATGTTACAGTTATATAGCTCTTCTTTTATTTTTTGAAAATGATATTTAATTACTATTCTAATCTTTTGGACCATTCAATTTATTTTTTTGGTAATTATGCCACACCAACATTTCTAAAGTAAAAAACGCATTCAACCAAAAATCATTTGATCCCACTCATTCACTTTCAAGTTAAAAGAGTTTGTTTTTCCCCAAAAGCTTACTTATCTTCCTCAACTAAACTGATAAATAATATACTGTATTGTACTAGCTGTACTACCAGTCATAGGGCATGTTATAAATTCCAGAGGAAACAGGATAGTTTCCATATGTTCTTTTGTAATTGTCCAGTTTGCAGGACTTAACCATTTACAACCCCGAGAGGACCATCACCGTGAAGGGTAGCATTGAGGCCTGCTCCAATGCTGAAGCAGAGATCATGAACAAGCTACGGGAAGCCTATGAGAATGACATTGTGGCAGTCAATGTAAGCTTCTCCTTCTCCTGTTCTCTTGGTCACCCTCTTTTTCTGTTTGTTGCATCGAATCCAATTATAATAGTCAATATTCCCTGCGAAGGTAGATGAATGTGTTCTCAGTGCTCCAAAGAGAAAGTCAAAGCATCTTCCGAACCACACTGCATGAAACCTGTGTGGCCTAACACTTCACTCCCAACTCAGTTTTCCTTGTACTTTGTTTCTAGCAACAAGCCAATCTCATCCCTGGACTTAACCTCAATGCGTTGGGCATCTTCTCGACAGGCTTATCCATGCTTCCCTCTGGCACTGGAGTCCGCAGACCTGCTGTCAGTACTCCCTACAACCCTTTTGCTGTAAGTTGAGAGTTTTCCCCACTTCTGTGTATGTGAGTGAAAGTACATTCAGACCTGACCCCCCACAGAGACAGAAGGAACCAAGATCTTAACTGGAGAAGGTTAACAGAAGCCTCTGCTTTTCTTGCAAAGAGGTCAAACTGTGAAAAGACTTGTTTGTCTGCTGGCAGAATGGCTTTTAGTTATCTTGTCTTTGTATTTTGTTTATATTTGGATTTGTTGCACCTTTTGCATTGCTTTTTGGGGGTGGGATGTTTAAAAAAATGTATGCAACTTCTCCTGTGGAAGGAGGCAGTGGAGATACTGCTGTTGTAAACATATGATTTTGGAGTTTAATGTCCCCATAGTGAGGTGGGGCAGGGAAAAGGAACAGTACCATGTAAATGTGAGGTCTTTGGGGTGGTTGTATCAGAAGTTATTCATATGGGAGCCAGTCACTGTCTAAATGCCAACAAGGACAGCTTTTAGAGAATTCAAAGCATTTATTTATCTCACTGCCCAGGTTTGGTTGCTATGTTCAGAAACCAAGTACACTTTAGAAGTTTTTCATTATGGCTAAATGATTACTGAGTATGATTTGACTCAAATATTTGGTCAGAGAAGCAGGGTTGTTGGCTACTGTTGGATGGCATCCTCTCCTTCAACAAAGAGGGGCCATTTCTACCCCACTGAAGAGAACAGCCATACAAGGCAGAGGTGGGGAAACCTTGACCCTGTAGATGATTTATATCAGTTATTGTTAAGCTGTCTCATACGTTTTCAAAGAATGTCAGGAACTAGTACCATATTATAACCATTGGCTACATTTCTTCCATTCTTTTGTGAAACTCCTCCAGGGACTGGCAGCCATAGACCACCACTTTGAAAGCCCATGCTTTAGGCTTCAGCTAACAACATGGCTGATTATAAGGGATTGTAGGAGGTGAAATTTAAAAAGATCTAGAGGGGTAAACATCCCCCAACACTGATTTAACTACTGAACAACAGTTTGAAAAAGTTAGATTTTAAACTACAAAATCCCAGATTTTCTGGCCAACCATGCTAGTTAGTAATTAAAGGAGGTGTAGTACAAACAGTAAAATTTGTGATTTCTAATTCTGCACATATATTTTTATCTCTGCAAATGCAGTTATCCCTGTTATGTGTGATTCTGTGTGGAGTCTCATGTTTATCATTGTGCAGAAGTTGTTCATGCACAAAATAATGTGTTTGAATCTGATACTAGACACTGAAGTCCCAGTGGGGAGATAGGGCTGATATATATATATATATATATATATATATATATATATATATATATACACACACACACACACACACACACACACACACACACACACACACACACACACATACACACACACACACACACACACACAAAGGGATGAGGCATATAGCTAAGAGGTGCATATATCTAAGTTTTAATCCTTAGCATCTACAGTTTCAGAAAGGATCTCAAATAGCAGGGAGAGACCTTGGAGAGTCGATTCCCTACCAACTAAACAACAAAAATCACCTAAAAAATAATAAAATATTACCTTAAAAATACACACAACCTATGCAATTACAAAAATGAAACAATATTTTAAGGAAAAAAATAACTCACCTCCAAAAAAGCATGTTTATGCAGAAGGCATGGGCAGATTGATATGGGAAGAAGTGTTGTGTTTTATTTATTTGTCATCTTCAGCCATTTTTAGACTGGTTACCTAATTCTTGAGCTGGTTAAGATGCCGCTGTCATGAAACAAAAGTTTTGTGAACATAAGAGTTGCCCTTCTGTAGAGCTCATCAACAGTGTGTTGTTTCCAGTAATGAACAGCCAGATGCTTTTGGATGGCCAAAAGTAGGACATAAAGGCAACAGCTGCAACATCTGTTGCTTTCCCCCCACCATCTGCTCTTTGGAAACCTGTGCCCATGGAAGTTCTGTTCTTAGCTAATTGTTTGGATAGGTCTTGTCCCTCATGATTGAGTCAGCACTGTTAGTGGCTATCAAAACATCTAATGGCAATGAATTCAAGTTAATTACAACATTTATTTCATTCTAAGATGCATTTCCCCCCAATATAAACAGAAAGGTAAGGTGACCATCTGCCAGGAATGCTGTACTCTTCCAAGTGTAGCTTGATAGGAACTTCGCAGGCTCGTGGCCCAGCAATCCTGCCTGTACATCATTGCCTCTTCCCTCTTTGCTAGAGTCCTATACGCTGTTGCCAAGAAAACAATTACCCCGAAGAGGGCAGCATTTTTTGCGGTGCTGGGGGTGGTATGTTTTTTCCCCTTCAGGTCTAGAGCACTAGAGGTGTAAGTTGTCATTGGAAATGCAATCCCACCGCATTCCAGTCCCCTTAGTTCCACATCCCTCCCCTTGAAACACAAAACCTATCAATCAACCATTCCTGTTCTCAAAGCAGTTTCAGTGGAGTCTTAAGCACATATTCATTAGACATGATTAGCCATCCCTTTGGGGAGTGTTCTGATTCTCCTTTTTTCAATGATACTTCTTCCTGGAAAGTTGAGCAGACAGGTGATGGGATTCAGGAATCTGCCCTTCTCTTTTACATGTGCCTTCCTACCTGGTGTGTTACATTCCCACCTGGTTTGCCACTGAGGAAACCAGGAAAAAAAGAAGATTAATATCAACATGTGATGGAGGGTTCACAGGAACCAAAACACCCATTTCTGTGACAAGGAATTGTAATAGGATTTGCCACATCCTTGTTCACTGGCAGGAAGGTAGAAACATCCTATCACCAGCTAATAGACCCTCATCTCGTGCTGCAACTGCATTTTGATAAAGTAGGTTTGGGAGAACCTTTACAATAGCAGCAATAGTGCCTTTTTCATGTCAGAAGCGACGTGAGAGAATTGGCCATCTGCAGGGATGTTGCCCAGGGAATGCCCGAATGTTTCACCATCCTGTGGGTAGCTTCTCTTATGTCCCCGCATGGGAAGCTGGAGCTGACAAACAGGAGCTCACCACATCTTGCGGATTCAAACCACCAACCTGCAGATCAGCAGTTCAGCCGGCACAAGGGTTTAACCCATTGCGGAACCACAGTGCCATGATTGTGACTAATTAGCGCTAAGGAATATAGAGCAGCTACAGGTCCATAACTTTAAGTTACAAACCCCATAACTGTAATACAATATGTTAGCCTTTGTTTTTAGAACCAGAACTAAATTTAAACCAGAGTTCTTCCAGATTCAAATCTATTAATAATGGATCACAAGCTTTCCTGAGGAGTCATTTCTTTTCCAGCCCCCAGTTTTTGCTGTTATTATTATTATTGAGCCAATCAATGAGAAATCCTTGATGATCTAGTGCACAGCACCTGGAGATCTACCAGTAGATCCAGACCAGCCTTTTGCATATTCCTTCAATATTTTGTAACTCTTTCAAAAAAACTCTTTCACACTTCCTTTAACCTTGGTTAATTCCTAGGGAGTTTCCTGATTATTTAATAATCCACCACCCCATCTCTGAGTAACTCCAATCTGTTTAGATACTCAGCCACACAGATTGACCACCTCCAATACAATTTTAGAATGTATTCTTATTTTTCAAGCTATTCCCTCATTTATCAGCCCATTTCAATTCTCCCTCACCCTTTTCTACAAGTAGTATTGTTTTTCCCCTTTCCTTTCAGCTGACATTTTGGAGCTGTTGTGTATGACCAATCCTCCTTGAGCTGTGTTGTGAGTTGGCCTCCTTAACACATTTTTAAGAAGGCTGTTTTGTACTTGATAATCCCCTGAGCAAGCTGATACTACGCTTCCTTTGTTTCTCAGTGGCCCTGTTTACTGTTAGAAAGACTGACAATATTGTTCCAAATCAATTCAACGCAGTATTATCTGAGGAGGCAGGTTATGCTTTTAGCTGAGAATCATGAAGTCATCGATTGATGGGAGAGGACAAGTGATGTTCTATGTTTATAAAGTTGCCCCTGTATCTAGAATGAACCGGCACATCGGGAGGTACAGAATATTGGTTTTTGGTTGTAAACCCAGAGGGCAACTTGCAAGCATTTTGGGTGCATGAGAACTAGAGCTTGAAAACATTCATTTTAGGCAGGGTATAGCTCCCAGTGGCCAAGCTAAAGAGCGGGGGATTTGAGGAGTTATTGTCCATAAAGTCATTTTTCCGAGCCCATGCAGAGCAAGGACGTGTGGCCTTTCCCTGTTGACTGTCACTTTCTCTCCTGACTTAGAGCCAAATGGCATACCTCTCGGGCCTCTATGGAGCCTTGCCGAGTGGCGCATACCCTCATCAGCACTCCGTAAGTGGGTTGCCCTGTTCTTTCTGGATGCTGGCCTTCCACACACCCTGCTTGCAGCACGCCTGTCTGTCGCTTGGGAGGACTGTTCTTCTGCACCCTTTTTACTTAGCTCCAAAGAGAAGGAATTCTGCTCTGGAGCAGTTTTTCCATACTTTTGCACACATAGCTGCAGCTGCTTCCTCTGTCTTTTCTGGTGGCAGGAACTCCTTTTCCTATCTTATGTTTTGAATGATTCTCTGCATAATATCATGAGAAAAGACAGGCAGGGGTGTTGGCTAGTTAGGATAGTTTTTAAATATTGCTTTATGACAAAATGAACAGTGAATCCTAGCATAACTGTGTTGTTCTTATAGCCAGATAATGAGACCGAGTACTCTCTTTTCCGAGCAGCAGCGGTTCTTCAAATTTATTTATTTATTTATTTAAAACTTTTATATCCCAATCTTTTCACCTCTGTAGAGGGACTCAGACCGGCTTACAGCAAGGATTCAACGCTACTAATACAAGTTAAAACATCATACAACAATACAAGATTAAAATACATATAGATAAAATACATATATACCAAATCATCAAGGTAAAATCATGTTCAACTCAGTCCGCATATGTGGTCACTCACTTTGGCCTGTAATCAGTCTCAGCCATTATTCTGGGAATGCTTCGTTCCATAACCAGGATTTCACTAGCCCAGCAAAAAAAAAATGTCCCAGCAAAAAAATATCAAACACTTCTACCGAAGATCTTTTTCTAAGGCACCCACTTAGTTTATGTGCCTGGGCACTTTTTGACCCTCCAGATATTGTTAGACTGCAGCTTCCTTTATTTCTCACCATTTTCTAAGATGTTTAAGGCAGTGGCAAGGACTACTCTCCTTATTCTTGCATGTTAGATTTGCCTGTTGTATAAAGCACCTCCATACAGATCATTTTTAGTACTGATCATTTTTAGTAATCTGCCATAATCCTTAATTTCCCTACATAATGAAGTTTCTGTGCTAAGAAACCCCTCCCACATAAAATTAAATAAATGGTGGGAAGCACACACACATACAGTAGAGCCTCACTTATCCAACCGTCGCTCATCCAACGTTCTGTATTATCCAAAGCAGTCTGCCTCCCGCCTGGATCCACAGCTGTTTCAATACATTGCGATGTTTTGGTGCTAAATTCATAAATACAGTAATTACTAAATAACATTACTGCTTTTTCTGTTGATTTGTTGTAAAACATGATGTTTTGGTGCTTTATTTGTAAAATCATAACATAATTTGACGTTTAATAGGATTTCCTTAAACCCTCCTTATTGTCCAACATTTTTGCTTATCCAATGTTCTACCGGCCCATTTATGTTGGATAAGAGAGACTCTACTGTATATGTATATATTGTATATAGAAGCTTTGAAATGTCATATATGAAAACCTATGGCCTTAACCCAACTTCCAATCCCAACTGGGGCTGAGCTATTCATTTCAACATTTATTGACTCTTCTCTAGTAAGAACTGGCCATTGGATTTAGGCCAGTCTCACCCAATGGTAGTACATGGTTTTGGAAAGCATGTTTAATCATCCATAATTTGCTTACCTGGGCTACTCACTTTTGATTTGTTTGTTTGTTTGTTTATTCATCCTCACCTCTGGAGGACAGTTTACATAAACTTTGGATATGGCTGAGTTGCAAGGGAGAAAAGAGTCATATGTGCTTCACATTTCCTGTTTCTCTGCGTCACTGTAGTGTCTATATATAAGCTGCCTTGGATCCCATCTTGGGAGAAGGGTGGGATATAAATTCAAAAAATAAATAACCTAGATAGATTGATAGATCAGTGGATAGATAGATATTCCAGTGTTCCTCTGGATCAAAATGGTTGGGGTGAAATGAGGTGACCGAAACCACAGGTTCTGGAAGTGGGATTCTCTTATGCATCCTGTTGTCTTGTGTTTTCCTCCTACAGCCAGTGACCTAAATCCAGTTGCTAGTTCTAACTAGAGCAAACCCACTGGATCACTGAAACTTACATTAGTTTTGACTTAACAAGTTTAAATTGATTTTGATGGATTTTACACCAGAACCTATTTTAAGAAGCAGAACCATCCCTTCCTAATTCTTGCCAGTTTGGGCTAGCCAACAGAGAAGGCTGGTAACCTTGTTTATTTATTTAATCTTTCTGGTGATATCAATGGGAATGGAAATCTGTGTGCCAGTTCCAGAGCGGTTATAATTTTTCCCTCTTTGTCAAAGATATCTTGAGTGAACTGTGGTTTTTTGGTTTCTGTGAATCAAAGACTTCCTTATTCTTTGGAGAACAATCTGTTTTTGGGCATGATGCTGCCAGTGATGCTCTCTTTCAGCATACTAGTGGCTTCCAAAGGCATAAATCCTACCCTGCAGCTGAACAGCCTTCCATGACATTGTACAATATGTCACTGTACTGCTGTCAGACCAATTGAAATCAATGGGGCACACACACAGTTAAATGTTCCCCTGTGAAGTCGCCATCTATTGTCTTACTACTTTCAGTAGGTCTTCAGCTGCATGCATTGGTGGCCTCCACTATATTTAGCTCCCTGTCTATAATGGGAGTCCTCTGTGTCCTCTTCTGTCAGACACCGTGAGTGCTTTCTTGTGACTCACTCCATTAATTTTACTGCTGAGGTGGAAAAGTTCTACTATCTAAATTTTCCAGTCCTTTGAGTTGCATGTGCTCAAGCAAAAGCTTATATAGATGTTGCTGTAGGAATGTATTTGCATGTGCACACTCAGTAGTACACTAAGACTATGAAGTGTGTATTTTTACACAAACCATTCAGAATATTACTATTGCAAAGGGATGTTGTAGCACCTTAGAGACCATAATAATAAATAATAATAAACTTTACTTATATCCCGCCACCATCTTCCCCAAGGGGACTCAGGGCGGCTAACATGAAGCCAAGCCCAGGAAATACAATAAAGCAAAGTAAAATACAAACAAGCACATAGTAGCATCAAAGTAAAATGCAAACAATAACAAAATATACAATAAACAAAAGCAATATAAAATGGTAGTGGGTGGGCCAAATGCAAAGGATAAAGTTATAAAACCCTGGGTGAAATGGATAAATAAAGTGTTGTATCTGAGGGGAGACTCAGAAGGGACAAACAATGAGGTTAATCTTCACTAAGGGACGAGAGAAAGTGCATCAAGAGGACAGATCTATACTGAGACGGACATGGTATGGTGATTTGTTGTTCATTCGTCAAAGGCACACCAGAAGAGCCAGGTTTTTAGGCCTTTCTTAAAGGCTGCCAAAGTAGGAGCTTGCCTAATCTCACTGGGTAGCGAGTTCCAAAGCCAAGGGGCCACCATGAAGAAGGCCCTCTCCCTTGTCCCAACAAGCCTTGCTTGTGATGGAGGTGGGAGCAGCATAAACCTTCATAGGCTAAATTTACTGCCTAAAATGTTTCTGATTCAGTCTATGATAACTAAGGTTACCAAGTTTGTTCCCTCAGTCTCTAAGACTAACTGCATATTGATATTCCAGACGAATACAGCTAGATCTTTGATTTCTACATCTTTGATTTCTACATCTAGAATTTGGACAGTATATTTAATACTTTCTATAATTAATTTCAAATAGTCTCCATATCACCACTCTTCAGAGTATCCACCAGGGTAGAAAATAAGGAAAGGAAAGCAAGCTGTGAGCTGTTAATATCTTACTGAGTGGTTTGTTGGAAGGTATCTCCAGAAGAGAGGCTATTGTTGTGCTGTTCTGAGTGGCTCAAAGGAGTTAGGTATATTCTCAAGTGCATGAAAGATGGATTTGCTATTCTGTAATGGAGTGCTAATTAACTTGTCATATTCCTAATTAGCGTGGTAAAACTCCTCTCCAAACACACAGACTTTTCAATACATATTTAGTGTGGAAGTCAAGATTCTATCTGTATTGTGAGAATAGAGCCTGAAATGGTAGATATTTGGGCTTGATTGATGTGTTAGTGGAGTTTAAATCTAAGTATCATGCTGAGTGTTTTTGTTTTGTTTGGCAGTATTGGGTGTTTGAGAGGCCGTATATTGCAGTGTTTTGAATGCTGGACTCGGATTTTGAAGACCAGGGCTCAAATCCCCACTTGGCCGTGGAAAAGCATGTGGTGACCTTGAGCAAGTCATATTCAGCTTCAATTTAAGGCAAAAGCAAACCCTGTCTGAACAAATCTTGCCAAGGAAACCCATTAATAGGGGTGCCATAAGTTGGAAAAAATGTGAAGGCACATACAACAATTGTGTGTAACTAGAGATGTAAGAACAAGGTAGCGGTTTTATTTTTATTTTTGCCTGTACCGTGAGATTTCCTTCAGAGTAAGGAAGGGTTCAGTTATTCCTCATCTTCTTTCCAAGCACCTGAGCTGGGTGCCTTTTCTTTGCTGGTGTGGATATTCTTTGCCAGCTGCCACGGAGGGCCAGTCCTTGCCTGCTTTCTTCTCTGCCTTACTGCTGCATGCAGGTCAGATTGACTCTATGAGACAAGTGTACCTTGGGAAGCAGGCAGGAACACTGCACATCTCACATGCCAATGTACATTTTCTGTCTCTTGCCCCCTGCAGGTGCCAGAGCAAGAGGTAGTGAATCTGTTCATCCCAACGCAAGCAGTGGGTGCCATTATTGGAAAGAAGGGCCAACACATTAAGCAGCTGGCGAGATTTGCAGGTGCCTCAATCAAGGTAAGGAAGTCCACATATTAATTCAGAGGACCTATGGATCTCCAGATATTGTTGGACTCTAATTCCTATCAACCTCATCCTGCCTCATTGGGAATAGGAATTCATCAACACCTGTAAGGTCACAGGTCACCCAACTCCATCATCCTCTTATACTTTCCATCACAAGAACCAGCTGTTGTAGCAGTCTGGCCACCTTATACTCGGATCTCTTAAAGAAATGGCTTTTATGAGAGTCTGTGTGGTGTAATTCGTAATGTGCTGTGAATTGAGAAATTCGGGTAGAGAACAAATAAGAAACATCACCAGAAGAGAGTTGTTTGTATATTGCTACAACAAAACATAGCTTGGAAAACTTCCACCATCTCTACAATATTTACAAACTGTATTTGCATTTTATTTTCCTCTCTCGCTTCCCATCAGCAAGTTAATGCTCGGTTGATGGGAACGAGAGAGCGGACCTTCCTTCTCAGTGGCTGCTCCACAACTTTGGAACTCCCTGCCTAGGGAAGCCAGAATGGCCCCCTCCCTGCTGTCCTTCCGGCGGCAGGCTAAAACGTTTTTATTCAGGCAGGCTTTTAAAGATGGTGTTTAATACCATCAAGGGCTGCTGTGTTTTTTAATGTGATTTTATATGCTTTTAAGGTTTTAATCTGGATTGTTCTAATATTAATGTTGTTTAATGCTGTTTTAATATTTGTATATTTGAAGTTGCACTGAAATGCTTTTAGTTGTGAGCCGCTTTGAGTCTTCGTATGGAGAGAAAAAGCAGGATATAAATAAACAAAATACATAATATAAGCACAAGTGCAATACTGGAGAAGCATAAAGAGTGGAGAAAAGATGGGATTTCTCCTCTACAAAATTTTGACATTTTTTAAGAATCCAGTTATAATCTTTCCCAGTCTTCCAGACTGGTTTAGAAAAGATAGCTGGCTGTGAATGCAGGACAGCTGATATATTTAGGAAGTCACTCACTATTGGAATCTGATTCAAGTGACTCTTGAAACCTGAAGACAAGTGGGCCTTCCCGGCCCTGCATGACACTTGTTGGGGAAGGGTTGGTGACACTGTGCCAGTCAAAGCAGCCTATGTGTGAATCATGATGAATTGGGACCTGTGGTATATTCAGAGAGCAGACAGTGACACACCCAGATTAGAGCTAAATCTATCTTATGTTCTGAACCCTTGCTAGATTCGTGCTGAGGTGTGTTTTGCTTGTGCTACTAAGCAGGTTTCCTGTTTATTACATGGAAGTGCTTGAGCAAATGAAAACTCAAATGTGAAGTGCCTCTGAGGCTGTTAGATCTAGATTCTTGGAAGGGGCTGTCTGTATAAAACTTGGCATCCTTTGCTAAAAGGTATTTCTGCCTCCCTTTGCTTCAGTGATCATTCAGGTGCTTGGAGGGTTACTGGATCACCATATCTGTCTTAAGCTCTGTAGGCCAACAGGGCAACAAGTATTCTACTCAGACTATAGATGACTTGTCTTAGCATGACCTCATATGCACATATCCATTGTTTCATTTATCCAGCAAAACATGTCCTCTAGGCATTTTCTAAGTTCTCCAGTGCAACTTTATGGTATTCATGTTTACTGTTATCTGATATTTCACATCACCACAAAAAATCCAACACACAAAGTCCAAGTACATGGCCTCCAAGGATACAAAGATCATGTTGTACTGAGGATTGTATATTTTTCAAGTGGAGACTTCAAAGAAGGCGATTTATAGTACAACACAAATTGCACTACAAATTGTAGTGCAATATAAATACAGCTCCTTGGCTTGGAAATGGAGATAAGCACCTCCCCCAGAGCTGGAGATGAGCCCTGCCTCCAGAGCCAGAAATAAAAGGAGAAGCTTTTGCCTTTTTGTGTGTATTTGTATTTCATTGTAAAAAGGCATTGAATGTTTGCCTGTGACTGTTTATATGCTGGGAGAAGGGCGGAATATAAATAAAGTGTTATTTTTTATTATTAGCATTATTATTATTATTATTATTATTATTATTATTAATTATACTGAGGCCTTTGGCAAAAGAGAATATGGTATCCATGGTGTGTACCAGTAAGAAAAAATTAGGGCAGCTTTGCCCTTTAAGCTAGGTATCACAAAGAACGTGAAGCAAATAGATGACACAGAATGCAGTAATATAATAGTGAAGATAACAAGCATTGTGGAGATCAGTGCAATATGCAATGTCTTCTTTTAATTTGGGAACCTATTCACTGGATTCTATATAGATTTTTTTTTCAAAATCCATAGTACATAAGTGGTGAGCAAAGGGACAGAAGAATTTGCTGTGCCTGATTGTATTTTCTCTCATTGCAGATTGCACCAGCTGAGAGTCCAGAAGCCAGTGAGAGGATGGTTATCATAACGGGGCCTCCAGAAGCACAATTCAAGGTCAGTACACAAAGCCCATTTGTGTGAACCAACCACAAGGTACAAGAGGATAGCAGCTGCCCAAGAGAATGTGAAAGGCTAGTAGTTGTTGAGTTCAACTAACCTAGAAATACTCAGAAATCCTTTTCTTCTTTTTTAGAATGGTGAAATGAGTTGTTTGCATCCCACATAACTTTGCCTGGAGATTAGAATTGAGTTGGAAATTCAACAACTTTCATTTGTTTTCCTAGGCCCAGGGACGAATATTTGGGAAACTGAAAGAAGAGAACTTTTTCAATCCAAAAGAAGAAGTGAAGCTTGAAGCCCATATTAAGGTGCCTTCCTCTGCAGCAGGTCGTGTGATAGGAAAAGGTGGCAAAACGGTAGGTTGGGCAATATATATCAGGTTCAAGGAAAGTATTTTTAAGGAAAACCTGCTACTGTGCTTGCTACCTAGAGCAGTGCTATTCAGCGTAGTGATTCACAGCCTAGTGCCAGTCTGTGAGTCAATAGGGGATCCATGGTAAGTTTCTAAGAAAGGAAGAAATATATGTGGGTACAGTACCAGTCTGTAACACATGTAGCACTTATTTAAAGTAAGTTCAAGTCTCTTTTCCTTTTGGATTTGTTTGCTTGCCTAGATACAGGGCAGGGATTGGATGGATATCTAAACATTCTGGTAATGCTTAGTGTTAATGTTATCAACTTGCAATTATCTGAATGTTGCAAAAATGTAAAAATGAACACTATGAAAAAATAAATTTGCTGTATGCTCACTTCTGTAGGTGAATGAATTGCAAAACTTAACTAGTGCAGAAGTAATTGTACCACGTGACCAAACACCGGATGAGAATGAAGAAGTTGTTGTCAAAATAATTGGTCACTTCTTTGCCAGTCAGGTAAAGTATTTTTTTAAAATATGATTATGATTTGGAGATTAACCATAACTCAACATTTTGAGCTGTTGTGTTGTCGAAGGCTTTCATGGCCGGAATCACAGGGTTGTTGTAGGCTTTTCGGACTGTATGGCCATGTTCTAGAAGTATTCTCTCCTGACATTTTGCCTGCATCTATGGCAGGCATCTCAAAAGTTGTGAGGTCTGAGCTGGTTTGAAAGAGTATGAATATTGTATATTTAATGGGACATAAAATATATAACATTTAAATTGATATGTTGTTAGCACTAGAATATAGAAACACATGACTTAACTTGAGTAGCACCATATACCCAAGGTACTTGGAAGTCCTTGGGCAAAGGCAAATTGGTAACTTGAAAAATGCTTAGAATAGTATATTTGAGGTACCACTTTTGAAAGGTAATGAAAGCATTTCTTCCAGCTTTAAAAGCCATATATTTTATGCAAGGTTGTTTGCTAACTGACAGCAGAGTACCCTACAAGAATGCTTTCCAGCAAGAGTGATATTTTCCAGCAGTAATTTCAACAAAGTTGGACCCATTGTGGGTCACATACGTAACAGATACCTCATACAGTTCAGCTAAAGATGTGGTAAACACATGGGCAACAAAGTGAGTGGGTTTCATATTTTTTGGCAGCTGGGAGGGAAGAAGGTATAGGTTAACCCAGGCATGGGCAAACTTGGTCCCTCTGGGTGTTTTGGATTTCAACTCCCACAATTCCTAACAGCCTACTGGCTGTTAGGAATTGTGGAAGTTGAAGTCCAAAACACCCGGACGGCCAAAATTTACCCATGCCTGGTTTAATCAGATACAACCCAGTTGCCAACTATCCAATGTGCTTTTTGTTTCCTTGCTTTATTAATGGAGAACTGTTTTTTCCTCTACTGCAGACTGCACAGCGCAAGATCAGGGAAATTGTCCAGCAGGTGAAGCAACAGGAACAGAAACACCCTCAGGGAGCCCCTGCCTCGCAACGCAGCAAATGAGGCTCCCGGGTGCCTGCCAGCCAGCAACAACCGATGAATGTAGCCCTTCCAACACCTGACAGAATAACCGGACCAGAGAGCAAACCAAAGACTATCTGGAGGCATCCAACCCGCCCTTGAGGCTGGGGCTCTGCAGAGGACTTCTAGTTCCCAGGGACGGGGAGGGAGGGCTTCAGCCGGCAGGGGAGGGCCTCCCACGCACCACAGCCGACACAGAGTCTGTCTAACAGTACAACGCTATCCCTTTAGTTGGACTAACAAAGGCAGAAATTTTGCAGACAAACCCATTCAGAATCTTTTCTGTACATGTGTGTACATACTAGGAAAACTTTTTTTACACAGTGCATGGGCTGTTTTACAGGGCAGCATTAATATATTTTAGAATTAATATAGCTAACTAAACTAACTCCAGACTTTAATTTCTTTTTAAACAACTACTTTTTTTTTAAGGAAGGAAAGATGTTAGTCCATTGTGGATTTTTAACAGAAAGTAGGTTGGAGACTTAGGATGGCAACAGCCAAATTTAAATGGGAATCAAAAGTAACCAAGATTTAGAGGGGCTTTAGGAAGACTGAGGGCAGCTGCCTGCCGCTTTGGATTGCCTGTAAGTGCCAACAGAAGGGATACCGTCTCGTTAGCAGAGGAATCTCTATGCATTTCTTTCTCCAGCTCATGTGATCTTCTCTTTGCTTCACAGATCTCAAACTGGTTTTTGCATACAGTCTCTTCTTTTGTACCACCATTCAATGCAGTGCTCCAAGTAAACACATCATGGAAAAGTTACAAAAAGAACCACCCAGCCACAACTTCCACTTTGCTTTTCAAAATGCCAAGCTACAGATACACTTAGGTTTCCTAAGGTGGTGGTGGGGGGACTTCACCCTGCTTACAGGGAAACAACACAGTTGGTACATTTTGTGTGCAGGATGCTGCCACCTATACTTTGGGAGGTGGGTTTTTAAAAATGGGATTGACAGGAGGGTGTTGGCCCAGGGCATGAAAATTGCAACTTTTTTTCACAAGAAAGAAAGAAAGAAAAAAGCAAACAAACAAACTACCTCAGGTGTTTCCATACCTCAGCACCTTGCTCTTGTGTGTCCCTTTTTGAGATTTTGTATGCCTTGTAAAACTGAGAGTTGGAGCATTTTTTATTTTTTTAATAAAAATGAGTTGGAAATAAATTTAGACAAGACAGCTGCCAGGTGGAAGAAAGCATCATTCTGTATGATGACTATTCTGTATTATCCTTCTGCTAGATGAGAATCGATGGCCTTGAAACGTAATAAAAATAATAAAGGATAGACATGCAAGAGACGCTGGAGCAGAACTCCTGAGTTTGACAGGTTATGCACGATTGAGTTTTTTCTGTGCTAACGAATGGATGCTATACTGGTTTTTGTGAACGTACCATTGTATCAACAGAATGCAATGCCAGTTTTCTCCACTTCAGACAAGTGTTCTATGAAAAACAAAATATACCCAGCTAACAAGACTCTGACCCAAGTAGTTTTATTTAACACCAAATGACCACCAATGAAAAGCAGATGCAGTAGGCCATATTTCAGAGGAAGGACTAGCAAAATCATCTCTTGGTATTCCTTGTCTAAGGAAGCCCTAGAAATTTTACATGGCTGCCAAGTCAACATATGACTTGAAGGCACATAGGTCCACATAAGGAACAAACTTGGCAGTGAGCAACCCTTTTTCAGTAGTCTACTCCCCTACTTCAACTAGAAGGTTATTTGCAGTCTCGTGAGGTCAATGTGTGTAACAGAAACAAAACATACCATTATCTGGTTGATTGTGACTATTTACATTATAATGACACTCCATATTTTGAGGTCAATGTCATAACTATTGCCTTAGTGTGTTCCAGTTGTCTCTCACCTTGTGTTTTTCTTTATACAAAATCTTGAGCAGAGTAGCACCGAACCAGAAAGCCAACTAAATATGGAAATAGGACTGAACCAAGATGAGGTGGTAGCTAGTAAGCTACACAGTATTTGAGGGTTAGTGTGACAGAAGTCATTAACATATGCTAAAACAAAGTTTACAAAGCTAACTGCTCACAAAATTAATTTTATCACATACATGTTTACATGCTAACCAACAATAGGTAACAATGCCTATGAGTTCTCCAGTTCCTGCTTTTAACAGAGAACTAAGTTGCAGATAAATAGCTGATTCCATTAACAGCTTCATGCAAGTGACCAGGTTTCAACATCATCAAATGTCCTTTGGAAGCAAACCCTCCAGTTGTGAGGGTTCCCACTGCCTAATGGTGTAGTTTTCAGAATTTGGCTAATGCCAGGGAAATACAGCTTATATTTAACTTACAACCCCTAAGGACGCTCCTATCTGAAATAGTTAACAGACTCACAGTGCAATCTTATGCATACCGATTCAGAAGTAAGCCCCAAATTACCTTGAAGCCACAATGTAAGTGTATATAAGTTGTTACTCGGCATACAAGAGTACAGAGAACAGGTCATGGAGTTTTCCTGGCATGATTTGTTCAGAAGGGCTTTGCCTTCTTCAGGATGAGAGTGTGACTTTCCCAAGGTCACCTAATGCAGTGGTTCTCAACCTGTGGCTCCCCAGATGTTTTGGCCTGCAAATCCCAGAAATCTCAACCATTTTACCAGCTGTTAAGATTTCTGGGAGTTGAAGGCCAAAAGATCTGGCGACCCACAGGTTGAGAACCACTGACCTAATGGATTTCCATGGGTAAGTGAGGATTCAAACTCTGTATTCACTCGTAGTCCAACACTCAAACCACTGTTCCACACTGCCTCCCAGTATGTGCAGGACTACAGCCTAGAACATTAGCTCACTATGCTTTTAAATGGCTAAGAGATTTTTAAAAAACTTGTGTCGCCAGCTCATCTTATTGGAGTCTCTTAGGATCACTGAGAATATAAGCACTTTAAAATGCAGTATAATATCAAGGATTTTAAACAAAAACTGAATTTGCTTAAACATATCAATCCAGTAACAACTACAGAAACATAATGTATATACATTAAGGTAAAGCTCCTTAAATGTGGGCTACCACAAATTCCATTGTAGATGTGTTCCTGGAGAAGAATGAAAACAATGGTGTAACCCTGTCTAGAATGTTGCTGCTTTGTTATAGAATAGTGAGCTCCAAACATGTTTCCACTTAGGGGGGTGAGCAACTACCTGAAGTTTGGGGCTGAATGCACACCCCTCACTGAATGAAGGAGAACGAAACAATGCCAAAGGTGTTTCTGAAGAGGGGCACATTTTCTGTTTCAAGTGTCAGCTTCAATTAATTTTTTGCAAGGGTGGTGTAGTGTGAGGTGTTCCCCCAAACTCAGTCCCTCACTTCCTTTTCTCCCGCTTAAAAATTACTCCTTTGAATACTCAATTCTCTTCTTTTTCTATGCCAATAAACAAGCTGATGGTGAACACATTAATCATGTACAGAGAAAAGAAACAAGGTTTTTCAGCATGTTCTGTACTAAAGACCACAGCCCTTTAACATTCAACTTAACAATTTCCAGAGTTTATCCCATATAAAAGGCATGCTGCAAATTAGAAAATTCCTGGAGTTGCTACCCTTATCCCATAAACTTTTATGAAGCTATTTAGTACTAAATCTGAGAGATTTTTTTTTATTTTAGCCATTTGCTGATAAATTTCACTAACTTCTGTTCTGCCACCTCAGAAGTTCTGAGTAAAAATAACAGTGCTGTTCACATTAATTTAAAACAGGTTACTCGTAGATAAATATTTATTTCTAATTTTAGTTCATAAAAGCATTTTGGAATTTCAACATGTGTTCATTTAAATACAATACAAATAAATAATTTCATACAAAGTTATGATACTTTTAAATAAAGAATGACCCTATCTAGGGCTTTTAACTAAGGATTTGTTACAAATCAAAAGGGAGTTTCCATCTTTCAAAATCACGACAAATCCAGTTTTAGAAAGAAGGTTTCCATCTTCCAGTAGAATGAGTTTTGCTTTGATCCATGATTAGCCCTTTGAATGAAAAAAAATTCCAATACAAATACATGCTCTTAAACATGCTTTGTGGTCTCCACTGAAGTCCATTCAAGAGGGTACTTTGAATCGTGCTGCATAAGAGAGAGGTATGGGGTTCAGGCAGCTAACAAGTCACTTGTTTTGTTACCAGATGACAGGTACATAATACTGTCCGATTCATGGAGCTAGAGCAGCTGCTGATGAAGTATCTCCCACACCATCCTTTTGCGGTAATAAGGCATGTGACACTGCAAAACAATGAGCGTACAGGACTCACTCACTTAAGACAAAATGTCATTTTGTGGGAGTCAACATGCAACCCTCTGCCCCTTCCATGCATTGTTAGTATTCCAAGTTACTCACCTGTGAAAATACAATGGGTTTATCTCTGGAGATAAAATCTGCATATTTGCAAACAAATACTCCACAGTCACTGCCATTCCGTTGCTGCGGAATTTCCTAAGGCAGGGAGAAAACAGATGTACAGATGCTTCAGTTAGTTCCTTTTTGCTTTGTTTTACTAGCCAATTACCATAGCAAGGCTCTCATTCTGACACAGCAAAGCCAATTAATACTGCATTTCACATTCTTCTATTATAGTAACACAAAGTTGGGACTATAATGCTTACGAACTCTTTACTTTAATGCAGGCCTCTTCAACTTGTGGCCCTCCAGGTGTTTGGGCCTCCAACTCCCAAAAGCTTTAGCCAGCTTGTTCAATGGTCAGGAATTCTGGGAGCTGAAGTCCAAAACACTTGGACGGCCACAGGTTGCAGACGCCTGCTTTAATGGTTAGTTCAAGGATGAGAATTTGGGTGGAGGGGGGAGATGGACATCTTGAGCTCCTTCAATAAACTAACTTAATTTTAAAGATGTTTTGGCAACTGCAATGGGTCAAGGGAACACTTTTTTGTTCCATGACCTTTTTGTGGGCTGCTTAGACAGCCAAAAACAAACAAACAAACCCAAACAAAAACAGGGAGGAGGGACAGTATCTGATATTGTAAGTCCAAAGAGAGCATCCTTCAAGGATAAGCAAGTCACACTCTTTTTGTCCCCCCAAAAGGTAATCTGAAGAGTCTGGAAAAGTGGCAGCCAGCAACAACCATGTTGGAAGTGGGACTGTTCTTTATCCACATTTTTAAATGCGTGAGTTGGGTCTGCTTTGAGCTGAGCCTTCTTTTTCATGAGAGGAAGCATTTTTTTTTTCTAAAATGCTGAAGATTAGGAAATATGGTGATTTATTTTATTTACTAGCCGTCTCCTGCCACGCATTGCTGTGGCACATATGGGGGTTCTGTATGGGAGGTTTGGCCCAATTCTATCGGTGGGATTCAGAATGCTCTGTGATTGTAGGTGAACTATTAATCCCAGAAACGACAACTCCCGAATGTCAAGATTCTATTTTCCCCAAACTCTACCAGTGTTCACATTTGGGTATATTGAGTATACGTGTAGTTTGGTCCAGATCCATCATTGTTTGAGTCCACAGTGATCTCTGGGTGTAGGTGAACTACAACTCCAAAACCAAAGGACTGCCCACCAAACCCTTCCAGTATTTTCTGTTGGTCATGGGAGAACTGAGTGAAGGACATACATTGGGTTGTTAGGTGACTTGTGTCCAAATTTGGTGTCAATTCGTCCAGTGGTTTTTGAGTTCTGTTAATCCCACAAACGAACATTACATTTTTATTTATATAGATTTACTTTATTCCTACCCCGCTCTTCTCACCCTTGCAGGGGACTCAGAGCGGCATACAAATGGCAATATTCAATGCCACACATTCAACAACATAAAATACAATACAGCAATGTAATAAATAATTAAAACATATAAATAAAAGGGACAGCTTGCATGAAATCAAAGATTAACCTCACATTGGTTGATACAATACTTTGTGAAGACCCAAGATGCAAGCTGATTTTTGTATCCGTTCTAAGAGACTATGGTTGCAAGATTATTTTTGATGAACAGAGAGGTCAAGTTACATTTGATGGAAGATACATTTTAACAGCAGATGAATATTGTGGATTTTTCAGACTAAATCATATAGTTAAGATTTGCAGGCAATGCAAAGAATTATGATTTAGAGATTTTAACAATATATTCTTTGAGTGCCTATTTAAGCAGCAATAAATGAACAATTCTGCTCCTTCAAAGTCTTCACTGAGTCAGTTTGGACTTGGGTTTATAAAACTGGTCTCAACCCACTCCCCAGGGTTGCCTCTCATACACCTACTTTTGATATTCCTAATTATGGTTTCTTTACAATGTTTGAATTTTAGATGTAGCATGAAACTCTAGTTTTAAAGCAGAAAGACAATTTACTAACCTCCTTCTTTCCCAAGTCACTTCCTCCAAAGGAATGAAACATTCCTCTTGAGCTGCTGGTTTTCCCATTAGGAAGGGTAATCCCATTCTTACCACCTATCACTGATTTGAACAAAATGGCATAGTACAGATAAAGTTTTCCCCTTGACATTAAGTCTAGTCGTGTCTGACTCATCTCCATTTCTACACCGAAGAGACAGCATTGTCCGTAGACTCCTCCAAGGTCATGTGACCAGCATGACTGCATGGAGCGCCATTACGTTCCTGCAGAAGTGGTACCTACTGATCTCACATTTGCATGTTTTTGAACTGCTAGGTTGGCAGAAGCTGGGCCTAACAGCGGAAGCTCACCTTGCTCCCCAGATTAGAACTGCTGACCTTTTGGTCAGCAAGTTCAGCAGCTCAGCAGTTTAACCAGCTGTGCCACCATGTCATAATTCCACCCAAACATGTCTCTTGCCTTCTCAAATAAGAAATGTAGTGATGCCCAAAGGATAAGGCTCATATGGTAGGATCCATCCTATCCATCACCCAATGGAAGGCACAGGAAAAACAAAGTTGCCTTGACTGGCAAGTGTGTCAGGAAAAGCTGAGTACAGCAAAAGCACTAGCTGCAGGGCTGCTTCTGTAACTGATGCCTGGACAAGGGATCTCTTCTGGCAATATGTAGGGTTTCTGCAGTGAAAGAAAGTAATAGAACTGTAAAAACCAGAAGGTGGTTGCAACCTACATTTGGTTTCATACTATAAAGTGTCCATGATGAAGGATTAATCTCCAGGTTTCTCTTGACTTTGCTTTCATCCTGCAGATACTGCCTGTTGAATAAAAGCACAAAATACTATTTATGATTCTCCAAATATAGAAAGCATATTTAAACAGTTGCCAAATTTTGCAGAACAAATGTTTTTCAATCACCCAAAAAAATTGATTTGCACTCCTCAAAATGGTGCACAAAGACCGTTTCACACAATTGTAGCAATTGCCATTTGACAAAGGAAAGCTACTGCAAATCAGTCATTGCTGAGAAATGCTTTCATGCAGTTACTGTAACATGAATATAGTAAAAAAGGTAAGTGAATATAATTTAAGATGAGTGGGTAGTTAAATGAGATATTTAAAACTAATACATTTTACAGTAGTGTCATACAGACTTGTACAAAGTACAATTATGCACCAAGTACAATTATGTGATGCAGATATATTATACTATGAATTACTATATAAGTTGATATTAATACAGTATGTCAGAAAATAGCTTGTCTTGGGTCACTTGTTCACAGTCAAATAAAACTTTTCAAGTTTTATGCTAGGTATTATATCGCTCCTAAGAGCCTTCCTAGAAGGAAGCATGATAACAAAAAAGGAAAAAAAAATCTTATTGGCGTACCTAGCACATTTGCCACCTGGAATTGATCATTTTAAACAACTTTTCCTGTCAATAATGAAATTATTTCAGTATTTATTTATCGTGTCAGGAGTGAACCAAAACAGTTGTATTGCATTAAAAACAAACAAACAAAACACAAAGTTTGCAGACTTGGTATTCTATTAAACGTCCTTTGACCAGTAGCTGGCCACTTGAAGTGCCTCTGGTGTTGCTGCAAGAAGGTCCTCCATTGTGCATGTGGCAGGGCTCAGGTTGCATTGAAGTAGGTGGTCTGGGGTTATTATTTCAGTAATAAGTATGAAGTGAAACTAATAATGCCACAAAAATAATGCAGATGGTGAAAAAAGTAAAAAGTAGCGAGAATCTGTTGAACTAACCTCACAATCCCTCCTCTCTCTACCCCACACACCTCATCACCAGAGGCAGCAGAGGTAAAGGTTTCGCCTGACATTAAGTGTAGTTGTGTTTGACTATGGGGGTGGTGCTCATCTCCATTTCTAACCCGAAGAGCCAATGTTGTCTATAGACACCTCCAACGTCATGTGCCTGGCATGACTGCATGGAGTACTGTTACCTTTCCACCAAAACGGTACCTATTGATCTACTCATATTTGCATGTTTTTGAACTGCTAGGTAGAAGCTGGGCCTAACAGCAGGAACTCCCCCTGCTCCCCAGATTCAAACCGCCAACCTTTTGGTCAGCAAGTTCATCAGGTCAGCGATTTAGCCCACTGCATCATCCTGTGTCAGCTTCATTTATGAGGCCTATCAGCTATCATAAAGCACTTCCCACTTTTCTTTACATGCAAACTTCAATCTTTTCCTCAATCTCCCAAAGCAGAAGGGAGTGATGAAGGATGCTTGGCCTCTGGAAGCAGGTCTCGTTACTTCCTGGCCAATCCACTGCCACTGCTTTATTTATTTATTTACCCTATTTATATCCCACCTTTCTCAACCACGAAGATTCAAGGTGGCTTTACATATAGGCAACTATTTGATGCCTTAAAACAACAAACAATTAAATAAAACTAAAATTAAAATTTAAAATTAATGCATATTAAAACATTGCATTCAATATTAAAACCACATGGGGGAGGGGCGGGGGAGGGATCAGGGTAATCCCTTCCCATGGAAGAAGTACTAAAAGTAATACTGGGCAATCTCAATTATCCTGAATCACTGGCACCCCTACATCTCTCACCCAGTGGTAACACTACTTCACAATACCTAGCTGAGCCCATAGGTCACTGAAAAAGGGCTCTATCAGCAACAGCCACCTTCTGTGGGGATTTGGATCCCCAACTCCCCAAAGGGTGAGCAGCAGAAGGTGTGTGGTGAGAGCAAATATGAAAGAAGCCCCTAATAATAAAATGGGGAAAGGGAAAGGGGTGCGACTATCTCCATCTTTCTCTTTTCCCCAGAAATGGAAGCACCCCTCCCTCCCAGCCCTGCAACACCTAGCCTCACATTTTTTCCTCATATTAGGCAGTAGTCCCCTGCATCAGAACATAAAGCCAAGAATAAATGGCCCTAGAAAGGCCAATCACCACAACTGCTGCCATTCAGCACCTGCTATTCAGGAGCAGCAGTATTCACCAGCCATTCATGTGCCTTGCCACCCCCTGCTGCCCCTTCCTTGGCCAGTCCACCTTTCACTGTCCTGATTTCTTTTTCTGTGTCAGGAGCAACTCAAGAAACTGCAAGTCGCTTCTGGTGTGAGAGAATTGGCTGTCTGTAAGGACGTTGCTCAAGRGACACCCAGCTGTATGATGTTTTACCATCCTTGTGGGCAGCTTCTCTCATGWCCCCGCATGAGAAGCTGGAGCAGACAGAGGGAGCTCAATCTGATCTCCCCAGAATCAAACTGCTGACCTCACCARTCAGCAGTCCTGCCAGCACAAGGGTTTAATCCACTGTGCCACCGGAGACTGATGCACTCCAAGGAGCTTAGCAACCAGTTCCAACCCCCACTCTCCCTCCATGATTTATTTATACCCTTCCACCCCCCCCAACCCAGCTGACAAGGTACCCCCTTATTGCAGCACCTGAGGCATTTTCCCCCTTGCTTGGCACACCTGAATAGAATTTTCAGTTTTTATCAGTAAACAATTAACTTACAGCAATTTCATACAGATGTTGTGGCCACTTTGTCCCATTGAGTCAAAATATTTGATGGTCTCCCTCCTCATGTCTATGACCTATTATCAAAAGAAACATTTGCGTGGGAAACTCAGCCATCTATATCCCCATTTTTAAAAAGTAAAATAGGTAAAAGGGACTCACCACTAATGCCCAATGTACCCTTATGTGAATTGGCACCAAGATCAAATCATGTTGGAATAAATCCACTTCTTTGGTCCATCTTCGTACCGCATTATAGCCTGCAGAACTTAACTTAGGGTAGAAGAAAGTGCTGAAAGCATAAAGAAGTGGAAATCCTTGCCTCTTATTTCTTTCCACCAAAAGGTTCATATAGAAGTTAATGACCTAAAATTGGAAGAAATTTTTAAAAAGGAAAACATAAATTAGACGCCAATCCACAATCACAAAATTAGGTGGCAAAATAGTCAGGTTCCAGAATTTACAGCCAAACTCGAACTGCTTTGACTTTCGACTCACTATAAGATACAGCTTCTTCAGAGATACAATGTTTTGTCCACATTTGTATCTGTACTGTCTATTACTTCTTGGAACCGCAATATTATAAGGGGAAGACATCATTATCATCACTATCATAATGAAAAATTATTATTTCTTCCCCACTTCAATATTCAAGGATCGCAGTAGAGGTCAACAATTAAACACACAACACATTTTAAGGTATATAAAATAAAGACATATTAAATAAAATCAAAACAAACTGTAACATTCATAATACAAAAATTATCTGATTTGGGAATACTGATATTTCGGCTAAGTAAAGATTGTCTAAATATTTGAGATATTTATTCTCAATAGAGCAAGAGAAGCCTATGAAACCTTTCAGTGTGTTGTCGAAGGCTTTCATAGCTGGAATCACTGGGTTGCTGTGAGTTTTCCAGGCTGTATGGCCAAGTTCCAGAAGCATTCTCTCCTGACGTTTCACCTACATCTATGACAGGCACCCTCAGATGTAGCATATGTTGGATTTTCTTAGTGGGTCTGTAGATCATTTGTAAGTTGTGTTTCTACATCTTTGCTACGTTCAGCAAAAGACAAGAGGAATCCTCTCACCTCTGCAGGAGGCTTCCATATACCATGCAGCTTCCATATACCATGCAGCTGTGATTAAGTCTACATAGGGACAGCGTCCAAACATGAATCAAGGAACATGAAAGGCACTGCAGACTAATTCAACCAGAGAAGTCAGTCATAGCCTGGACACAGCATGTTATTTGAGAACACAGACATGCTGGACCACTCTAACAACCACTATGTCAGATTACACATAGAAGCCATTGAATTCCACAAGCATGTGGACTATTTCAACAGAAAGGAGTAAACCATGACAATGAACAAAGTCTGGCTACCAGTATTTAAAAAACTCTAAATCAGGACAGTAAATAAAGAGCAAAACTCAAAAAGCAGGGGAATTCTAGACAAAAATCAATCAGGGCCAGCTAACATCTCCAAAACAAAGGATTCCCCCAGGCAGGAAGCAGACAGGCTTTGAAGCTGCAAGGCCATTCAATGCTAATCAAGGTGGTCAGTTGCAACATTCACACTTGCCTCAGGCAAACAAGAGTTCTTTCTCCCACCCTGGACATTCTACAGATATATGAACCCACTTGCCAAGTTTCCAACAGACCTCACAACCTCTGAGGATGCCTGCCACAGATGTGGATGAAACGTCAGAAGAGAATGCTTCTGGAATATGGCCATACAACCTGGAAAACTCACAGCAACCCAAACCTTACAGTTTTTTCCACAACAAAAAACAAACCAGGCTTTAGCTAGTATTGAGAAGTTACCACATCATTGAGCCATTGTTGGTTTCTTAGAGTCTGAATGTCTCCTCGAGTAATATTCAGCTTGAAGGCACTTGTCAAAACTTGATCTTCTTTGCCGTAACTTAGAACATTTGCTATCTCTCGCTCCATAGGCTGGAAAGAGAAAGTTTTATGCAACGAACTTCATCATCAAAGAGTACCAAAACTACACTAAGTCTCCCAGTGTTCACATCCCAGGAAGTGTGGAACGTCTCAACATCTCAGCATTGTTCAAATACTTTACATGTTTACAAAACAAACCGTAACTCGTTGCTTGTAATCTACTGCAGCTTGATCAACTCTAACCAGAAAAGTTCAGTTTTAAAAAAATAAGCTGAGGCATTTCCTATTAATGAAGTATTAGGGATAGAAGAGATCCGGGGCAATTTTCACAGCACATACTCTTTGTAAGCTGCCCAAGTCCTGTTTGGAGAGGGGGGCGGGATATAAATGAAGTATTATTATTATTATTATTGTCAATCTAATTTGGAATCAAACCAAGAAACTTTTCAAGAACACTACCTCTGTCAGGTCTGGAAAGTACTCTGTAGTCTTGTCAAAGCTTAGATATTTCTGTTCTTTCATTTTAACTAAACAGCGCCTTCTGTCAGAAGAGCCTTCTTGTCCCAGGTTTAACTTAAGTGATACTTCTTCTGATAATTCGTTTGCCAAGGGGTGCATTATACACTGTTAATAGAGAAAGTGTACCAGTATGAAATGCAAGTCTAAAATAGGAATGGTATATTTAAGATATTCTAGAGAAAGAGAATCCTCATGCAATCAGCATCATTCTTTCCAACTTGGAACTAGATATTCTTTACTTCATTGGTAACATAGTAACCAATGAGATATATAGAAGTACTAGCTTGTGAATTGGAACCCCTGGTGGTGCAGTGGGTTAAACCCTTGTGCTGGCAGGACTGCTGACCGACAGGTCAACGGTTCAAATCCGAGGAGAGCGGGTTGAGCTCCCTCTGTCAGCAGCAGCTCCCCATGTGGGAACATGAGAGAAGCCTCCCACAAGTATGGTAAAAACATCAAACATGGGCAACATCCTTGCAGACAGCCAATTATCTCATACCAGGAGCAACTTGCAGTTTCTCAAGTAGCTCTTCACACACAAAAAGCTCGTGAATTGAAAATAAAGAAAATAATATGGAGAGGGATATGATGGACCTAATCGAGACTCAAAAATTTGACAGCACTGACAGTGATTTGAGTTGTGTGGTGGGGGAAACACCATGGTTACTTTTCCACAAATGGGGCTAGCAGGAGACAAGAGTAATTTAAAGATATATCCTCCTGTCTTGCACACAAACCCCCCTCCCATAGGCTTTGTTCCTGCCTGAGACAGTTTGCACCGTATAATAACGCAAGTGGGGGAAGGTTTCAGATGCATGTAACATTAAATGCTGCCTTACACCAGGTCAGATTGTCTGTCTGTCTAGCTCAGTGTTGTTTACTCTGAGCTAGATTTTATTAGTATTTCACTGGAAGCCCAGCCTGTTATTCACACACTATGCAAAACAACATACTTGAATGATCAAGCTAAATTCCACTTCTACAGCCTTTCAATAAAATTCAATTCCATTTTCAATACCCCAAAAACTGGACTTAAGGCATTAACTGTCAAGTATAATGTCCAGGCTAGAATCGCCAGAGCCCTTCCTAAGAAAAGTAATTGGCAATCTCCAATGTGTGTGATGTGTTTCTGGGAGGAAATCCCACAGATCTGTGGGAAAGGCACTGCCTTTATAATGAAATAGCCACGTCCACTAAGTACCCTTTTAACATCACAGGATGTTGTTGAAACAGTAGCACTCAAGCATTATGACTAAGTTGCCTTATGTTTACCTCATGAATTAGGATACAGGTCCAATTGAGTTATAGAGCAGAGAGGAGAAGACATTGAAAACCAGTTAGATGGCATAATTGCCAGTCACAAATCGTGCCTCTGCAGCTTGAGTTCACTTTAGATCACAGCTAGTGAAGCTAGTATGAGCACCACAAAATCTAAAAAAACATAGCCTTATCTCCTTTTCCTATGATTTTCCTTGTTATTTTATGTAATAGGTATTATCTACTGCAAGTGGTTTTAGAGGCCAGTTTTTACTGAAAAGTGGATTCTAAATGAAGTATTAATCCCATCCTTGACACATACAAAATGCAGAAAATCCCACACTCCTCCATAAAGGTGTACCTCTTTTTTCCGGACCATTATTTTGTCTGGTTCTGAAGATCTTTCTGTTGTTAAACTGTGAAAAGCAAAAATTTATATCATTCGAGTGGAATGGATGATGCCGAAGCAGAGATGAAAGCACTTTTCCCATAAGGATAACATCTTACAGGCATTTTATTATCACTATAAAAAACAGTAGAGAGGGAATGAAGTAAAGGCAAATTGCACAAGTCCACCAAGATGAGAAGCTCATCCATCCACATAATGAATGTCTACATAAGCAATTGCATTAAGGTAATGTAATCAAGACATCCACGTAGACATTTAAGATTCTGTGAGTATGGTGAAGGTATAGATTCTGTGAGTGGAAATCTGCTTGTGCAGCAGGATTCCCTCTTTCCGCTCCCTTTGGTAGATCCCTGAAAATCTTGTCTAGAAGACTGAAATCTCCAGAACAGATTTTAAGGGCAGACACGGGAGTGCAGCGGGGCAGGACGAGGACTGATCTCTTTCCTGTTCCAGTGAAAAATGGATTTTATCCAGTGCAGTGCTTTGGGGCATAAAAATATTTAAAGAACTCACTAAAGAACAGTAACAGCAGACATTATGGTACAGTCTTGTTATTAGCATTGGAAGAGATAAAGAACATCATATTTTCTTCCATCTACCTAACCACTACCCCCTGCCTACCCCTGCCCCCCCCCCAATTAATGGATTAAAATATTCAAGGCAAAGAGAGAGAATACTTCACACTGCTTTGTAGCTTCTGTGTTATCTAGATCTTATTCTGCTCAATACAAGACAATGCAAATGAGTATTATTCTTGACAAAAGTCTAAAAGCCAATTGGTTTAAAGCTGACTTCTAATTGTTTTTTTTTTCTTGTCTTTTTTTAAACACTTAATTAAAGCTCTCAGTTCACATATCACAGGAAACTGTGATTTACATGCCTAATTCCAGCTTGTTTTTTCCACTTACAAGCAGGTAATAACAAAATGACAGGAAAAGTAAGTGTAGCCACCCACACATATCGTAACGTATTTAATAGGGATGTTGATTTAGTGCTACTTGTAAATGCAGCCACTATTATTAAACCAGCTCATGAATTCTAGCATGAAACTGAATTTATCTTAAGCTGCTTCCTTCTGCTAAATGCCAAACTATCTTTCAAAATGAAAAAGCAAGAAACCTCTGGTTACCTAGTTCTATTTAAATCAAGTGCTCAGCCAATTGATTCTGTGCCTTTGAAACATGCCATTCTTTAGAGAAACTTACTGTAAGTGCTTGGCAAGGCTGAGGCTGGAATTATTTTTAGAGCGCTTTTCTTTTTCTTGCTCCAGCAGTTTTTTGTATTTCTCTCGCTCTTCATTCTGAACTCCCTGGGGGAAAAGATGGACATGAAGTTATTTACCAACAGAAGTATGGAATTCATGCTTGCACTGGTCTAAAAATACTCACAGTAGCCTCAATAGTTAGGCCAGTCTGATAAGACAGGTGGATGCCGTTATTTCCAAACATACTAATAGGAAAGTAAGGTTGGGAGAGTTTAGGATTCTTATCTCATTCAGAGTAAATCTAAATAAAACCATCAGTCTGTATTTCTGAGCTGCAAATGATCTGTCACAGGTCAGGTACTGCTGTTACATAAAACCAGAGAAAGGGACTATGAACTACAAATATCAGACCTGGCTTTCATGCCACCATCCCTCCATTTCCACAAACTGGGGTTTCTTGATGTTATAAAGAGAACATAGCAGCATTCTTGACAAATAACAGACAATGTGAAAATGTAAGAAAAAGCATACAACAAATATGTATAATAAGGCTTCCCACTCAAGTACCAAACAAGATTGATCCTGCTTAGCTTCTGAGATCATACAGGATTTGGTTCATTTCACATATTTAGATAGATTCATCAAAATACTGATGTTCAGAGGAAACATTCTCACGTCACTGTACACTTAAGACATAGCGTATCAGATATCTCATGTACTCTTGCTCTGCAAATTTGAGACATATTATCCCAAATCCTCTTTTAGACTTGACTAGATCAGATCCATGATTTATCTATATGTTGACTCACTATTCAGCAACTGGCTGAATGTGTCTAGATTGAGAAGGATGACAAAATAATGAAAATGCAACAAATAAAGTTTTTTAAAGAAAAACTCAGAAAAAAATTAAAAACCCATCACTGTCCCTTTGTCACCATTGGACTGTTGAGGAGAAAAGTGGGAGAAAGATCCCTGCAGGCCACCCTCAACTCTTTGAAGGAACAAGAGGCATGTAATAATAAATGTTTTTATGTTGATATAAAAGCTATACAATTGATCTCAACTAAAAAAGCAACACTCTTCTATAGAAAAGACTGTAGATAATCCAGTCTACTTCAGATTTCAAAACTGAAATACATGCATTTATTTCGTCGGCTCAGTGTGCCAATCAGATCATTTACACTGAGCCTCTATAAAATACCACAACAACAAATAAATCCTGTGTCTATTATCTGAATTGAGAGCACTTGGTGCTCTCAACACCATAGCCAGTGCCATTTCTGTGACTGTCTGAATCAGCAATAGCATACTGCTTCAGAAAAAGTCATATATAATTTGTCTCAATAAGAAAAAAGGCCACGACACCAATTGTATCGGGAAAGTACCACATGTGTGGGTTACATGCCCCTTCACTGCATCTGATGGCTAATTGTAAGACTAACAGTAATATCCCAAGGGTTATAAAAGAGATGTCCCAGCTGTTTGTGAATGGAAGATACTTCCATTGTATTTATACCAGCCTCTCTCAACATGGTGGCCTCCAGATGTATTTGGACAACAATGCCAATCACTCCCTCTAGTAGGGACTGCTGGGCGGAAACAATGGTAGTTTTAGTCGAAAAATATCTAAAGGATACCGGCTTGATTTATAGGACTGTTATTTTTGGGACAAGAGAAAACAATTTGAATGAAAAATTATAGTATCCAACATGCACTACAGAATCCTCCCAGTTTAATACTGAAAATCAGACCATCTTGACATACATCGGTTTGTCATAACTAGATCAAGCACAATATTTAAATATTTTGAAGTCATTTCTCCACAAGTCAATACATAAAGATACTTTAAAATATAAGTGTTATATATCACTGGACTTGCCTCTTCCACAGTATAATGAGGTTTCCTTAGATATCGTCCAGCATCTAGAGCAGAACCTTCTACCTTATGCCGGTGAGTAGCAAGTCCCCATGGTAGCAATTCTTCTTGAAATGAACTATGTCTTTTCTTACTATTTTTCCCAGCATTACAGTCATACCTAGTAAAAGGAAGGGAATTGAATTGTTAATCTTGCTGTGAAAACCTGGAGTTCCCGATTTGACCACAACAAACTATTCTGGGAAGTATGCATCTGAACACTGCTAAGCACTATGCTCTTCTTTAAGACGTATTAGTGCAAAACTTCAGCAAAACCTAAAGTTATGCTGATCTCTGTTAAAGTTATGGGCAAGCTTCCTGCAGGTGCTCATTTACTCTAATCTTAAAAAACTTTTCCGCATTATACTTACTTACTGTTTGTGGGCATATCTATTAGTTTGTTCTCCTTTGGTTCTGAAATTGGACTACAACTTGACTCTTAAAACTTCTGGGAGCCACTGCTCACAATGGACTCAATCCTCAGTTGTTAATAGTTATCCTAAACTGTTAGAAGTGTTAATTCAAGATTTAAACTTTGAGCAATGCTGTAGGAACTGCACATTGGATGAGTTCTTTATTTTTGTCTTTGTAATAGCTAAAATATCCTTTTAAACTACAAAAGAACGATAGAACATTTAGAAATGCAGTCTGAGCTCTATAACTGTTGTTCATATGACCCTAATTAAGAATTTACATGGCTGATTCAAATTATGTTCTCTAAGTTGCAGTATAAACTTAGTAAATGAAGACAACCATGCAGCACATTTCTGTAATACTACAATCCCTAGCGGTACATGATTATTAATTCATATATGCTGTATAAGTTGCAAAGGGTATTGTGGAAATATGTTTGGAAAGGTTTGGACTGGCCATTACTAAAAATTTCAAACCTTGAGGTGGCAAACCGAAGTACATGCAAACTATTTTACCTTAGACAGGGCATAACTCTGTGGTAGTCAGATAATACTTCTACATCTGGATGCATACTGGTACCACAACCAGTTTTCTTATCTATAGAAAAGACAGTGGGGTATATTAAGAATAATTCTGTAGGTAACTGTTACGCGTTGATTTCAGAGAATGATCAAACCTTTTTCCCACTTGTAAAGGACACTATACGCTTCCAAGATTGGTTCCTAAAAGCATTTACTCACTCAATAAATTTATTTACCAGTCAATATTTTAGCCTGCAGCTCATAAATATCTTGGGATGCTTCTGTTCTCTCCTGCTCTTGCGCTCTCTGTTTATCAACAAGATCTACTTATGTGGAAAGGCTGCAGACTTTGGTATAGAAAGCTAGAGTTCTTATAAGTAAAATTTCTATTTAAAGTTTTGAGCTATTAAAACTTTAAATAAGTAATTTTACTTATAAGAACTCCAGCCTTTCCGCATAAATAGATAGATAGATAGAGAGAGAGAGAGAGAGAGAGAGAGCAGGAGAAAACAGAAGCATCCTAAGACATAGAGTAGGGGTGGAAAACTATCCAAAGAATAGGGTGTCATGCACACACCACTGACCAGACAACACAGGACTGCAATCCTCTTTATTCACCCCAATTTTAAGTTTGAAAAAACCCTGAAGATGTACCAGTGGAGCGTGTGGGGAATACAGCTCCTCTCTGTTTTGAAAGGATCTGAACACTCTGGAAGAAATCATTTCCAAGTCTGAAAAAAAAGGTATCCTGGGTCTAGAACAGCCAAGGAGAGCAATACACATGGTGAAAATTTTCCCACCTTAAACACAAAGATATTAAAACAGAAATCCCACAAAATAAATATAAAATTGGGATGTACATGGACCTTGGAGGCTGTAAAAAAAAAGGTTGTATGTACCCCATGGACGGCAGCTGTCATACAACTGGAACAGAAGAGTAATACACATAGAAGAGCTGTATAATATAATGTGGAGACAAGGGATGGGGTGGGTGAATGCCTCTACATAATGTTTTTTTTCTTTCTTTGAAAACACACGGAATGGATCCTGAGAAAGCAGGTCAGTTTAGCCTTATCTGTATTTTATGTACTTTAGTCATTAAGTCCCACCTAATTGGGATGAAAGCAAGACTAACATCTTCAGGATCCAATCTAGCATTGTTGAAATTCACACGATGTTATGTAAGAATACTTACAAAGTCAAATAATTATGAATACCACATATGAAGATACAAAAATAAAAGTAGATGCACTCATCCTTAAGAAAGTTGCAACTATGCAATACCTTTCAGTATATTTTTTCACTTAGTGCTCCACTTAAAATTTCATCTTCAACATTCTTACAAAGACTATTTTGCTTATCTCAATTTCAATTCTATGTCACCTTGGAGTCTAGTACCTGTAGGTTGCATAAGTAGACATCCCTTCAGCTATGGTGAGCCTAAATAAGGTCTGGTGCAACCTACCGCCTTCAGCAGTTAGATAAAGACTTGGACAGAGTTCATCAATGTCACACGATCTTAGATTAAAGAAACCTGTTTCTGGAAGGCCTGAAGGATTTTGGAGATCATATCTAAACAAACTGCAATGCAAAGCCTAAAGTGTTATCAAAACAAGTTTGGAGAAAAATGGAACAGAAGCGCCAATCAGAGCTGGAAAATATGCCAAACCAGAAAGGGGTCTTTATTACAGACTAATAGAAAAAAAACAAAGATGAGATGAGAAGATGAGAATAGAAATAGTAAATTAAACAGGAATCTTAAAATTTCCCTGGCTTCAAATTCATCACATTATCTACCAGTATTTTGTCTCTAATCCTGCTATTGAAATGGGAACTATCAAGTCACTAAAGCCCCTTTTACACTGAGCTTATACCCCAGGATCTGATCCCAGATGATCTTTTTATCCCAGATTACATTGCAGTGGAGACTCATATAATCCAGTTTAAAGCAGATAACATGGGATTGGATCTTGGGATATAAGGACAATATAGAAGGGACCTAGATAAACTTGAAATTGTGATGAAAGACTCAGAATGCCATACATTCTCAATCTCAGAGATTTATTATATATGTCTAGGTATTAAATTCTTGAAATCTGAAAGAATAAGACAATGTGGGCCATTGATCTAAACCCACCTGTATTGCTTTAATAGAAAAACTTCCCCTACTCATGAAATTAAAAAATGAACAGAAAGCATATATGTCAATATTTGGTTTGTATTTCTCGAACTCATTACTATTTCATAAAAAAATTCTCTTGCATCAGGATCATGATACATTTATGGATTTAAGGATTCTGTGAGTCAATTATGTAATCCAGGGTAGAATTTTTCTATAGACAGTACTGTATTGCATATATTATTACTGTTTTAAAAACTTTTAAATGTAAAAAAAATTCCAACAATGAACATCCCTTGGAACATGTTTATATCCATTCTTACAAAATAAATGTATATTCCTCTACCATGATCTTGCCTAGAGAAGATTGCCCATCAAACTCGAGGCAAAAAAACCATGTGAAAAATAGTTTCCTACCCTGGTAAACTAAAGTTGATTTTTTTTAAAAATTGTTTTATATATATATTCACTTTATTGCAATACAGCCACCTCCACTTAATATCCAAGGGTTTTGCACCCACATATTAAAAATATTTGGGGGAAAATATTCCAAAAAGCACATTTTGATTTGACCAGCCCCCAATTTTTATTTTACCTAAGAAGAATCTTGAAAACATTCAAGGCCTGCCATTCTGGTTGGTCTTAATAAAGGCATGATATATAACAACTATGCAGGATGATGTATTGCAACAAAAGGTATAACAATCAGTAGTCTTGAATACTTCAAGTATTTTTATTCTATAAAATACTGAAGATGTTATGCTAAAACAACTAGTTCTGAAATATAGTCACTGTATGTATCACTTACCCAACATTTGCTTCCCAGTCGTAGGTTCCATTTGCTTGTCAGAAAAAGTACCATTTGAAACATTTGAAAAAAACTTGAAGAAAAAAATACACGTTTGTGTAAGTTTTATTCTGATGCCAAATATACATAACCCACAAAATTTCTCTAATGTGGATGTTTTAGTACAGGCATACCTCATTTAACAAAGCTTTCAATAAAGAAACTCCATTTTACAAAGTGTTTTATGACTAGCTGAAAGGTTTTTATTATAATATTTATACCCCGCTTTATTTCCCCAAAGGGGACTCAAAGCAGCTTTTGGCAGCATTAGTACTGGGAATATTCTGGAGGGCTGGAGAAATCCATTATTTCTGTGTCAGTCTGCAGAGCATGTCGGCAGTAAACAACACAATGAAGCTGAAGATGGAGTAAGTAGGATTTCACTCTAGACATTCCAATGTAGCTGTGTGTGCCTAACTACAGCAGCGAAGGTAAACAGCAGCTCCCTTCAAATGCCCTTAATGCATACAGGAAATGCTAAAGAGGGAGTACAGACATCTGTCTTACCAGCTCCCTCCAACAGCATAGACCTATATGTCTGGCCATCAAAATGGAAATCATAAGAAAGGCAGTCTGATGAAAGAAGAAAAATTATCCCTTGATATATTTTGTAAGAAAGTTGAAAATGTGTGTGTGTTTTAAAAAGTAGAGCTGTATTTTAGATTACAATAGGAATTACTAACTGTAAGATACTCAGTTCCATCCTACTCTCTGCCAAAACAATAGCTCCATGCATTTAATTTGGCTTCAATAAGAAGATCCTATCATCTCAAAAAGCAAACAAACCTCATCTTTGGCTTCTGCATGCTGTTCTTCTGTCTGAAGATATTTGGATGCCAACTGGGACGGGAGTGTAATTAAATTGGCAATTCCCCTTGCCAACATACCAAAAATACCTGGAAAGAGTTAATCACATTAAATGACACATCATTTATCTAGGAAATTTGGTACGGAAGTCAAAGGAAAACCCACATCCTAAATCTCATACAGTACAATACAGTATCACTGTCACAAGGGAAAACTCCCACAGGAAGTCCTTCTTTGGGTTATGATTTTTTCTGACATTCATGTAATTTTGACTATGTTAGAGGATTGAGTCAATGGATTACACAAATGGATTCCAAGAACATTTAGGGCAGTACAATGTTCTTTACTATCTCTATGTCACAAACATATAGCAAATTACTGTCAATAGTTCTCAAACATGTATTTTTAAAATGTTCTCCTCTTCTTAATCCGGGCCTTATTCAAACAACATCAATTCACTACATAAACATAATTACAGGCTACTACTAGTAATTGTTATGATCTATTTCAAGCATTTGCTCTTTCTGCTCTTTTCTTCAAGGTTTACAATCATATGAAAAGTGATTGAACAGGGGTAATTTACCAAGTTTTTGCCTTTTTATTTGCTCATGTTCAAAGTCTTCTGGATTAGACTGAATGCTGTGAAGAGAAAAAGACAAATTAATTTGAGAAACAAGGAATCCTTCTTTCTCAGCTTGAAGTACCAATCTCCAAAAACACCATGCTCTCAGGCATAACAGGCACCATTTTACAGCTACCGAACAGTCACTGTGTACATATCTACAAACTTGATGGTCACATCTGCTAACCCGGAGGTTTTCCTTATAACAATACTCAATACCAATGTATGGGGTGCCCAACTGACCTGCAGCATATAAGAAAGGTGGAATTTGTTAATTGTAACAATTAAGACGATGCATGCCTGCAGCAGTTATTCTTGACTTCATTACATCAAAAAACAGTATTTTCGTATTACTTGATGAATCTACTTTCTTGATATGAACAAAAAAACATTCCAATCTACGACATATATTGCAAGATTGCTGCATAGTTACATGTCCATATGGTCTCAAACAATAACAATACTGGGACATAGCTTCATTACATATACTGTATAGGAAATGATATATATTATGAGAACCAACACAAACCAAATGTTTCTCCATTCACAGATATATATTATATAGATTTGGATAGCATAGGGAAGTGTTAACACTCCTATAGTGTTTGTTTTGCTGTCTGTGGACTTTCCGTCCTGGCGATAATTGAAAAAAAATTTGGGGAGGGGGAGGGGGGAGAAAGCTTGTTGTGGAAACAAGGATTGGTGAGAAATCTTCAGTAGAGACACCTTTCCCCCATGATAACTCTTTCAGGAGTGAATTTCCCTTCCTGGGGTAGATTTCTCTCCTCTCCTATTGTCTCATCCTCACTCTTACTATGTCATTTATTGTCATAGTTATACTCTTAACTATGAGTCGTTTATAAGTTGCATGTTTGTAACTTGAGATCTGACTGTAGAATACATGCAAACCAATCGCTGTGCAGGACACGGTTATGGATTTCCCCCTTTTTAATTTTTTCATAGCTCACTGCTACCTGGAGACCCCAAATGGGTTGGGAACCACTATCTACTGGCTATTAGAAAGTGTGGGAATTGAAGTCCAAAACACTGGGAGGGCTGAAGTTTGACCATGCCTGATCTATACTGTTGAACGAATGCAGTTTGTCACCACTTTAACTGCATGGTTTAATGCAGGGGTCCTCAAACTAAGGCCCAGGGGGCGGATACGGCCCTCCATGGTCATTTACTTGGCCCTTACTCAGGGTCAATATAAGTCTGAAATGACTTGAAAGCACACACAACAACAACAATCCTATCTCATCAAACAAAAGTAGGCCCACACTTCCCATTAAAATACTAATAAGTTTATATTTTTAGAATTGTTTTTCATTTTAATTATTGTATTAAGTGGGTTTTGCACCTAGTGCAGTGTGCATAGGAATTCATTCATGTTTTTTTCAAATTATAATCCGGCCCTCCAACAGTTTGAGGGACTGTGACCTGGCCCTCTGTTTAAAAAGTGAGGACCCCTGGTTTAATGTTACAGAATCATGGAAGATGTGGTAGTTTTACAAGGTCTTTAGGCTTTTCTGCCAAAGAGTATTGGCGCCTCACCAAACTACAACTCCCATGTTTCTGTATTACTGAGTGAAGTCAAAGTGCCTTATTTCCACAGTGTAGTTCAGGTATGGGCAAATTTGGGCTCTCCAGGTGTTTTGGACTTCAACTCCCACCATTCCTCAGAGCCTCAGGCCCTTTCCTTTTCCCCCTCAGCCGCTTAAGGGGCCTGAGGCTGTGAGGAATGGTGGGAGTTGAAGTCCAAAACACCTGGAGGGCCCAGGTTTGCCGATACCTGGTGTAGTTAGTGCACCAAACTGCCAGGTGTAGTTGGTGAGGTCAAACTGTCCGAGGGCCCTTCCACACAAACACATAACCCAGAATATCAAGGCAGACAATCCACAATATCTGCTTTGAAGTGGGCTATCTGAGTCCACACTGCCATATACCCCACTTCAAAGCAGATACTATGGGGTTCTATGCAGCTGTGTGGAAGGGGTCTGAGAGAGGGAGGCCTTCGGGGAAGGCTCTTCTGCGGCCGGGCAACTCCCCTCCGAAACCCCTTGGAAGGCCCGCTCCGCCCAAAGAGGAGGTACCGTCTCTTCCTCGGCCGAGCAGGCGGCGGCGCGTCCCGGCGGCAAGTGGGCCTTGGGAAGAGCCACCAGCGCAGAGCCTCGGGCAGCCATTGCTGCATAGGCCTCAGCCGCAGCGACCGGGCCGGAAGCACGTCATTGGCCAGCGACGGGGCGCTGAGGAAGTGACGTAGCCACGCTTTCAATAAGGAGAGAAAAGCACACCTGTGAAAGGGAAATACTTTAGTTTCCTTAACTCAAATCCCTCACACGCCTCAAATACGTTCCAATTCTGTATGTGGCATTCAGGTAAAGGTTTCCCTCTTGACATTAAGTCCAGTTTTGTCCGAATTCTGGGGAGTGGTGCTTATCTCTATTTCTAAGCCGAAGAGCCGGTGTTGTCCGTAGACACCTCCAAGGTCATGTGGCCGGCATGACTGCCTGGCGCGCCGTAGCGGTACCTATTGATCTACTCACTCTTTAAAAAAACCTCTAAAATTACAACAGCAAAACAACAGAGGGGAAATAATCAGGCACATCTAATCACCTCGCAACAAAAGATTGCCCCAGGAACTGCCAGGCCATCAAATGCTAATCAAGGTGGTCAATTGAAACATTCACACCTAGCTCCAGCAGACAAGAGTCCTTTGCCCCACCCTGGTCATTCCACAGTTATATAAACCCAATTTTCCTAGTTCCAATAGACCTCACTACCTCTGAGGATGCTTGCCATAGATGCAGGCGAAACGTCAGGAGAGAATGCTTCTAGAACATGGCCATACAACAACCCAGATCTGTTCACATTTGCATGTTTCACTCTAAACAAACTCTAAAATTACAACAGCAAAACAACAGAGGGGAAACAATCAGGTACATCTAATCACCTCTCAACAAAAGATTGCCCCAGGCACTGCCAGGCCATCAAATGCTAATCAAGGTGGTCAGTTGAAATAGTCACACCTAGCTCCAACAGACAAGAGTTCTTTGTCCCACCCTGGTCGTTCCACAAATATATAAACCCACTTTCCTAATTCCAAAAGGTTTATATATTACCCTCATAGCATACCTATGAGGATGCTTGCCATTGATGCAGGCGAAACGTCAGGAGAGAATGCCTCTAGAACATGGCCATACAACAACCCAGATCTGTTCACATTTGCATGTTTTCGAACTGCTAAATTGACAGAAGCTGGGGCTGACAGCGGGAGCTCACTCCGCTCCCCAGATTCGAACCTAAGACCTTTCAGTTAGCAAGTTCATCAGCTCAGTGGTTTAACCCACTGCGCCACCGATCAACCTTGTTTGTTTGGGGGTTTTTTGGACTTCATTTCCCAGAAGCCAGTGCGACAGAAATCAGGGATTGGTGTTTCATCCTGGAAATCCTGGGCCTCTGGCCCTTTAAGACTCACGAGAGGGGCGGGGCTCGGCTTGGAGCTCCAAGAGTGCCCGCCCTTTTCTGCTCCGCTGTCTCCTCTGCCCGCTGTTTTCAGTTCCGCCTCTCGTGCCTCCCCAGGACTCATCGCTGGTGCTCCGCCATGAAGCCGCTGGTCGGGTTCCTCCTGGTCCTGGGAGCCGCCACTGCCGGCCTTTCCCTGTTGTCGTCGCGGCTGCCCGGAGAGCCCCGCGCGGGGAGCAGGTGAGTCGCTGCTGCTGTCGCCTCCTCCTTCGCCTCTCTCTGCCTGGAGAACTGAGTGCAGCTTTGACACCATCCCAACGCAAAGGCGTGAAGCTATGGGAGCTGTTGTACTTTGACAGGGTTTGTAGCCATCTCTGCCAAAGAGTGCTGCAAGGAACTGCAGCTCCCACAATCCCACAGCCTTGAGCCAGGGCTGGGTAAGTGGTGTCGAACTGCATCAGTTCTACAGTGTGACCTTTTGGCATAATGATATTCCAGGCACTGGAGAACAGGCATGGGCAAACTGGGGCCCTCCAGGTGTTTTGGACTTCAGAGGGGGAAAAGGAAAGGGCCTGAGGCTGTGAGGAATTGTGGGAATTGAAGTCCAAAACACCTGGAAGGCCCAAGTTTGCCCATGGATGCTATATAATGTATGTAGTTTGACACCACTTTACCAATGCTGTGGATCCTGGGAGTTGTAGTTTGCCAAGGCACCAGCATTCTTTGGCAGAGAAGGCTGAAAACCTTGTGAAATCACAACTCCCATGATTCTATTGCATTGAGTCATGACAGTTAAAACGGTGTCAAACTGCATTCATTCTACAGTGTGGATGCACCCAAGGTTAATGTCTCAGCACCAACGCCCATAGGCACAGTTGGCTATTCCTTTATCCGATTTGTCGTTGATCTGCTCCATTGGGTTTCACGCTCATCTACAGTCAACTATAGACTTTGTTAAACTCCATCTCCTGGAATTCAGTAGCATTGAGTCATGGCACTTAAAAGTGCTATCAAACTGTGTTGCTTCTCCCATGTAGATGCACCCCTTGCATCACAATTCAGTTCAGATCCTCGTGTCCTGAATTCAGAAGGTCATGATTTATGATTGATGTTTTATTGACCGTATTATGATTGTATATTATATGTTAATGTTCTAAATGTTTCTAAATGTTTTCTGATGTTTGGGCATTGTATTATGCCTCTGTAAACTGCCTTGAGTCGCCCGTGGGCTGAGAAAAGTGGTATACAACTATAGTCGATAAATAAATAAACTTCATTAAACTCCCAGGAATCCATAGCATTGAGCCGTGGCAGTTAAAGTGGTGTCAAACTTCATTCATTCTACAGTGTGGATGCACCCAAGGTTAATGTCGCAGCCTCAACGGCATAGACGCAGTTGGCTATTCCTTTATCCGATTTGTCGTCAATCTGTTTGTTTGGGTTTCACACAAATATATAGTCAGCTATAGACGTTGCTAAACTCCATCTCCCATGATTCTATTGAGCCATGGCAGTTAAAGTGGTGTCAAACTGCATTCATTCTACAGTGTGGATGCACCCAATGTTCCTTTGGGTTTCATGCAGATATATAGTTGGCTATAGACTTCATTAAAGTCCATCTCCCAGGAATCCCTAACATTCAGCCATGGCAGTTAAAATGGTGTCAAACTGCATTCATTCTTGGATGCCCCCAAGGTTAATGTCTCGGCACCAACACTCATAGGCACAGTGGGCTATTCCTTTACCCGATTTGTCGTCGATCTGTTCCATTGGGTTTCACGCAAATCTACAGTCGGCTATAGACTTTGTTAAACTCCAGCTCCCAGAATTCAATAGCATTGATCCATGGCACTTAAAAGTGCTATCAAACTGTGTTGCTTCTCCCATGTAGATGCATCCCTTGCATCACAATTCAGTTCAGATCCTTGTGTCCTGAATTCTGAAGGTCCCGCGACTGTGGGAGTCAGCCTAAAAATACACCGCTGCCGAAATCTGATGCTGCCCTGAGTGCGGAAATGTGCTGTCGCATGCGGAGTCAAACTGAGTTTTGGCATCAGGAGTTGTTATGAAATGCAATCATGAAAGGATCCTGAATTAAGTGGCCTCAGGAGCCCAGTGACTCGCTCTACCAGTTAAATAAACATCAGCACTATTTGTTCCAATATGACCCGGACAGCAGGTGGAGTGACATGTCATTCCAAGCTTAAATATTTCAGTCTAAAATGTTTCAGCATGTTTGATTTATTCTGTAAGATTTTTTTTTCATGTCAGGAGCAGCTTGAGAAACTGCAAGTGATTTCTGGTGTGAGAGAATTAGCTATATGCAAGGATGTTGCCCAGGGGACGCCTGGATGTTTTGATGTTTTACCATCCTTGTGGGAGGTTTCTCTCATGTCCCCGCATGGGAGCTGGAGCTGACAGAGGGAGCTCATCCACGCTCTCCCTGGATTCGAACTTCCGACTTGTCGGTCTTCAGTCCTGCCGGCACAAGGGTTTAACCCACTGTGCCACCGGGGGCTCATTGTGTAAGATACAACTCAAGTATGGTTCTAAGTGCTTTATTGGGGTGCATCTAAACCAGGCATGAGCAAACTTGGCCCTCCAGGTGTTTTGGACTTCAATTCCCACATTGGGAATTGTGGGAGTTGAAATCTAAAACATCTGGATGGCCCAAGTTTGCCCATGCCTGATCTATACTGTAAAATTAATGGTTTGATGCCACTTTTACTGCCAATCTATGGAACCCTGGGAACTATAGTTTGGTGAGGCACCAGCACTCTTTGGCAGAGAAGCCTAAGACCTTGTAAAATTATAACTCCTAGAATTCCATAGCATTGATCCATGGTAGTAAAAGTACTGTCAAATTGCATTGATTTTACAGTGTAGAAGCATCATTAGACTTAATGGAAGACTGGTTGAATGATTCTCAAGGCTGACCTTTCAGTTTTAGAGAGCTGTCATCTCACTATGGAATATATCACTGATGTTTTTCCCCATTTCTTTTTGATTTTAGGTTATATGTCTAGGAGGCATTTGAATAGCCATTCTTTTAAATTTTAAGGATTTGTAAAACCACCGGCTTGTCTTTTCGCACAAAATCAAAGTTAAGCTGTATCCCATCACTCCCCACAGGTACTTGAATCAACTGCAATTCATTCCCATAATTCCTGACCCGGAAAGTACCTTGTAGTAATCAAGGCTGTATTTTTTAAATTTAAATAACCATGTCTTTCAAGCAAAAACTTTTGAAAGATAAAAGCGTATCAATTATTGATGATTTCAGATGTCCATGGAGAACTAATAACAGGTGGAAGTGATAAGTTCACACATAGCTGATCATTACAAGAGGAAAAATACAGCCTAGGCAATAGTTCCTGTAGAATAAAATCTAACATTAACCTATTTTTGATTAATTTCACCTTCCTTGCTTTGCTAATTTGCTTCTTCATTTTCTGCCTAACTTGGGCTCCATCTACTTTCATGAAATGCAGTTTGAAACTGCATTATGTGGTCAGTGTAGACTCATATAATGCAGTTCAGTGCAGTTAAAAGGCATTATATGAGTCTACACTGACCATATAATGCAGTGTAGATGGAACCTCAGTGTTTAGCCACAAAGTAAAGACACTGTTCTTGCTTGGAAAGCAGGTAGCTGGGACTTTTTTGTTGTTTATTTGTTCAGTCACTTCTGACTCTTCATGATCTCATAGACCAGCCCATGTCAGACCTCCCTGTCGGCTGTGGCCACCCCGTCCCTTCAAAGTCAAGCCAGTCACTTCAAGGATACCATCCATCCATCCATCTTGCCCTTGGTTTGTCCCTCTTCCTTTTTCATGATTGGATGGTATGATTTACAACTTCATTTGCACAAACCTATGTCAACTATATAATGGTTTTTAGACTTTTGAGCTGCAGTAAAGGTGTGAAGCTATACATCTTTCTTAGCTTGAACTACAGTTTCTACTTTTGCTAAAAGGAAGGAGCAACGTATTTGTTCCTAACAAAGGTGAACAATGAGAAGTTTGGCCTTTGTGTTAAAGGAGTTTCAACGTCAAGAGTTCAAACTTCATATATGAAGTGTAATGCTACTTATCTCATTTTCCATTAGTATGTGGTAATTAAATGATAGTATACTTGAAGTTTGCATCTAACTGCTTATAATAAAACAGAAACCTTTCCCTTATATTGGGAAAGGTTTACTGGGGTTGGATAACAGCTTATGTCAAGAACAAGGATTCAACATTATTGGCACGTTTGTTCAAAAGAGCAATGAAATGGGAAGAGGGGAATTTGGACAAAGGAAACAATGGTGGTCTTTTCCTCCCCACTGTCCCATATCTTACCATGTATAAGTTGAGGACACGTTTTGGGGCCAAAATTAGGGATTTTAATACAACCAGTGGATGTGAAGAGTTTTCTCTGGAGGTAAAAGTGTTTTTTTTAAAAAATATTTCTAGACTAATACATGACTATATAGGATATAGTCTCTTGAACAAGGGCAGAGTTCATATGTACGACTATACAAACAACTACTTGAAAAAGTACACTTGTAATTGCGCAATCCAACTTTCTAGTAAGAGCTCACTCAATGTCTCTCCTCAAGACATTAGACAGATTAGAGAGACGGGCCAAAACTAACAAAATGAAGTTCAACAGTGACAAATGCAAGATACTCCACTTAGGCAAAATAAAAGAAATGCAAAGATACAGAATGGGGGATGCCTGGCTCGAGAGCAGTATGTGTGAAAAAGATCTTGGGAGTCCTTGTGGACAACAAGTTAAACATGAGCCAACAATGTGATGCGGTGGTAAAAAAAAAAGCCAATGGGATTTTGGCTTACATCAACAGGAGTATAGTGTCTAAATCAAGGGAAGTCATGCTACCCCTCTGTTCTGCCTTGGTTAGACCACATCTGGAATATTGTGTCCAATTCTGGGCACCAAAATTGAAGGGAGATGTTGACAAGCTGGAATGTGTCCAGAGTAAGGCAACTAAAATGATCAAGGGTCTGGAGAACAAACCCTATGAGGAGCAGCTTCAAGAGCTGGGCATGTTTAGCCTGAAGAAGAAAAGGCTGAGAGGAGACATGATAGCCATGTATAAATATGTGAGAGGAAGTCATAGGGAGGAAAAAGCAAGCTTGTTTTCTGCTGCCTTGGAGACTAGGACGCAGAACAATAGCTTCAAACTACAAGAAAGGAGATTCCACCTGAACATTAGGAAGAATCTTCTGACTGTAAGAGCTGTTTGGCATTGGAACTCTCTGCCCCGGAGTATGGTGGAGGCTCCTTCTTTGGAGGCTTTTAAACAGAGGCTGGATGGCCATCTGTCGGGGGTACTTTGGATGCAATTTTCCTGCTTCTTAGCAGGGGGTTAGACTGGATGGCCCATAAGGTTTCTTCCAACTCTACGATTCTATGACATTTCCAGCTGTGGGTTTGTGGTCTTTTCCTGGCGGGCATAACACTGAACTGTTGTACATAAAGCTTGTTTAACTGTAGATAACACTGTATTGTAGACTGTTTTCTGCTCAGCAATTCCTTCCCATTTCCATGTTTAGTTCAAGAATGTGTAACGTCTGGTTCTTCAGGTAATATCAGGTTGCAACACGGGCGAGAAACAATATGGCAATGCAGTCCAGTTATGTCTGGAGGGACACAAGTTGCTAGTTCCTACTCTTGGTGCTTATGATATTTTACTAATAGATATTCACAGATTGGTCTGAATTTAAAATTGTAAAGAAAAATCTTAAGATTGTAAAAGAACAAAAAAGAAAGCACACATTTGACAAATCCCTTTCACCACATTTTAAAAGATTAGGCACGTTACGTTTGTAACAAAAAAGTTCAGCAACTAAACTGGCTTATAGTCCTACGAAAAGCCATGTTACAATAAAAGTCACAAAGTAATGAGGTACTTGTTCTTGTCTCAGTACCCGTGTCCTACTTGTAACACGAAGCCCATCACTGGCAGCATCTGAATTATTTGTGTCTTAAGTAATTATTTTCTTTGTTTAACAGATCATTAAAGTTCCCTTCAGACCTAGAAGAACTGCAAGAACTTGCAGAGTTTCTACGATACTACAATAGAGAGCACCATGCGTATGTGCTGCTGCTGTTCTGCAGTGCCTATCTATACAAGCAGTGCTTTGCCATACCAGGCTCCAGCTTTCTGGTACGTATACAGTCTGTAATGCTCTGGGCATTTGCCTGTGTAGCATGTTGCTAAAAACCTGCCTCTCTTCACAGTGTTTGCAAGACTCCCCTCTAATTTCTTTTACCTTTTAACCTCTATATATCCAAACATACACAATTATTGTTATTCTTATTCTTATTTATAGCAGGATCTCCACTTTCCCTATGTTTAGCGACACAGAACCCCCATAAAAGTGGGAAAACAACAAAATTTTAAAAACACAGTTTTTTAACCTGAGAGAACACCTCTCTGAGAATCGTTAAATAAAGTAAATAAATAGAATCTCCAGTATGACTCTTCCACCGAACCTAGAGAGAACATATTAATCAAAAACATTTCAGTTGCCTAAATGTGGTGGGGATGTTTTGCTTATATGCCCAGTTCATGGGTTTCCTAGTTACAGTGCTGGACTGGAAGAACTAGCAGAGATATTACATGTTCCTCTGGTTCATAGAGTCCTTCATGCTTTCCCCACAGTTTATTATGGACTGGATCACTATCTAGTTTTGCTCTAACAGAACATCCTTGGTGGGGCTCTCTTTGGACCATGGATGGGACTCCTGTTGTGTTCTGCCTTGTCTTCTGTGGGTGCCACGTGTTGCTACGGACTGTCCAATGCATTTGGGAAAAAAATAGTTGTCTATTACTTTCCTGAAAAAGTTGCCATGCTTCAGAAAAAGGTAAGAGTCCACAACACTATTATATTTCAGTAGGTACTTGTTTAAAACACTGTTTGACTAAGTAGGACTGTGGCATAAGCTGCATATACACAAGGTCCTCAGTTCAAAACCTGGTATTTCCCTGTAGATCAGAATGGGCAACTGCAGAAGACTAGGGCTGCTCTTGGACAGCACTTAAGCAATTTTTTATTTTGAGTTCAGAAGTATACAGAGGGGTTCCACAAATGTGCAAATGCCCTCCAAACCCTCGGAGATTATTTTTGAACATTTGGAGTAAAATAATTTAAAACACTTGTTCCAGTAAATTGGGTCATGATAACTCCAAGACTTTTTAGGTAGACCTCCCATTTACCCTTTACCTTTATAGTCCTGCAATTTGAAACCAAATGCAGTGATTTTAACTCGTAAACAAGTTATTAAATATCTACTTGTTTTACTGCATTGGTGTGAGTAGATTATATGGCCTGCAGTCCTAACTACATTCTCATCAATAGATGACCTTGTTTTGTTCACAAGAAAAAAGTAAGTAGAGGATCTTGCTATTGGGAGATAGACAAGTATAACTGGTCCTTCCCTGAAGCCTCACTAAGTTCTTACATCCCTCTTGGATTAGATAAGGAACTGTAATGATGAGAGGAAGTTGGCAAAAGTTCACTCTCCCTTCCACTTTCAGGAGTATTCCGTGAGGGAATTCGACTAGGGAGATAGTACCACCAGTGGAACCAAATGTAGGATTCATGGCATAGTTTATTCCGATGCCTAAATCATTAGTGGTAGTATCATTTATCACTTTTACATTGCATTACAAACTTTGGAGAAACATGATTGTTTTTAAAAACCTATGTAGTGAGAAAAAGTTTGACTAGATTTTTTTTCTTTTTGACAGGTGGAAGAGAACAGAAAATCTTTGTTCTTTTTCTTGTTGTTTCTGAGGGTGTTCCCCATGACTCCAAATTGGTTTCTGAATCTCACGTCTCCAATCCTCAACATCCCCGTGTCTCAATTCTTCCTTTCTGTTTTCATAGGTAAGAAATTTATGTATTCATATTGGTACAGCAGGCTAATACACTCTTCTCCCTTTTCTATGGCAGTTGATGCTTATCTGTTGTTTTTTAACATGTGTGCACTCAAAAATACTTTCTTGGCCAGATAATAGAAACTGCAGTGTGATTTGTAATCTGCTTGGGAGCATCTTTTCCTTTTTTCTTACGAGTGTCCTTTGAGCAATAGCAAAGCATAGTTTGATATATATATACTATATACATATTCATGTACATGTTGGCTTCTTTTATAAGATAAAGCCAGGTTTTGGAGCTAAAATTATAGATTTGCTGGATATGCTGAAGATAAAACTTTGGGGCTCAACACAGGGTTCCTTGCATCTAAACCTCCACTGCCACCATTCTCCTTCCCAGACATTTAAAAAGGCATTTCACCATTCCATTCAGAGAAGGGGAAGTTTCTTTTTAATAGGTGTTAAGGTACAGTATTAACTTCCATCAAAAAGGAACCACCCAATTCTTTGAATAAAATGATGAACGGCAAGAGCTTGCTCCGTCCCAGGAGAGCCTAGAAAAGAAGTACTTGCTCCCTTTACTCTCTCCACTACAGCACCACTTTTAGGTTTTTTGAATGCCTGGGTAGGAAAATCGTGGCAGCAGAACAGAAGATTGGTGCTTCTTTTACAGTAGGCTCTTCACAGACAAAGCTCTTGCCATAGTCCAGACAGACAGAACCTAAAAGAAGCACCATGCTATGTCAGTGGCTCTTTGGCACCATCCTGTCTTGGAAGGGAGAACAGAGGTAGAATCCCAGAGGGAAGAATCTTCTGGGATGCATTCTCTCCTTAATGTAAAAATGGATTATCATCTTTAAGGCAATGTCATGAGGTCATTGGTTTTCCTTACAGCAGTCTATAAGGAAGAAAATTATCAAACTTATTTATGGAGTAAATAATAAAACACATGATGGATGCAATTAAAGCCTCCATTGCGCTAGGTTGGAAGGACCATAAGAAATGGGATATAAAAACTTGGTATAAATATCTAGCCAACTGCCTAGTGAAAGGAAAAGTTATTATCGGATGGGCCAAACCAGAAGGACCTGGGAGGCAAGATGGAAGGGTCTCATTTCCAGAATAAAGGGGAAAGATAGATATAAGGAATTAAATAGGGCTATTCTCATGCTTGAACAAGTATAATAAGTATAGCAAGAGTAGTAAACTGTTCCCGGGGAGGGGGTGGGGGAGAGAAGGAGGAGAAATTATGTAAAACAGGATAGAATTATGAAGAAAACAAAATGAATACTTTTGAGAACCTTAGACGGATGGTTACATATAGGATGGTAACCAGGGAAAAATTATTATATGCCCAAACATACTGAGGCATAAATATTTGATAGCATTCCTATACCTTTGTATGTATTATGTAATCACAAACTAAGGGTAGAGGTTCTCGGGATGGAATGGGGAGGTGGTGGGATTGAGGGAAAATACTTCTATTTTGATTGTTGAATTTCGAAGATTGTGTGTTTGTGTATTTGAAAAAAACTTTTTAAAAAACCTTATTTATGGAGTGAGTGGGTAAGCTTTTTCTGATGGCTATTGACAGCCAGTCATACTTCTAGTTATTCAGTTAAGACTTTCCAGCCTTTTCTTTGAGTAATGGGAGAATATCCACTTCTCTCCCTGATCCAAATTATACATATTTTTCTCCTTATCTTTTGAACTTAGAGAGTGCTTTTGTTTGCTCCTTCCTTGATGGCCAGATATTTTTTTCTCTGCATTAGCACGTAAGACAATTAGGATTTGTTATATACACAGCTATGCAATAATTCTGTACTAATAGGTCTTAGCAACAGGGATCAAAGTTGCATTTGTGCAATGTGAAATTTTTTCCTAATACAAGAATGATCTTCTTGTTTCTGCAGGCCTTCTGCCATATAACTTTGTGTGCGTCCAGACAGGCTCAATCCTTTCACAAGTAACCTCCTTGGATGCCATTTTCTCATGGAGTACCCTATTCAAAATGTTGGCAATAGCTATGGTGGCATTGATTCCTGGGACATTAATTAAGCAGTTTGGTCAGAAACACCTCAGTGTGGACAAGAGGAATCAAAATGTGCATCTGCTCAATGGAAAGAAGAGAAGCTGAATAGGCTATGTTGCAATCAGGTATTGTGGGAGCCTATTTATGGGGAGAAGTGCAGTTTATTTCCAACTGGATTTCTGAATCCTTTGGACACTATTTGAATATCTCCTTTCAGCAACGACTAGAACAGTCCGTTCTTAATGTTTGTTTGTTTGTTTGTTTGTTTAAAAAACAAAACCAAACAGAGACTTGCATGGTTCATCTTTAAAAGGTGCTTGTGATTGTTCCAGTGACCTCTGTACCTATACTACTGTCAAAGGAGATGGTAAATGTGGTTATGTTGCAATAACCGAACCATTAGAGACTGCAAGCCCTGAGGTTTGAAGTCAGAGATGGGCAATGCAGAGACCAATTTCCCACTGCCCACCCATCCTCTGCTGTAACCCCAATATCTCCAATTGGTTAGTTCCTCTCACAATGGCAATTGGGTATCTGCTATCTTCCTGCTACCATTTGAAGAGGAAAACAGAGTGGTGGGTTCTTGAGAAGTTGCGTGGGAGTGTTTTCAGCTTTTTTTAAAAAAACGTTTACACTGGGCTAGCCATGGATAAAGAGCTGTAGGCCAAATAATGTGGAGAACCTCTAATCCGAGACAAGGTAACCTCTAGTACTGGGGGCAAAAAACATTCTAAAGCAGAAATAATGAAGTGATAAGCTTCTAGATGAGTACAATTCCCATGACCCTTTCCTACTGACAGTCCTGCCTAAATCTGATGGGAATTGCAGCCCCACAACACATTTAGGGTTTCAATAGCCTATTTTATTTAAAAAAAATAAAAACAGTTTCTCTGTTTATGCAACACTGTGTAGAGAAGAAGAGTAATTCACATTCCCTCTTGTGTTCCTTGAAAAAGTTGTGCTGCTAATTCATTGGCTCAATCCATTTTCAAAGGTGGAAGAAGTTATGAATGAAGGTATCACCATTTCTTTCACTTCTACAGAGTACAGAATCAATTTTTTTAGTTCATAACAAACATATTATTTCATTATATCCCCCTGCTCCCTTCATGATGTTGTTTGTAGTCAGCAGTGGTGAACAGCCACTATTTTTTTAAGCCCTCTGTTTTTGAGTTTGCTATTTCACAAGGTCTTAATCCTCAATGAAGTAGTAAACCTACTTTAGAATGTAGGTGAGAGATTCTCATTGAAAGCCTTCAGATTTACAAAATAAAATATTCACAAATAAAAGTGGAGGCCTAGTAGGAATGTCAGGATAGACTACTATTTGTAGATATCTGATGTGATACAAACTCACAACCCCAAGGTAAGCCAACCAGCAGGAACTGCAGCAGGAAATTTCAGGTTTCCTGTAAAAAAAAAAATCATACCCATTCATCTCCATGGGGAAAGGCAGCCCTCGTGTCATCAGCCTCCAGCCAAATGATGGGTTTATGCGAAACAGTGCCAGTGTTCTGGGAATGGTATTTGCTGTCTCTGTAAAGTTGCCATATTCTGTCAAAGTATTTTTGAAAAGATGTTGTGACAATTTGGAAGTAAGATAAAAGTGTATGTGACTTCATTTTATCTGAGCAGCAACTATGTCTTAATCAAGTGCCTTTATCAACTGTGTGTTTATATGGAATCTATATTCTTATCAGATAAATAGTACTGTAAATCCTTGGTCTACGTGTTATTTGTGTATAGGGAACATTGTTCAGTATTTACTTCCTTTCAACTGGATGATACCAAACCCATGCTTTAAATAGTTCTCTTCTTTCAGCTCTACACACACAATGAGAAGAAAGGAAGTTCTGCTTCTACTCAGTTTCCAGTAGATTTTTTGCCCAGCAAAAATTAACAGAGTATTTCCCCAGCCATCTCAGATGTTTTCAAGTGACAAACTCTATAAACAGTGATGCTGACTTTACAATATTTTTTAAGGATTTGTGAAAACAGCTTCTTGTATTCTTTGGTGGTAACAGATACAACTTGGTAATAAACACATCTGAAACCACAAAACCGATGAAATATGACACTGAACATATGTTGCTGTACACCCTTAAGGGGGCCAAAACTTCACAGATAAGTTTATGATTTGAAAAAAGCTATATTGAAGATGTTACTTTTTAAAAAAATAGGCACACTTAGGAGGAGAGAAAATGTCACATTTCTTTAATACTGTCTGAAAAGCCAAGTTTGCTGTGCTATTTGCATTCCTAATACTTTCCAGTCATATCAGTCTTTCCAAATAGGTTTAGGTATCTAGGACATGTTTGTAATTTTGCCAAAGAAAGGAGCTATTGAACACCGAGCCTTCCCACCAGTAGAGATTAAATTCAAGTAGGGTAAGCATGTGATATTTTGAGAGCAGTGCCAAAGCTGAATTCTAGTTTTGCCTTTAAAACACTAAATGGCTCTTTTTTTAGTTTGCCATATTTAAATAAAGACAAATGAAAGCTGGCTATATAAGACAAGAAAAAACTGGTTATAATTAAGATTCTGAGAGGTTCAAGCAGAAATAAGAGGAAGAGTAGTAGGGACAAATGGTGAAATGAGTGTACTGTTACGAAGAATGAAGTGTATAATATTTTTAAGCAGTATTTCCACATACTTTTTACTTGGTCTCCTCAAAAACCATTTGAAGTTAACAACAAATCAAGATAAGATTAAGAGACCCTGGTTGTGTGTGTTCAGGAGAGATTCCCTTAATAAAATAGCAACCTTATGCACTTATCTGATATCAGCACATTCTGCAGGTCTGAAGGCCACTATTCTGTCCCAAGACATTCCAGTGTTGCATGGACTACCAAAACTGTGGGTGGGAATACAAAACTAGCTGGATACAAGCCCACTTCTATTTAAAAAAAAAAAAAGGTTTAAATGAGAGTGCTGTGACCTTTTCAAAGTATATTGCTGCTCTTGGAAGTTTCCAGGAGATAAAGCTTGTCTTTGCTTTTGATAGAAAAAGGACAACAACAACCACAGAACAGCCCCAAAATCACATTTTGTCCACCTTTGCACTAATCTGACGTTTGAGAAATAACAGAAGGTACCAAGGAACTAAACCTGTAATACTATGTATGCTGTAACAGTACATCACTCTACTTACGTGGGAACACACACAAGCCCTCAGTCTCTTGCATGCTTAAAGTGTGGATATTACATATGCAGGACTATGATAACTGAAAACTATGAAAAAGATAACTGCGAAATGATGCAGTTTGTCATCGGTTTTAAATCCACTCATGAAGAGAGGGACCATGAAGGCAGTTCCATCTTGCTTCCAGTATCATCAGTTGGGAGCCCCACCCCCCAGCACTAATCGCTGCTCTGAGATCAGAGTGAAGAGAGAGGCCATGAAGGCAGTTCCATCTTGTCTCCAGTGTCATCAGTTGAGAGCTCCCCCTCCAGCACCAACCGCTGCTCTGAGATCAGAGTGAAGAGAGGGGCCAGGAAGGCAGTTCCATCTTGTCTCCTGCACTGTGCTTATAATATAATATAATACAATACAATATAATGTATATACATATAATATCTATATAAATAAAAATGTAATGTTTGTTTGTGGGATTAACGGAACTCAAAAACCACTGGGGGAATTGACACCAAATTTGGACACAAGACACCTAACAACCCAATGTATGTCCTTCACACACAAAAAATGATTTTCTCATTTGGGAGTTGTAGTTGCTGAGATTTATAGTTCACCTACAATCAAAGAACATTCTGAACCCTACCAACGATGGAATTGAATCAAACTTGGCACACTGATCTCCCATGACCAACAGAAAATACTGGAAGGGTTTAGTGGGCAGTGTCCTTTGGTTTTGGAGTTGTAGTTCACCTACACCAGAGATGACTGTGGACTCAAACAATGATGGATCTGGACCAAACTTGACATAAATACTCAATATGTCCAAATGTGAACACTGGTGGAGTTTGGGGAAAATAGAATCTTGACATTTGGGAGTTGTAGTTGCTGGGATTTATAGTTCACCTACAATCACAGAGCATTCTGAACCCCACCAGCAATAGAATTGGGCCAAACCTCCCACACAGAACCCCCATGACCAACAGAAAATACTGTATTTTGTGATGGTCTTTGGTGATCCCTCTGACACCCCCTCATGACCCTGCATATAAATGCCATAAATAAATAAATAAATGATGACTTCTGGCTTAAATTTATAAAAACACAGGAAGCTTAATAGGCAAGTGGAGACCTGCTTCATCTAAGTGCACCACAAATGCACACTGTTTAAAAGGTGGAGCACACATATATAGTCATTACCATGTATATCTTTCAAGATACCTTTCTTTTAAATATAGTTGGATAAAATGATTAGTACCTTCATCACACGTTTCTCTCCAGTGAAATCATTTTCATCGGTGTGCTGGCATTCTTCAAACATACTTTTAAAAACTCACTTGTCAATTCTAAAAATTCCACAAAGATCTTGGAAAAGATCAATTTCTTTCAAGTGAGAATTATATACAACACCACATGAAATTTACCAAAGCATTAACTTACTCTCTTGATTTTTTTGGTACAAGATAAGCAACTACAACCACACTGGACATATGAGTCTACAAGCACATGAGGTACACTGGCTTTTATTCCATGCATCTGTTTTGATAGTCAGTCTTGTTCCCAATTGTTATACACAGTTCAATACAAAAACAAAATCAAGTTTGCCTCAGAAAGCCATAGAATAGGAGAAGAGATAGCATAGGAGTTGAAATGATCATTTCATATGACATGTAAACCAATCACTCCCACTAACCAATAGCCACCACACTGATTGTGCCATAGCTGGACCCAGTAATTAAGAATCTGTCATAAGAGCAGAGAAAAAAATCTAGAAGAAGTTATTGACCTCCAAAAGCTGTCTCTGGTTTGCATTACGTACTCCAAGTATCATTATACTGTTGTTGTGCCGTTACTCACAAAACCTTGTAATATTGTAATGCCCTTGCATAAAATAGTCATAACTTAGCAAGAAGATTCACTTTTGATAGTTGCACATATAGTATGTGGTGTGGGGTGTGTTGTCTATGGCTTTCAGATGAACAGCTCTACTTTGCAATGAATCATCAACTATCCCTTTAATCTCTAAGATGCCATCAGAGTTAACACAAGACAACTACTTTCTTCCCAAAATAATGCACTTTTTGTTGGTTACTAAGAAATTTTTTCTTGTGCTAGCTTGACAATGTTTTCTACAAACAAAGAAAGTATAACACAGTGTGTATCTCTCAAAACCAGTATTGCTTACTTCCATTATTTCTGACATCTTGGAATAGTTACGTGCTTTGGAGTGTTGTTCCCAGAGAAGCAAGGAGGTATAGGTAGTACCTTTTATTGGACCTACAGAACATAGCAGGCTCTTTTAAGAACCCAAAGTCACATAAATACCTGAGAGTCTGTTTCCATATTAAAAAGTGTTTAGCCCTCACTCTTTTAAGACAAAATCTTAAAAACATAATCTGCATACTCTACAACCATTTAAAACAGGAGTGGTCAATCTGCAGACCCCAATCTAATTTCAAAAGCCCTCTGCAAGTGATCAGTTCAGGTTTCCGCCTGCTAAGTAGGAAGGGAAGGGAAGAAGAGGTGAAAACGGAGAGGGGTAGGCACACCCATTTGTTATTCCACACCCCACTACAATAGGTTTCAGCACACCAACTGTGAGGATGTCATCTTCAATAGAAAATACTGCCCACCTTGACTTAAAATTCATCTGTTAGGTTAATATGAAAAGAGCACATTCATCATCATTCACATTTTATGGTTAGCCATTCCATCCTCTTTGAATCATAACATCTTTGAGCCTCTTTTGTAGAGAGAGAAAGTGGGATATAAATAAACATAATAATAATAAGATCTGGAGTATTTTTTGTTATAATTGCCTATATCACATCTCTGATTAAATGTTTGTCACTGAAACATGTTGCAGTGGCAGGTAAGAGCACAGTGGGAGGATCAGGGACTTCACAACGTGATGCTACTCCATCATATGGGAAGTGCTACAGTTAAGTATTATAACACAAATGTGTGGGTAGAACACACTGCAACTACGTCACTTTCAGCTGCATGCTCTGATTGTCATAACATGTAGCCTCGCTCTCAGTTTACCTATACCAGCATTTTTTTTCTTTAACATAGAAAATGTAATTGGTTTCGCTTAGTTTGTAATCTATGATCTCTCTGCAACCATGACATTGAATTTGCTCAAGTATTCAAAATTATAAATTAGGAGTGCCCTAAAGCAGAGAGCTGATAACATTGGGAGCTGCGTAAGAACAAACAGCGCTACGTGATTCAATTATGCTTAAAATTTCAATTCTTTTTTCACCTGCTTACCTCTGAAAGAAACTTCAGCCGAATAAAAGGAAATATATCTGGGGGAAACCTCCAATCAATACTACATATGATGTCTATCTGATTGCTTGATATGTTCTACAGCTGAATCCTCTCTAGTAAGGTCTTACCCCCACCTAGCCACCCACCCCCGGCACATAAAATATTCTAATTACAGTACTACATTCTTAGGAGCCAGAATTCACTACACTTCTGCAATCAAGTTCTCCTGTAGCCCTGAGTTCTCAGGGAGGGTCAAAGCCAAAACTGGTTGACTTGTTTATAACTATTAAGGGGAAATTACAGGACACATACTAATGAGGAGAATGTATATCTTCAGAGACTCAGGCTGCTAGGGACCAATCTTAATGAATTACAGTCATCATTCCACATTCACTGGGGTTAGGGGCACCGAATCGCTGCAAAAGTGGAAAAAGCATGACTAAAAATAGGTCATTTTTAAACCTGAGAGTGCACCTCTCTAGATCCTCCACAAAGGGTCAATCTTCATCAGAAGTTAAACACAAAATTACACCAGAGCACCTAGAAATTCCTAGAGAGGTGTTCTCTCTATGTATCTCTAGGTCCCCCATCATGACTCTATAGTCAATTTCTGGTGGAAGTTAAACAAAGTCACACTGGAGAACTGAGAAATTCTAGAGATAATACTTCAGTCAAATCCTTGAATGATCAAATCTGCAAAAAGTCAAACCTATAAATATGGAAGGCTGACTGGACTGAACCTTCAGGTAGTCTCTTAAAGAATTACATGCAGCATGGTGTCTGTAGACTCAAGATATGTGCAAATGCCAAAAAACCAAGTTACTGCTAGACATAATGGAAACCATTACATCAGACACATTCTCTACTAATTTAGAGACTTGGGGCTGTGGGGATGCATTTTAGTGTTAAATTACATGCTTTGCATCATAAGCCTCCAGGGACAACATCTCCATTTAAAAGATGAGGAATTTCTTTGTTCAAAACCTGGAGAACTCTTGCCTGTCAAACCTGACAGTTCTGCATTAGTATTGGAATTAGAATTGCTGAAGGCGAGATGTAGAAAAAAAGTCAGCATTAAAATAACTGCCAATTACATCATATTGACAAGTAACACAAAGCTTTTGATCAGTTTTGAACTATCCTTCACTTTGCTGCATTAAAAAAAATCTTGCATATAACATACTCAGCCATGGGCTGTTAAATCTAGAATTTTTATGCCAACGAAGGAAGGCATCTTCAGTTTATTGCCAAATAGTCTGCTTGCTTGCAAAGGCCGTTTAAAAACAGTTATTGATTCATAGGCATGTGCCCATATCAGCCTTGTAAGTAAGACACCCACAATCTGAATGTATTAGTGATAATAGAGCGGAGTGGAAAAAAAGAATTGTAGAGAACTCAAAAGAAAACATTAGGATAATGTTAATTACCAGTACTTTGAGATCAAGAATGAGCAAACTTTGGCCCTCCAGGTGTTGGATTTTGGCTCCCATAATTTCTAATAGCTGGTAAGATGGCTGGGATTTCTGGGAGTTGGAAGTCCAAAATGCCAGGAAGCCTGAAGTTTGCCAATACCTGGTTTAGATGATACAATAAAACCAAAATTTCTCAAAAGAACACCAAGTTCAGTTTCTGAATTATGTGGATTTGAAAGGAGCAGAAATATGCTGTTCTCCCATGATTTGGTCCATATATTTATGGAATGATATTTACAGGAGTGTTGAATAAGCAGAATCAATGGACCCTCAAAGAAATTCACTCTCAGCCTACTTACGACTAGGCAAAGAACATGGGCGGTCAGGAACCACTTAGTTCAAAATGGGCAGCACCCTGATTAGTTTAACAAGTACACCAAATGCAAGGACTTTTTCTTTTTGGAACAAAATAATATTTCAGGTGAACTGGACTTACGTACTCATTTTACCTTAGTCTGAAATTTCACAGTGGTCTGTATTGCTGCAAGGAAGCTAAAGCACAATCACAATTTTATGGACGCTGTATCCACATTATTTCACACCCTACCCATATGAAGCCCCAACACTATTTCACCTTGCTTGTACTGACCCACTCCATGTTGTCTACTGTGCAATCACAAGATTAAGAAATGGCCTGGCTCCTGCTCCTTCTGGCCCAAGAAGCCGCAGAGCAACTGAAGACCAATACATTGTGCTACAATAAACCTTGCCTTCAATCTACTGAAATTATAATAAATAATGAAATAATTTATAATCCATGTAGTCCAGCTACAAAGTTTCAAAAATATGAAATAATTTAACTCACACAATACTGCTCTCTTCATTAGTAAAGTATTTTCCCTTCATTCGGTCACTAGGCTATTGATTATTTCTTTTTAAAGGAAATCAAATGTAAACAGACATCAACAAAAAACTTAAGCCATCCTTCTCCTCCATGTTGGGAGTGGGGTGAAGGGTGCAACAGGTACTCACTACCTTAAAAACGAATCTTCCTATGCTACAATTTTACACTCCACACAAAGAGCCTTTCTTCCCTGAATATAATTAACTAGACACACAAGGGGGCACAGCCAGGATTATTATTCACACTTTGGTTATAAAACCAAATGAAAACTTGTAGTGTTTTTGTGTTGCTCTTATTGAGTATTTCAGTTAAAGGAGACATGATTAGAAACCCCAGTGAGTTGCTTAGGAAGAATGAGGTATTGCAGAAGGAAGGTGGAATTTTTCTTTCCCTTAGGAAAGGCAAATGTCTTGGGTCCTCTTCAGTCCAAAATCCACCACTATGGACCTATGGCTTAGGTTCCCTCAGAAGGGCATTCTCCGCCAATAAAGAGCATTCTCCAGTCATCACCATTTTTCAAATGTTAGTTTGTATCAAGACCAACAAGTTTCCAATGCATCCCTACAAGAACAACACTAGACAAACTGTAGGGAGGCTAGTAGTGTGATCCAGGCTGAATAAGAACACGTGCCTTAGCCAAGGCAATCCTTCCTTCTTGTGTCCTAACATAATGCCAGCTGTAATATGAACAGTTCCAGTTTATCCCTCCAACACAGTTTGCAGGTTGTGTGGAATGTGGTTTCAATCACTTTTTTGAATCTTGATCTTTAACACCAATTTGATCGATTTCATTAAAACCTAAGGAAGCAAAAATATGTAAAAGAAAAGGAATAATTGAGCAAAACAGATCTTCACTGGTTTCTATTTACCAGCTACTCAATGCTGTCTCTCTGATCTCACAATGGCACAGTTATGGTGAAAAATGCTGGAGATACACTGTGACAAGAATATAGCTGCAGGAGGTCACAACCAACTAAATATGAATTAAAAACCAAGCATGATGAACAGTCATTTTCATACGCCTGGAGAGCAAAGACTCAAACACAGAACTTCCTTTTGAAAAACCTTGTGCTGGTTATACTGATGAAATTTGTTCACAAATTGCTTCAGCCACTGCTTCATCAAATGTGGAAAAGCCATTGTATTCATCTTCCTTTATTTCCAGCAGTTTGGAGCCACTTGGACTTGTCGATGTCACAGTAGTAGCACTGGATCCCACATGTCCCATCTAAGACTCTAGAAGATTGTTCTCCTTCACAGGCTTGCCTTCAGAACTTTTTTTTGCAACCAGTTATTTTGTCTTCAGTGTAAAAAGTGTTAAAATGCCAAAAATAGGATACAACAACTAAATTTTTCAATAAAATACATCCCTGCCATTCATGACTGAAATGTTCACTGAGAACCCAATTTGTCAGAACATTTCTCTAAAGATTCAAGTTATTGCAGAACATTTGGGTGAAAGGATGGAGAAACAGCTTCGCAGAGAAGGAATGAAGAGAGGTTCTTGAGGAATCAATGACTTAGGGAGGGGAGAGAGACATCTTTACAAGGTTGCCGAGTTGCACACTTTACTGGTCCTCACAGTTGTATCAGAGCATTCTCCATCTGAAGAGTCACCACCAGAATCTCCAAACTCACCAGGATTCTGCATCAAAAAGGAAAAGGAATATTTAAAATCATATATTCTCACTTCATTCACTTCTGCAGTTAAAACGGTTCTCAATACCAACCCAAAGAACATGCCTAGGGCCTTTGAGAAAAGCAGATGTACCAAATATTCAAATCTGATGTTCTCAAGCTATAGTCCCAAGGAATCTGAAAATGCATCTCAAACCATAGCTTTTAAAGAATCTCCTCTATACAATGAATGACTGTGCTGGAATCAAAAACAAATTCTGTTATGCAGAATAATCACAGCCGTGTTGTAGAGTCCAATAAAAACTTCAGGAAATCTATAAAATTTACAATATGAAATGTGGCCACTTGCTAACAGAGGCTCATTAGTAATTGATATTTTAGAGCCTACGGGGGAATGCTGCACCATACTGTGTTCAGACCACTTCTTTTTATTTTGGAATTTTTAAAATATTCTATTGTAGAAAGAGGGTGAGTGAATGTTGCTTTTTTCCCCCACAGACACACAGCAGGTCATGAAAAAAGCTAGTTTGCTTTCTGCAAGAATTTTCAACATGAAAAAAAGTTCAAATGTGCAGTCCCTAAAGAAGTTTCTCCTTCCTCATTCTCCCTTGTAGCATCTTCTACCCTCTATTCCACCCATAAAGAAGCCTCTCTGAAGGGTAAAAAAAAAACTTTCCTGAACCACATGGGTTGCGGTGACACAGAAATCACTCAGCATCAGACATGGATCCGAAGATAACATTTGAAAGTTAGCTGAAGGGAAGCTTTCTTCCATTCCTTCCCACAAGAGTTCCACCCAATAGTACTCAAGAGATCCCTCAGGACTTTTTAGATGGCTAAAGGGGAAGGAAGTGATGGGAAATTTTATTCCTGTGAATTTCTTTAAGTTAGGTTATCTGAGGATCTAAGGTAACAGGACAATCAAATCCTTTAAAACACAGCTGATAAAACTAAAATGCTTTAAATAACTGACATCACTGGTTTCCAATCAGCAGTTAATTCTTCATTCAGAAGACCTACAAGCCACTCTAAACACCTTCGCAGAAGCATACGAGAAGCCCAGCCTGTCATTGAACATCGAGAAAGCCAAAGTGCTCTTCAAACAGTCACCAACCAACCCATCTGCAATGCCAGAAATACAGCTTAATGGTGTAACATTAGAAAATGTTGACCATTTCCGCTACCTTGGCAGCCACCTCTCCACAAAAGTCAACATTGACATTGAAATACAACACCGCCTGAGCTCTGCGAGTGCAGCATTTTTCCGAATGAAGCACAGAGTGTTTGAGGACTGGGACATCTGTAGGGATACCAAGGTGCTTGTTTATAAACCTACTGTCCTCCCAACCGTGCTATACGCCAGCAAAATGTGGACTATCTACAGATGTCACATGCAACTCCTGGAACGATTCCATCAGCGTTGCCTCAGTAAAATCCTGCAAATTTCTTAGAAAGACAAGTGGACAAATGTCAGCATGTTGGAAAAAGCAAAGACCACCAGCACTGAAGCGATGGTCCTCTGCCATCAACTCCACATTGTTCGAATGCCCGATTACCGTCTCCCAAAGCAGCTGCTCTACTACAAACTCAAGAATGGAAAATGGAATGTTGGAGGACAGGAAAAGATGGGCTCAAAGCCAACCTTAAAAACTGTGGCATAGACACCGAGAACTGGGAAGCCCTGGCTCTTGAGAACTCTAGGTGGAGGTCAGTTGTAACCAGCAGTGCTGTAGAATTTGAAGAGGTACGAATGGAGGGCGAAAGAGAGAAACATGCCAAGAGGAAGGCGTGTCAAGCCAACCCCGACTGGGACTGCCTTCCACCTGGAAACCGATGCCCTCACTGCGGGAGAACATGCAGGTCAAGACTAGGGCTCCATAGTCACCTACGTATCCATCGCCAGGACACCAAATTTGGGGGACAATCTTATTCGGACAACGAGGGATCACCTAAGTAAGTAATTCTTCATCTACATCAACAAGGAAAGGATGGTGTTGCTGACCTCATATCCATGCTCCTCTGGACATAACTTGCCAAGTGACATCTGTGTTTTCACTCTGCGTACAGCACTCTCCTTATCTGAAAGTCCATCAGATTGAGTAGATATCTCAATAGGAATTTCTGGAGTCTGTGACAGCATATCATCCAGCTTGTGAGTCAACTTCTTTTCCTTCCTCTTGGTAAGCTCATCTGGGCTGTTGGAATGGTCACTGGTATTACCTTCCTCCCCATCAGACACAGAGAGATTCTCAGAGCTGAAAGTCGAGTAGGACTGACAGCTACTGATACAGCGGTGTGGTCTGAAAATGCATAAGAATGTTAATTAGTCTGACTTTAATTCAAACACAAAAACGGATGTAACCCAACAAGGGTATGTAGGCCAGATTTGAGATAGATAGATATTTAAAAAAAATACAGGATTTGAAAAATATTCTGCGGAACCATTTGTCATAAGTGAAGTTTTCCCACTTTAACTGAGCAAAACCAATTGTCTAAAAAGTCATAATGATACATTGATCTAACTACTATGCAAACTATTTGTGCAATATTATCACATTTGAAATCGTCTTATGGCACAATTCCTGTTTTCACGCTGAACCATTTTTTTCAAAACTGCAGAGGACTAAAATGGGGGGGGGTCCCATGGTGCTCCTTCCTACGATCTACAATATGAATGGACTGATTTAAGATCATTTTGTCATGTATCCTGCTCTAAGATTCTGATTGAAAGATGGCCAATTTCACTTATCTGATTTTTTTTTTGTTCTACCAACAAACTGACAAGCTAGAAAGAAATACTGACCTGTAAAAAATATTAGTAATTTATTTCTTTTATATTATTTCCCTCAAGCTTTAATTTTTTTTCTTCTTTTCTCAACCTTCTTTTAAAACCCTCGATTCTTTTTGTAGTTTGCTTGGCTAAATAGAAATTATTGTATACAACAAGTCTTAGTTCAGACATAATGGCAAATCAAAAACTGGTTAAAGCACAACTAAATTCTGGTTATTTTTATTTATTTCTCCTCTTAATATCATTGGGAAGATGGGACATAGAGAACTCAGTGCTTTGCACAGGCTCGTTCCTGCTCATGTATTAGTAGTCAATGCATTAGCATTTTGTATAGCCATCTTTCTTGAATGTAGCCATTTGTGCTGGTGAGTTGATGTTGGACGCCCTCTATATACTATATTGTTTCTGGATAGGCAGATGGACGTACAAATCTGGAGAACCTGAGGAACTTATAATGTTAGAATAAACCCACAAAGTTCCCACCTTGCAATAAATGAAATTCTCTTTAAATCCTCTTTTGTCAATTCAAACCTCCATTTAGCGAAGAGGAAAAGTATGAATAGTTTAGATGTTTACCTCTGCCTTCGTGGGAATTCCACTTCACTATCTACTTCTCCTTCTTCTTCTGAAGAGTCGTCACCACTCTGGCAGAGAGGCAAAATACAATGTTATTTGAAAATTACTTAACATGGCAAATACATAGCCCCCATTAGAGGAAACATGTATAACTTTTGAAAAGTAATTTCTTACTTGGAAAACCTGTATTTCTATATGTGTAAGAAATTGCCCTAAATGCTTCCCAAACAATGTTTCAGGAGTAATGAGTAAACGTTATACTATAAAGGTAACCATATTACTAAGCATGATGTTATTTCACAAAAGGAATATCATTATGTTCTCATTCCAAAAAGCAACACATCAATAGTTGTAGTGTGTTACTTCCAAACTTTGAATGTGAAATTAAATTTGCAAAGTAATAACCTTCACAAAATGAAATCCAAAATTTAATTCTATACAGCACAAATTAAGAAACTTATACCTGGCCAGTAAAATCAATGTGAATCAGAAAATATCAATTTTTTAAAGTATTCCATTTTGGGGTGAAGGAGGAGAACAACAACAACTTGTTATCTGAATCTCCTCACTACTCAAGGTAGTGAGCAAAACCCATATACCAAAATGCATAGTACAAAGATTAAAAGGGGATACCAATAGAATTCACAGTTCAAAATTGGGGTAAGCCTGCCAGAAGAGATTAATTCAGCTGTCAGAGCTCTTCCGGCAGGTCATTCCACAGTCTTGGGGGCCGGGGGGGGGGGGGGGGGGGGGGGGGGGGATGATGAAAAGGTTATAGGAAGGAACATACCTTTGAAATGGGTCTTGTTTTACACAGCAGTCCTGAAGTGCTCACAGGATGAGAAGAGCCAAGAGAAGATGCTGACCTGTGGCTGCTAAATTCACCTTCCTCCCTTTGCCCAGAAAACTGCCCATTTGCAAATAAGGGCTCCTGTGAGGGTGCTTCAGGTGGCTCAAGTCCTGGCTCAAGTGACTGTTCTTGGTTTGCACTATTTGTCCCCATTCTGCATTCTGGGCAGAGGCTGTATGTGCCTTTTTGACAGCAGTCCCAATGATTAGCTGTGCCCTCCCCATCCTTCTCCTCCTCCAGATTTCTCCGTGAATCAGCTTCCATAGCAGTAGAAATAAGATCTGGGCTAGAGCCGGACATCCTCCGTTGGGCATGATTACTAAGAGGACTGCGCAAGGCTGCAGCTGGTCCAAAATATCGAAGATTGTTAGCACAATTGGCTATGTCCTGTCCCTGTAAGTTGAGCCGAGGGTGATGCCCATGGTGGTGGGGGTGATGTTGTTGATGATGACTTGGCTGAGCCGAATCATCCCGTGTTGCCTGGTTTTTCAAGATCCCTGTAAAATCACTATTGCTGCCTTTGCTGTTTCCTCGCCGGTGGCGTGGTTTGCAACGGTATCGTCCTTTGCTACTAAGTGTTGACATTTTGGGACTCGCTGAGAGAGGAGAACCACTGGGCAACACCTCAGTGTTGGATATCCCATCTGACTTCAGTAAGTCAGGCCTAGGAAAGGATGCAAAATAAAGCATGCTCATTGTCATTATATATATATTATGCTTAATTGCATGGGACTTTTTGTCACATAATCTGTCTCATTATTGAAACATCTAATTGAATAGATAGAACTGATGACCCGGGAGGTTTCAGGGCCCCTTCCTAGGGAATGTTCATTGTTTTGCTATTTGGCTTTGGAAGATAGAATGGATTTTATTTAGTCACAGCTTCCAAAAATGGTACAAATACACTAATGTTTGTTACTCATCCTCATCAGAGAAATTATATCACTTTGAGGAAGCAGAATAAAAGTAGAGCTTCTTAAAAATTGAGTACTTTGAAATTCTTAGTTTGTCACCACTAAAACACTCTGGTGTGATACTCTGATCTTAAATTATATCTCATCTACATTTCCAAAACTTACCTATTATTGATTAGAACAAAAAAAAAACTATTCATCTCCTATTCTTGTATCTAATTTATGGCTGTGACAGATCAAGAAATTAATCAGAAACACTTCATTTTTGTGACCTGTTCAGCTTAAAATATTCTTGCAAAAAACGTATACATCCCAACAAGGTTTTGTTATTTGACTTACCGCTTAGTTTGGCCTCCAGATTTGTGGGAGACTCCTCTCCTCTTCATTAGTTTTTCCATTGCATTGGCATGGATTATTGGTCGAACTGGGTGACGCTTATATGTCCCAGGATACTTCTTTTCCACTGCTTGTTCCCGCCTTCATGTAGAAAATAAAATTACTGGAATATTTACTCCAAGTATGCATCAATCCATCAATTTCACAAACTTTTACCTACATATCAAGCTAAGTCCTCATGTCAGTATTGGGGAAAGACAAACTATTTTTCAATTGCTCAATGTTACATCCCGATTGGATTACTGCAACACACTCTACGTGGGGTTGCCTTTGAAGACTGCTCGGAAACTCCAATTGGTCCAGCGAGAGGCAGCCAGATTGCTCACCGGAGCGTCATACAGGGAGCACACCACCCCCCTGTTGTGTCAGCTCCACTGGCTGCCGATCCAATTCCGAGCACAATTCAAAGTGCAGGTTTTGACCTACAAAACCCTAAACGGTTCCAGCCCAGTGTATCTATCCGAACGGATCTCCCTCTACGTCCCACCTCGGAACCTAAGATCCTCTGGGGAGGCCCTGCTCTCGACCCCACCTCTATCACAAGTGAGATTGGTGGGGACGAGGAGCAGGGCCTTCTCGGTGATGGCCCCCCGCCTGTGGAACTCACTCCCCAGGGAGATTAGATCGGCAACGTCCCTTCTTTCATTTAGGAAGAGGTTGAAGACCTGGATGTGGGACCAGGCATTTGGACATTCTGGCAGTTAAAGAAAGGCTTGATGACAAGCTGGAACTGGACAAGACGGAATGGATTTACGGAACTCCGAACGCTGAGCTCAGGATTAGCCTACTACTGTGTTTATGGTGTTGTTGTGTATTGATGATTTAATTTTTAATTTGTAATTGCTTAATTGTTTTTATGTATGTATGTATATGTGACAAGGCATCGAATTGTGCCTTTCTCTGTAAGCCACCCTGAGTTCCCCCTTGGGGGTGAGAAGGGCGGGGTAAAAGTGACGGAAATAAATAAATAAATAAATAAATAAATCCAAAGAACTATCATGTTCTAAAAGAGAAAAAGCTCTCCTTTATCAATTTTGGTTAGGAGAAAGTTAGGTGATCTTATATAACAGAAACTCCTACCTGAAGTATTGAAATAAATTTCATTGGCCTTCATCAAATGCATACACACATGCATATATACATTCACTATCTGCCCCAGACACTTAGGTCTCCTGGGGGCGCCTACTGCAGAACCCGACTGTCAACCGTCACCCAGAGGACCTTTTCATCTTCTGCCCCAAGACTGTGGAATAACCTGCCAGAAGAGCTCCGGCAGCTAAATGAGCTGTCAGAGCATCTGAAAAGCTATCTCTTCCAGCAGTCCTACCCAGTCAGTTTTAACTATGAAATGTAAACTTATGTCCTGTGATTACTACATTTTAATATTTGTTTTGCGGATTTAAAATATTTACTTCATAGAAATATGTTTTAATATGCCGTGCCCCATCTTGAGCCACAAGGAGACACAGGTAAGAAATAAAATAATAATAATAATAATAATAATAATTATTATTATTATTTACAGACACCGAGAAAAATATGCCCCTTAATGCACTTTATCCCATCCTTTAGTGAAATTTACCCCATTGCTTGTCCCATCTGAGATCTCTCACCAGGCACACTACCCTATTCATCCTTCTCACCTAGGGTTTTTATACTTTACAATTTTAACCAGCACTGCCCGCTATGCTCACCTTACTATTTTATTTTATTTTATTGTCATTTCCTGTGTTTGACTTTGTATTAATTTTGCTGTTTATTTTTATTTTTATGTTATTTTTATTTGATGTTATTATTTGCTGTGTATTTGATTTTGATCTGTTGTATTTTGTTGGGCTTGGCCTCATGTTAGCCGCCCCGAGTTCCCTTTGGGGAGATGGGGTATAAATAAATATTATGATGGTAATGATGATGATGATTATTATTATTAGCATTGGACTAGAACTTAGATCATGTTTCACATCCCCGTTCAGCCATGGAAACCCACTGGGTGAACTTGGGCAAGTTTCTCTCTCTCTCTCACACACACACACTTGAATAATTGTTCTTCATAATAACATGGGTATAGACAATATGTGAATGTACGTACTTCATGAGCTCCTTTTCCCGAATCTCTAGTTGTAGCATGATAGCACTGAGCTCCATATACAAATTATTGGCTCTCTCCAGTTTTCTCTCATAATGTTCACGAATATCCAAGGCATGCCTGAGAGAGGGAAGAAAGGAGAACCAATGTTAACAACTAAGTGGCTCTCTCATAAGGACAGCACATGTTCATGAGGAATTTATCTCCATTAAACATTTTATTTTTATGTTCTAAAACACGTAAGAGAGGTTAAAAAAACGCATGCACATGTTGAAAAAAGAAAATCAGGCTCAGCATCAATAATTACAGATAATTGCCATATGGTTCCAAAGTGCTAGATTCAAGGACATTCAGTGAAATATATTTCCAGGAATTCCAAAGATTTTTTTTTACACAAAACACACTGAGATGATTCCCACAAACAAAAGGCAAACCTCCTTACAAAGAAATTTGATACAATTCTGAATGAAAATTTATAAACAGTTCTCTCTGAGGGCTTTCAAACAGCAACTGGATGGAAAGAGGAGACAGAAGTAAATAATTGCTGATCTGAACCAAAAGGATTTGTTTTACATTATTAAAAACAACAAACCTGAGTTCTTCTCTTCTGCGTCGAATAAGTTCTTCATCTAACCGATGTATGCAAGTTCCTTCACTTTTAATTTTTTCAAAATGTTTCTTCACTTCTTCTCTCCATTCAGCCTGCCAGAGTAATTTTGCATTTTCATGGTCATATAATGTATTTAATATTAGTTACAGCAGCACTAAAGCAGCTGCACTATTATCAGAAAAAAATAAGTGTACTAGTTTCCAACCAATATTCCAAACTCTGTAATTCTCTCTGACAGTGAGCATGATGGTGTAAACGGGATATCAATATGAACACAAATGCCTATCCATATAGAAGTCAGGAAGGTCTGCCCTAATAGACTTAATAAACTTGCAGCTACCTTATTACCAATGCTAGACATGTAAGTGTCTATTTTTAATCAAAGCTTGGGCTCTGTCTGAAGAAATATATTGCAAAATGATCCTCACCTACACAGTTGCTTGCATTTTATTTCTAACTCTAGTTCCATTTCTTCTCATATCTCTATCCAATCAACTGCTATTAACTAAAGAATCATTAGAAGAGGATGCAAAGCACAGATTTAATACTATACTGCATACCTACAGCTCTAGGGGTTTGCATTACAATACTATCTCAGTTACAACCATAAACAATCTCTGGCTTCACACATCTTACTACAATACAAAATAAACAGCAATAAATCTTTTAGAAAACAAGTATTTTATTTTTAAAGCAAAATTCTCAGTCCTAAAGAAAATAAAAAATCCCCCATTGTATAGGGAAGAAAATGCTACATACACTATCTTTCAGACAAAAAAGTGATATCATGAAAAAGAATCTGATAATGCTAAACAACTGAATTACATTAGCTTTTCTGACTCTAGCTATAGGGAGTTAATAGTATACAAGTGATAAGAATCCCAACTGCTGGAATTCTTCCTGACAGAGCTTAATATAGCCATATTTCTGAAGTATAGTCCCACTGAGAATGATGATGTAAATGGGATACCATGAACACATACATCTTTCCATATAGAGGTCTCATTTTCTAGATTACGACAACAGCATTTGATCACTGCAGTTTAGCTGCACCAATTCTATTTTCTCCTTCAATAGTCCTGCTGAGTGTGGCATGCTTTCCAATATAACCAATATCATCTTAGAACGGGCAATATTCTGCTTTTTGTCGCAGCTTGCCTCGTATCTTATTATATGTGTGTGTAGCATATTTTTTCCTAAACATTTTCATATTATTTTAAGTTTATCATAGGAAAATGAAACAGCCATGGTCATTCATCGGAGGAAAAATAAATGAAAGTTTCTACAGACTTGCTTCCATAGGCATATTTTTACAGACTTCAGCCCATTTCCCCTGATGTATCTGATGAAATGTATGTATTTATATAATTTACTTTTCTTCTGCCTTTCTCCCGAATGGGGACTCAAGAGAACTAACAATAAAACAATGCCAATTAAAACAATATGAATACATTCAAATATAGAGAGATTATCTTTTAAAGAAATAAACCATTTATGCCATTAAAACCATAAAACATTAAAATATTAAATAATCAGTCCATAAATATCAAATGGCAGAGGAAAACCGCTTGGCTTTCATAGGCAGGTGAAAAACTTATGAAGAATAAAACTCATTAGCTTTTAAGATATAGAACAAGATTCTTTTTATGGCTATATTAGGAACTCCCATTGTCTTTCACTTATTTGGTTTATATCCTTTGTCCTGCTCCTCCTTCTTAATCTGGAAGGAAGCTAGCAGATCAGATACTAGCTTCCTTCCAGATTAAGATGGAGGAGCAGAACAAAAGATATAAACCAAATAAGTGAAAGACAATGGGATAAATGCTAGCAACATGGGAAAATAAAACAGAAACAAGGCCAAATAGTTATGAGGGCAAGTAACAGAGTGGTGGATTTGTAAAATATGAAGAACAATATTTGTGGCTACTCTCATTGTGAGAATATGCTGCTAAAAGATGTCAGATTTACCTGAGACTTGAAATAGGTCTCCTGAGGAGTGCCCAACACATCAGCAGATGCAATGTCAAGGTGCATAAGCGTCTGTCGGAAAGAGGGTCGATTCCTGGGCTTACTTTGCCTATCAAAAGAAAAGAAAGAGGATGACAACCACCTATTGTTAAAACATAATAATGAGTCTGTTTGGAGCATTTTAAGTTGAACTTTCATTTTATTATCTATTCAAATACCCCCACCCCCACTCAAAATGAAGGTTTTAGTAACAGGCTCCCAAATTCAACATTCATTCTTAAGGCAAAACAAACAAATCTTCCACATAACATAAATATTACCTAGATGCATACATTATCTGCTGTATCCTCTCAGATTATATGTTCATTTTCATGTAGCCACTCTATGCATTACTCTTATTTCCCCCTCCTGACATAAGCTGAATTCTCTTTTGCAAAGAGATAGCCATGGTACCCTGTTTCAACATAATGGGCAGGATATTTAGCAGTACCTTTGAAACTAACAGATTTATTTTAGTGTCATCTTTCATGGATTTCATTCCACTTCTTCAGATATAGTAATGGAGAACAATTTTAAGCCTCAAGTATTTTTAAAAAAACAGTTTTATAGTTTGGGGGAGGGAGTATGAGAGTGTAAAGGATTCAGAAAGATGCAAATTGTGACAGAAGTAATAAAGCTACATTGTGACTTCGGAAATCAGTCTCATCTGAAAAATGCTTGCGCTTCAAAAGTAATTTCATTGTTGGAAAGAGGTGGAAGCCCAATGGTGTGAGGTCCGGTGAACAAGGGGGATGTGGTAGAATTTCAAAGCCACAGGAGCATGCTTCCATTTGGGTAACATGTGAGTTGTGAACTGGTGCATTGTCTTGCAGAGAAAGTGAACACCTTGGTGAGCATGCCACGTCTCTTGGTTTTTTTATTGCCTCCAGTAATTTCTGCAGCAGTGAAGCATAGTATGTCCCAGTGATCACAGTACCCTTTGCTAGGAAAACCATCAATACTACTCTGTGCTGGTCCCAAAATACTGTGAGCATGACTTTGCCTTTTGGGAGTTGGGCACATGCCTTCTTTGGAGGTGGCAAGTCATGATGTTCCATAGCATCAACCGGACTTTAGTCTCAGGATCATAGTGATGGGACTCAGCTTTCATCCTGTGATCAGTCTGTTGAAAAGTCCTCCCAGTTTCCATGGCACATCGTCAATAGAGTCTGAGAGCATTCGACTCATTCCTGGAAAGGTGTGAGCAGCCGGGAGATCCAGCAAGCAGATACCTTATGCATGTGAAGATGATCTTGGGTGGGGGTTTTTCACGAACCCCACACTTATCTTGACATTTTGGGCTAGGTGGTGAATAGTTACGTGGCATTTTTTCAAGATGGCAACCTCAACTTGCTGGATGATGTGTTCATCAATAGCAGAGTGGGATCACCTTGGAATTGGAGCTGTTTGAACCGAAGTCCATCCACATTTATACTGACGATGCCAGTACTTGACTACATCATATGATGGGGAATCATCAACATAAAACTCTTTCATCTCATCAAGGCCGCACTCCTTTGGTGTGCAGCCTTTCAAGTAAAGGAACTTGAGGACTTTCTGTATTCCACTGGTCCATTATCAAACTCACACCACTTCAGCACCTATAAAATCAAGACATTATCAGTTCTGAGTTGTAAATAGGCATGTAACCTATAGAGACTTCTATCATTACACATGTGCAGTTTCAGCATCCTGTGATAAATAGAAGTGGGTCAGGGGAAATCTTTAATGAACGCCCCTTGTAATTAAGATGATACAGGTTTGTCAAACAGTTTAACAGTGTGAAAGTCCTGAGGTATCAGTTTCAAAGGAATTGCTAGATTCCATGGCATCAACTTTTTGTGCAGTGTTCTTTCCGTATCCTTTTGTGATTCTTATTTAGCACTTTGCCTACAAAGTATATCAAGTTGCTTTACTCATTCATATCACAAGAGTATGAGGCATGTTGTTCATGTTGTCAATGTCCTACTAGTGCAGACAAAGATCTTAGCCTTGATTCATTCTTGGACATGCTAAAAACTTGGACTTAGACTGAAATGGAGGTGGGGGACTGTGCTCACTACCAGCTGGCCACACTGGTAGTGACTCTTACCATGTCTGTTTCATAAGAATCTTGAATCCATCTGGGCAAGTGGAGGGCACTGGAAGGTGCAAGCTATTACTGCCTACACCCCAGATGATGGCTGAGGAATCTACATCCTTATATGGAATCTCTCCAGTAAGAAGTTCCCACAAAACTACTCCAAATGACCTTATATAAAATGGAAAGGAAACAGATAAAAAAATAAGGAAACAATTTTCAACATGTAAGTTATGCTTCATTTTTTTCAAAAGCAAAGTGAAGAGAGAATGCTATAAAAATGTTTATAAACCTTTATTTCCTTTAGGGTGAAATCTTCCAGCACCATCAAAACAGTAGAACATTTGTTGCAGTGAGAAATAAAGTTCTAATGCACATATTGAAACTGACTAGGAATTTCAAGAGTATTACTTACCATATATCTACTTTTTCAGAGACAGGTTCATTGCGAATCACTTCTGGAGCCATCCAGGCTACAGTCCCTGCAAAGGACATTTTTGTACTCTTATCGCTGAGTTCTTTAGAAGTACCAAAATCTGAAATTTTTACTGTGTCATTGTGAGTGACTAATACACTGAAAAAGAACAAAAAACACAAGAAGCCAAGTGTCAGAATGACAGGAATTTAAATTTTACTTGAGATGTTGTTATATTTAACATGCACGTCTCATAAAGTAGCAGCTTACTTGGGTGACTTGAGATCTCTATGGATGATTTTATGCAGATGTAAATAGTTCATTCCACTAGCGATCCCTGTGGACCATTCCACAAGGAGACGAGGTGTGACCTTTCTACCTGCTCGCAATACTTCATAAAGCTGTCCTTGTGCACAATATTCCATTATTATGCAGTAGCAGGGTGCCTGTGTGCAAACGCCCCTATGATAAAAATAGAATTATAAATGAAAAATACAAAATTCAAAAAATGACCTAAATCCATCAGATACATGCTGCCCATTCATAATTCTAGCTAGCAACAGAAACTGCATAGCATTTATTTTCCATGATCCCAAACCACTATTTCTTATTCACCAGTTGTTCAGATGTAGACTTAAACTGTAATTAAAGGTCTTCTCAGGACTATTTCAGCCTAAAAAAAATCATTCTTAAATTGGTATTGATTTTTACAGTTATATGAAGCTCTGGCTGACCTTTAGAATGGAGAAATGCCGGAGTGGTGGACATAATCGCTCCTAAATGTCCCCTCTCATGGAGCAGAGCCAAACCAGCCCCCTGATTTTCCAAGGAGTTGGTGGCAATGAATCAAGGGAGATGGAGACTAGAGCAATGTTGGTGGAGAATTCCAAGTGAATCTGACCAAGCATGAGCTAGAGCACCTTTGAAAGCTTACTCTGCAGCAATGGAGGCAGCAGAGAAATCGTTCCTTGCTGCCACCATTGCATCTGCAAGGAACCATCCAGCTGAGCTGTTTCACGTGATCAGAGGGCTATTACATACTGGTAATCAAGGAGAAATCCCTGACCATTCAGTAGTCCACTGTGAAGAATCTGCAAGACTCTGCAGATAAAGTCGCTCAGATTTGTTCCAACTTGGATGCTGATATTTATACAGATCCAATGGATGTAACCTTGGCTTCTGCTTGTCCTGTGTTGGCGGATATATTTTAATTTGTTCAGCTCGAGGATGTGGACAGGATCCTTGGAGAGGTGAGAGCTACCACATGTATTCTAGATCCTTGCCCTTCCTGGCTGATCAAACAGGCCAGACAGGAACTGGTAGAGTAGATCAAGGTGGTGGTCAAAGCCTCCTTGGAACAAGGCAAAGTTCCAAGTTGCCTAAAAGAGGCAGTTGTGAGACCCATATTTAAAAAGCCATGCCTGAACCCGTCTATAATGGACAACTATCAGCCAGTGCCCAACCTTCCCTTCATGAGCAAGGTTTTGGAGCATGTGGTGGCCTCCCAACTACAGAGATTTCTGGATGAAATGGGTTATCTAGATCCATTTCAATCTGGTTGCAGGCCTGGCTATGGAACAGAGGCAGCTTTGGTCACCTTGGTGGATGACCTACACAGAGAACTAAACAGGGGGAATGTGTCCTTGTTGGTTCTCCTGGATTTCACAGCAGTTTTCAATACCAATGGCCATGGTATCCTTCTCGATCATCTTGCTGGGATGGGACTGGAGGCACTGTCTTACAGTGGCTCTGGTACCCAGAAGCTGGTGCTGAGTGACTCCTGTTTGAACTCCTGGCCACTGACCTGTGAGTTTCCTCAGGATTTCATTTTGTCCCCCTCTGGAGAGGTAATCTGGAGTTTTGGAGTACGGTGCCACTATATGGAGATAACATCCAACTCTACTACTCCTTTCCACCTAGTACCAAGGAAGCTGACTTGACTCTAAACCAGTGCCTGTCATCAATAATGGACTGGATGAGAATAAACAAATTGAAACTTAATCGAGACAAGACAAAGGTACAAGACAAGTTAGTTGGATGGAAGATCAGGGAATAGGGATCCAGCCTGTGCTGGATGGGATTACACTCCCCCTGAAGACACAAGCTCGCAGTTTGGGGGTCCTCCTGGACTCAGCACTGAACTTGGGAGGCCCAGGTATCTGTGGTGGTCAAGAGGCCTTTTCACAATTAAAACCTGTGTGCCAAATGTCTCCATTCTTTGAGAAGCCAGATCTGGCCATGGTGGTACATGCCTTAGTTACATGCTGTCTGTAACACATTCTAAGTGGAGCTGCCTCTGAAGAGTGCTCGGAAACCTCAGCTGGTCTAAAGAACTGCAGCGATGTGGCTAGAGGACAACCACCCTGTTGCAGCAGCTCAACTGGCTGCCAGTCTGTTTCCAGTCACAATTCAAAGTGCTGGTTATGATCTTTAAAGCCCTAGACAGTTCAGCTCCAGGCTCTTTGGCTAAGTGCATTCTCTTGTATGAACCTGCCCAGGCTCTGAGATCTTCAGGAGAGGCCCTTCGCTTGGTTCCACCTTCATCTTAAGCTTGGTTGGTGAGAATGAAAGAGCAGGCCTTCCTTCTCAGAGGCTACCCCTCGACTCTGTAACTCCCTGTCCAGGGAAGCCAGAATGGCCCCCTCCTTGCTGTCCTTCCAGCACCAGGCTAAAACCTTTTTATTTAGACAGGCTTCTAAAGAATGTTTTTAAGATCAACTCAGGGCCTGCTGTGGTTTTTAACTTTGAATATGTTTCAATGTTTTTTAACTGGACATTTTAAATACTGTTTATATTTAATTCTATTGTAATGTTTACATATTTGTATATTTTAAATCATATGCTAATGTTTTGATGTTAAGCTGTTTAGAGTCTCCTCTGAGAGAAATAAAGCAGGGTATAAATATGATGATGATGATGATGATGATGATGATGATGATGATGATAATAATAATGGTGGTGGTGGCACAAAAAAACACGGATGCTCACCAATGAAGGTGTGGTAGAATACTCAAAGGTTTATACTGAATACATTCTTTTTTCTCCAATATAGAAAGTACATTGAACTTAAAATCTATATATTCTTAATATCATCCACTTGCCATAACCTCCTATACAAATTAAATATAAGAATAATATTGTGCCATCAACAAGCATGGACAGATATTTACATTGTAATCAGGATTTTCTAATAAGTTTTGAAGGCCAAAAGGAATTGATATAATTTGAACAGGACTTGAAGACTCATAAAGCTTTAAAGTTTGAATAGGCAGTTATTCTAGAAAAAGTCAAGATATTCATTGTAACCTACTTGAATGCAATGATGTTTGGATGTTTCAGCTTTCTCAAGTGCTTGATATCAGTTTCAGTCTGTTCTCTCACTTTCTTGATGGCCACCTCCTCTGCTCGAAATTTTCCTAAGAACACAGCTCCTTGTGCTCCACTACCCAGCCACTGCAGCTCAGAAATCTCTTCAAAAGGAACTTCCCATGTATCTAATAATAAACATAATGCATATAATTGGGAAATGACAGGCTGTATTTCTGTAACTGTTGTTCTTTGAGTGGTCATCTATGAACTCACAAAAATGGGTGTTCTGCACCTGAACAGTGCACTGTTCGGAATCTCCTAAAGCTATTATGTAAGTTTTTGAGCAGTAACCCAACCCACTCCAGGTGCTATGTAGGTGCAATTTCCACCTAAACCCTAAGTTCCATAGATGCCATAGGAGCAGCATCCAAAGATCTAAGGAAGGGCAGGACAAGAGGTATGAAACCTATCCTTCTGTCCTTTGTGACTCACACAAAGAGAACAGCAAGTTACTAACCACATATGATGGTAAGTGTCATGCCACAGATGAAGAAAACATAGGACTCTCTGATGCTGTGTCAAACAGGAAAACAATACTTTTCCAAAGGTGGCATCAGTCCTTGACCATACATCTATTGTATAATGAGAAATAAAGGTCAAAAGACTGTGATCATATAGCTGATCAATCCTCCAAAGCACGATCCTCAGGAAGGCACAGCTCCTAGCAAAATGTCCACCAACATGGACTGCAGGGTCATTCTTCGTCAAGTGAATGGCTGAAATCACCCACTCTGAGAAGCTCTACTTCAATATCAGCAGTTGAAGCCTCTTAGAGAAGTAGCATACAAAAATGTCTGGAATTTATGGAGCCCCACTCTTCTTTCAACATAGCAGGTTTCTAACATCCAGGTAATGAAGTCCTTTCCAAGCCCATAGTCCAACTATGAAACACTGCAGGCAATACAATGTTCTGGTTGATGTGAAATGGTGATATCCCCCTTAGGTAAAAAGAAATATCCAGTCTTAGAATGACCTTGTCTCAATGAAAACCTAAAGAGGATTGGTCCACTTTGAGAATGCACGACTCCTCTGCTCTTCTGGAAGATGCTAAGGACCTAGGTGTCTGAGGTTATAGTAGCCCAAGCACAGTGGTGATGAGAATCTGTTGCTGAAACAAAGAGAGGCAGTGGGAGGAAGTGCAACTGGAGAGTCAAAGGCACCACTTAAGTCTGTCCCCAAAATCTTTTGCTGGAGGATTGGAGGTGGTATCTGATAGATATAAGGCCTTGCAGGAAGATGTATATGGGAATGACTCAGTACATTCTTGCTTCATTCAACAATCTCTAAGATCTCAGCCAAACATGTCTCTGTAAGGCAATAGTAGCTGTCAGAGCCTTAATCTGATGCACCACTAAAGAATGGGCCTTGGTTTGAAGAACCCCTGCCAGTTGCTTGCCCTTTTCTGAAAGTTTTTTTAGGAAGAGAGGTCATTATTATCCAGATGTGCTATTGGTAAACCACAATATGTGTCTCATAGTTAGTAATACTTAAACACAGAGACAAAGTAGGATAGAACTTCTCAACTATTGTGTTGAGTTTACTCCTTTTCTTCTCAGAAGAAATCATGTACTTCTGTAATGATGTTGAATGAGCTCCTTCTACAACATTGGAATTGGGTGATGTAGAAACTGGTCTGCATTGGATTCTGAAACTTTGTACAACCCAGCAATTTTCTTCAAAGTGGATGGTATAGTTCATGATCTACAAGAAGTCTTAGCCAGGGAAGGAAGAAAGGGAATCAACACAGGTGTAGATACTTTACCTTGAATTCAGTTATATACCAGGTCCATCAGATCACTCTCTTATTGCTTGACTCTGCAAAGGAGCAAACATCAGGAGACACAGACTCGGGCTTCCACAAAACTCTTGGAAAGGAATAAATGGGAGCACATCCGAGGAGACAAAAGAAGTGTCAAATCCATACCATCAGACATGGAAGAGAGATTCAAGGAGGTAATGTGGTCTTTTTAATCTGAGAATGGGAATGAGGGAGTACTGGTGGGAAAGCCTTTTTGAACGATAACCCTCATGTTAGGTCAGTTTTTGGTTGAGGAGAATGGGCCAGAATAAGTCATTTCTGCAGTGCCCGATCGGCCAGAAACAGTACACTAAGTTTTCCAAGAATGAGCAAGAGACCTTTCTCTGGTAAGAAAAAAAGGCACCAGGCATGAATGAAAGCCTGATTTCATCTGACAACTGTGTTGGTAGTTGGTTGGAATATGGCAACGATAAGGTAAGTCACAGTGCTGGCAAACCAGGTGAGAATCATGGGAAGAGATGGCATTCATGTTAAGGACACCCATAATAAACCTCAGAAGATGAAGAACACCAATACCCATAGTAGGGAGAGGATGGATGGGATTACCATCAAAAAGCTTATATAAGTGCCATAGAAGATTCCAAACAGTGCATTATACAGATGCAAGTACTCCATTTGAGACAATAAAGAAGAAACGTAAGTATGCACCTGACACCTGCTTTTTGAAAAGTGTCAAAAGGAAAAAAAAACACTCAGAACCTCTGTATTCTGCTGCCCTGTTGAACATGACCAACATGCAAAAGCCTTACTTCTAGAGAAAGTGTTATTTTTTAAATGACAAAAAACAAGAAGCACCTCCTTACATTTCTCTCACAAATATAAGAGAAGAATTACAGGATACCTCTCTCCCACAAAAAGAGAATGTGAGAACAACAAACATGATAACTCACCAATCTAAATAGGTGATTTGGCAGTTTATACTGCCTATTCGGTATGGTGACTTGGAATTCAGAAGAGCGAGAGAAATGTAATTGCTTAGAAGTGGAACTATGGGCACATAAGTAATTCTCAAATTAAGAATTGTAAACCACTCAAGCAAAGTGCCATGCACAATAATGACACTATATAAATGAATGAGAAGTAATATTCATAGTAGTAGTAATAACAATTTAGGTTGAGTGTCCTTTATTATGAGATCCAAATCTGAAACACTCCAAAATCTGCAACTGTCCAGTATGGCTGGCTGAAATATACATCTTTGCTTTCTGGTACTTTAATGTACACAAATGTTGTTTCATGCACAGAATTATTAAAAATATAAAAACATAAAATGACCTTTAGACTATGTGTATAAGATGTCTATGAATCATAAATGAATTTATTTCTTTTTCTTTTTTTCATAACTATATTAAGAAGTTCATACTATTTGCTTGTTGACCCCCAAAGACTTGTTATGGTTTGAAGTTATTAGCCAGACCAGGAGTATTTTGGCAAGACCAGGGATATCGTCTTGCCAAACCAAGGAAAGTTTACAGACTCATTTACATGCGATGATGCCCACATCCAATAGCACACAAAGAATATCTCATTATGTATATGCAAAAAATAAATAAATCTAAAGATGCCGATTTGTAACTCAGCATAACTCTGGAGGCTAACAACTTCTCTCTGCTACTAAATCTTATCTTTGAGAACATTTCAAACCCCCACCCCCCAAGGCATTATTGCATTTATTGACTTTACCTTGTTGCTGTAGCTTGTAGTCAGTGGAGTAGGCTTTTCCTATAATATTCCAAACTGGCTTCAAACAGCCAAAGAGTCCCTCAAGAAATCCACCATTTCCACTGCCTGATCTGTTGAACTGGATTTTGATGTCTTCTGTTCCACTGTTGGTCTCTCCAACTATGTTGTCCTTGTTGCTCTGATGGACAGGAGTTTCCAGTTCATCTTGTTCCGTTAACTGCAGCACACTGTTTTCAAACTGGTCCCTTGAATCCTCACTCACACTGGTCAATACTGTTGTGGCAACTGAGCTATTCATTGTCTCTGGTGCACTGTTGTGAAGTAAACTCTTTCCTTGTACATCCTCTATAATCTCAGGTGAAGGATGAAGAGCTGTGGGTTTATGTTCTCCATGCATCCCACTGAACTGAATGTCTTCACTGAGGGTCTTGGCAATAATGGTTGTAGAGGAAGACCAGGTCAGGGGCTCCTGAGAACTGGTCATTGTATTGTAGGTGTGCATGTGCATGGAGCAAACAGGCACAGGTATTGCTTTAAGAAAGCAAAATGTTTACTCCTAGTGTAGGAAGTAGTGGCCTGATTGCCTGAAGAAGAAGTAGGGGGGAAAGCAAAGGATAGAGTATGAAAATGTTGAGCAATACAGATTGTGAATGCTTAATATTAACACAGAATTCATTAAAAGAACTTTTATAATCTTAAACTCAAAATATTTAAATGATTTTGAATGTAAACCCAGTTTCAAATATTTTTCATTATTACTTTGCTGTCTTTTTATAGTATTTATATAAATAGGCTATTTAAAGATGGCTGCTATGACAAAACATTTTGCTGGATAGCACTACTGGATAAACAGAACTGATCCTTTGTCATTAAAATGTAAGTATTACTGGTAACTTTTACTTCACATACATAAGATTATTGATGTTAAAGATATAATATTCCAAACTGGTTGCAAATCCCACTTTAGATACATTTAACATAGAATACATAAATTTCTTAACATAAGACTGATTAGAACTGGAAAAGACCTGGCAGCAAATGAAATCAGACCAGCCAAAGCAAACTAGAAATTAACAATGGAGCATTCCTCTGATTAGATTTTACTATACGTGTAACAGGGAAAACTGAGGATAATTATAATTTTAGCATGAATTTGAAAACTGGTTATGTGTACAGTAGTACAAGGATCTTGGATATGCCAGGGATAAAAAAAATGCCAGGGATAAAAAAAATGCCAAAAAATGCCAAAATGCTCAGGCAGTAGAGAAAAATTCAAAGCTAAGTATATGTCTATCACAACATCTCAAATTATTTCCCAGACAGATTTACGTGGCCTGGGGAAATGAATACAACGTTTTGTAAACACAAAATATTATGTTTATGCATTTTGTCATGTATGTGTATGATATTTAGTACTGTTTCAATTCAAAGCATTTTCCTGCTCCACATTTTATGGCTCAAGAATTGCATAATATCATAGGAAATAAGGTTGCATAATGATGTGATGTGATAGTGGACACTGTTTTAACTATTATGCTGAGAAATAAAATATATCTAGACTCCCATATATTTTAAAATATACATTATAGGGCAAGCATTCTCCATCATCTTGCCTTAACCTCTTAAAATCCAGTAGGAAATTCACTTTATGTTTTCTGAATAATGTCATAAATCAAATTAGTAGTTGCAATATCACAGTAAACAAGCAAATCCACAAAACGTAGGATAGGTGATCCATTTTCTCCTGGTGTTCTAACAGTAAGATGTAGATTTATTGAGGTCCAAGTAAAGCCAGGCAACATATTTTAGCTTCCTCCCATTTATAAACACAGGGTATTCAAAAACTATCTTGACAATTTCAATTTATATAGAATTCAAGTTGTAAAGATATTTTTGGTCACCTTATCTTAGTATAGTAATAGAATTTTGCCCTTGTTTGTGCTATTATTCTTAGTATAGTAATAGTACATCAATGACAAAATTCTATTTGCATTTATTTTCACAGTAGAGAATAACGAAGTATCAAAAATTCAGCATGAATGCCACTAACATTCTGTTCAAGAATCCCAGAATGCATTTATTATCTCTTGCACATTGAGGGTGGGGTAGTGGTGGTAATCAGATCTCTATAACTACTGTAAACAACTGTTTCCCCACTAGCATGATTACGTTACGTTTTAATATATTAATGATTAATAGATTAACTTATTAATGCTAATTCGTTTAAATTCTAGACTCATGATTATGCTAACAGTGTTCATATTATATTTTAAGAGATTGAAAAGATGAACCTGTTGGTAAACAGGATTAATGTTAATGAGATTTGACTCGATAATCATTATGCCTCCTCACTAAATAGAACTGGAGAAAGAAATAAGTTAATTATTTGGTTTAACTGCTGACTCATGAATTGCTACTAAGACAAGCAGTGAGAGTATATGAGAGGCATACAAGTGAATCAAACGTTACTAGGTCCCCTTTCACACTGATGAATAAAAACCCCACATTATCTGCTTTGTACTGGAATATATGGCAGTGTGAACTCAGATAACCCAGTTCAAAGCAGTTCATAGAATCATAGCATCATAGAGTTGGAAGAGACCTTGTGGGCCATCCAGTTGACCCCCCTGCCAAGAAGCAGGAAAATTGCATTCAAAGCACCTCTGACAGATGGCCATCCAGCCTCTGTTTAAAAGCCTCCAAAGAAGGAGCCTCCAGCACACTCCAGGGCAGAGAGTTTCACTGCGGAACAGCTCTCACAGTCAGGAAGTTCTTTCTAATGTTCAGATGGAATCCCCTTTCTCAAGGTAATAATCATTAACAAAAAAACTTAAAAACAGATTCAGCAAACAGTTGAACAAAAATACATCAGGGGGTTTATCCATTTATTAAAACTCCATCTCACTCTAAATTTGAAGATTTCAAAGCAGGGTACACTCAACAAAATAGTAAAATTATTTAAACCAATTAGTCGAGGTGTTAAAGCTAAGAAGACCTGCTCCCATACTTCCACATGGTATGCTGCCTCAATAATGAGATACTGTGAAAGGGTGCCATCGACAGATGTCAAGGGATCACCAAGTATCAAGGTCTCTCACTGTCTGGAGCTCTGAAATTAATTACTAATGTCAGTAGCTCAAATCAGAAGCATACTGACAGCTACTGCAATTCCTTTAAAACTAGAGTGTATCTATGATATTTCAAATATTTGTCTGTTATCTGCATTTTGGACTAGCTGAAAGTTCTGTCATTTTCATGAGCAATTCCATGTAGCACACTACATGGAAAGAAACCAGTGCATGAACTAACTTGCAACCACCATATCCCCAGGAATGATGATAATTAGAAGGCCAAAGAGCATCCTTCAGTTACCAAAAAAACCAGGAATACTCCCAATACTCTCTTTTTCAGGTAAGAATGTCACTATGATGTCATGGACTTTTTGAAGATAATGTCTTTGGCATTAAAATAATTTGGTTTACTATATACTGAATAATAGAAGTAAGCAGGTAAGGAGCTGGTTGGAGGGGGCAAATGAAATATTGAGAGTAGATGATGATTAGTGGAATGTCTGGAGGGATTTGGGTAAGGCTGGTGGAATAAAGACAGTTGGTTTCAGAGTTAAGTTAGGAGAGGATAGAATGAAGTGGTGTGAATGAGTCAAGACTAGGTTAAGAAGGTCAGTCAGTCAAATGTAGGCATTATTAAGTGGGATTAAGCCTTACTTTGCAAAGAGAAGGGTGTGAGTGAGTACTTACTCACTTGCTGGGCCTTATTTCACTTAGTAGGTTGGATGTTAGGGCTGACCCTCATCCAACCTACTAGTACCTGTACAATTTCACTTGGCTGACAGCAAGGAGAAACAGAACTAAGTTTTATCAGCATACTCTCATCTATGGCTGTAATAAGAACAAAAACTTTATATATTTTTATCGTTCGCTTTTGTTAATAAGATCACAAATGCAAGGATGTATTTAGTAGCAACTGATTTATTTATTTATTTATTTTTAAAATGCTGTACAGTTGCATTAAGGTCTCTGTTTCATACTTACTGCATTTCAATCCTCTCTGACCCCACTGAGTACCATGATGCAATTTGTATGAGACAGCTTATGAAAACTCTTCATGTTACTATTTATGATTATGTAAGAAGAAGAATGTGAATTGGTATTTCATTTTACTTCTTTTTCTGAAGGCCTTTTCATACCAGCTTTTAAAATATCAGTCTATAGTCATAAGGTTGCCTAGAGCTAAGTCCATCTAGTCTAAGACAGTCATGCATTAGATCTACTGAAACAGACAGAATTTTAATCATGCCTAATATATCTTACTGACATTAATGAAACTAATAAAATGTCACTCTATGTAGCTTGAAGGTCAAAGCTAGAACCTTTATATAATTCTGCCCACAAAGTTGGAAAGTGGTTTATCCAATAGCAAGTAATATGAGAAAAGGGGAAAGCCTGGTCTCTGCAGAGCACAAGACAGAGAACAAATGTAAAAATTAAAAAATCTGAGAATATTAATTAGTTGTCAATCTTAGCATTTTGGAGAAAATGAATATATAAACTACAAAGAAAAAACTAATTGCACTATCTTTATTATAATTTAATAAGTTAAATACATATCCAAAATATCTGTCATAAATACAGAAATATTTTTAAATTATCTAAATAGACATCAGTTAATTTTCTAACAATAAACATTTCACATGCACTTTTCACTACTCTGAACTGAGAGAGATATAAATGACAGGAATTAGAAAAAAAAGGAAAGGAAAGGAAAAGGCAGATTTCAATGGGGAAAATATCTCAATAGATAATAAGGATAGGCTGTGTTTTTCTGAACACTGCAATCGAAATCCAGTTTTATTCTCTTACCTTTGATTCTATACACTGTAAAAATACAGCCACTGAAATATTTCCAGTTTCAGCAATAAATGCAGAAAACTGCTACACAATAACTTGGCAGAGATTATTAATGAAGATTAACTCAAATTCTTACTTCTAAAGCAGAACTTGCCATTGCTGTCACCACTCAAGTTACTTGTATTTTTTGTTAAATTACAAAAGGAGTAAGATTCATGGCCTTTCTTCCTAATGGATTATTTATAAGAAACCCCCATTGATTTCAACAGCAAGTAGCAAATTCATACTCCAGGAGAAAAAAAAATAACATATTGACCAGCAATAAATAAAAAAACCTATAATTATTACTCAATATAAAGAACACAACTTAACTACATATTTTTAAGAAACTGCATTGCTGTAAAAATAGCTATTACTAATAGAAAGTATATGTAGCTGAACAATTAGTTAAATCAGTTCATTCACAGAATTAAAAACAGCTACTTTCAGCAATAAAAACATCTAGATAACATTTAAATTGATTAGTATTATTCCATCATCTGCTCAAACCACACTGACATAAATATTTGAGATGTATTAACATGGCACCAAAGCTCCATCAGCAGACAAAAAGATTACATTTTCAGAAGGAGGTGGGGGGAAGCCAAATATTCTGAAATATCAGATGAAATTATTTTCCTTAATATTCACAAGCCTTGTATTTTCAGATAGCTACTGAAATTCATTTCCTCCTTTTGCAAAGAGATTCAAGGAACATGGCATACATACAGATAAGTAAATGACACAAATCTATGTTTATTCCACAAACAAGTAAACAGATGAACAGCTGCCAGACACAGAAATATTGTTGGCTTTAATATGGTGTCCACTCACACTCCATCCATCTGTTCCTTCAAAATCAATGGCAAGAAGGTAACACCGGTTATTCTGCAAACACAGCCCTTAAAGGAAGGTTTTTGCTAATATACTTACATTGATTGGTAATTTCTATAATCCTTCTCCATTTTTTTCATTAAGAGATGGTTGGCGACGCATATACACATACACATATATACGGTGTAAAATACAGCAAGGAAATCCCACCCATATAATCCTGCAATCCTGCTGCAAAGGAGAACACAGAGGCTACTGACGTCACAGATTCATGAATGGATGTATACGGGGCTGTTTTAGGCTTCAGAACAGAGGCTGCTCTGGTGTATTCTGGGGGTGGGGAAAGAAGAGACAAACGAGACAGCCAATCACAAAACGGCACTTGCAGCTTGTCTTTCTTAAGAGAAATCTCATCACAGAAGGAGACGCCACCAATCAAACGCCTGCGACATGGTCTCAAAGGGTTATGATGCAGACCCTGCCAGTTGGGAGGGGTGTGGGGCAAGTGGGAAGATAATGAAAACAATGCTAAGGACGCACAGTGCCTATTTGAATGACATGTAGAAAAGAATCACTGCTGTCACACAGCAATGGAGACAAAAAAAACAAAACTTCTCTACCGTCATCAAATGCAATGAGTCTATAAAAAAATATGCTTCCTGAATAGGTCCTCTATCTCAAGTACACACCGTCTCCTACAGGAAAATACACAACGGCATATTTTTAAATTTTAACACAATTCATTCATTTTCTAAATTTGTATATACAATTCATAATGATGCTACTGGATAAATGATTAAAAGTCAAAACCATTTACTAGAAAGGATAGGAATGCTTAGCAAGATAGAAGACAGTAGGAAACAAGGAAGATCGCATTCCAAATGAATAAAAAAGCAATAGCCCTGATTCTGAAAGACCTAAACAGGGCGACTTGGAGGCCTCTCATTCACTGAGGTACCATAAATCATTATTTCTTTATTTTTTTGCTTAATTAATTGTATATCAACCACAAAAGAAATGCTATATACATAAAAAGAGGTGGAACAATATAGTGAAAGAAAAGTAGGAAATAAAGATGTATAAGTCTTAACAAAAACTACCATAAATCATAATTAACATAATGTCAGTAACAAAAACAAAATACTCACTGCAAAGCTTCCCATAATTTATTAACACTTCGAAAAGTTGATCACTGTATTAATTTCTGAAAATGACATAACTAAAACTGAGGGTGCATCTTGACAGGGAAGTTACCCAGTGGTTTCTACACTGTCAGCCCTCGAGCCGGTTCAGGAGCTGAATGGGTAAGCAGTGACGAAACCAGTTACTGCCAGACCAACTCTGTGCATCATGTAACAACCATGGAACTATTCTGGCTCTTCACCATATCACATGGTTGTCAAGACATACTCTCAGTCTACTACTATAAATAAAACTGCTGCATAATGCCAATTACATACTAGTAAGTATTACGGTATTGCCACTTCTCACAATCACTAAATCAACATGGAAAAGCCATATATTTCTAATTTCTCAACAGTATAACTAACCACAAGTGCCTTGGCCATCTCTAATCTAAAGGAGTCCCATGGCTAGTACAATTCATCATCATCACCACTGTGTTATTCGGAATTCAAATCACAAGTAGACTTCGGCCTTCCCTACCTTCAAACACAACGTATCTTCCTACAGCAAATATAAATGCCTTGTAACATCACCTCTGTAAAGAAGTGAATACCCTAGCAAAACTCATTATTTGTCTTTAAAGTACTTTAAACCACAATATATTAAACCAAAAAATATTTATTACAATCAATCAAAATATTTATTTCGGTCATTGACCAGCACAGGAAATAGTGTCACATTTCCAGACAAACCTGG